ACAATTTGCGTGCAGTGAACATGGGACTCTCAGGGCTCCAGAGTTACCTGCTTTTCCCAGTTAGTCTTCTATCTTGGGTCTTGCAGACAAAAATGCTGGCCTGCTTTGTCTCATGTCATACTCAATATATGTTTTTATACGTTTTGATAGCAAAGAGCTGCATTTCACTGCACACACTGTTCTACCTTTAATCAATATTTACTCTATAAATAAGCCCGTGAATGAGTTAATATTGTCTTTCTCTCTCCCCCTAGTACGGAATTGACGTGAAAGCGAAAGATAACCAAGGCCAGACAGCCATGAAGATGGCCAGAAAAACCGGGAGCAAAGGCTGCATTGATATTTTGCTCCAACACGGCTGTCCCAACGAGACGTCCCCCACCACTGCCACGCCCGTCCTCTCCCGCCGGTCCAGCACTGCCAGCCTGGGCCGAACCAGCTCCAGGAAACGGGTGTCGTAGCGCCAATGGAAGATACCACCACACGGAGGGGGCTGGTGACGACCGGAGGATACTTATTGTTTAGACACCTTTTAAAAAACACCAGATACAATGGAGAGCGGCGTACTATAATGACAGGACTATATCGCAGTACTAAGGATATACAAAATACTTTCTGAAGACTGAACATATCAAACAACTTAAAAGCAATATTCATTCAATTTGTTGATGACAGATATGTTGCTGAGATACTGTGTTGTTGTTGACATAATTTCAAAATGACTCAAGTAGAACGTTGAGGCCGTCTTCTGTAAATTTAGAGCAGACAAACTACATCTTGTTTCACTTCGTCCAGAAGAAGTGCAATAATCCAAATATGATGATGAAAAGCAACAAGTTTTAGAGCGAACTATGTCTGTACGGTCAATACATCGAGAGGGTGCTGCTTTTTTCAAATTTGTTGTGACTGGACCAAAACAGCAATTATTTTCTTTGGCTTTACAAATAAAAGCTACAATATGTCATGTTGTTAGTTATGTGTGCCTGCGGCAGCAGTAAAAAGGCCAGTTTGGCCAATATAAACTATTTTTCAGTGACGATTCAGCTGAAATTATTCTGCTTAGACTAGAAAAATGAATGGTTTGAAATAGGAACTATATCAGTGTTACTATCACAGGTCAGAGATATGGCGTTTTAATATACTGTAAATGTACCTATACTACATACTTAATGTTAAACTCTGTAACGAAGACACAACAGAAAAATCAAAGACTGAATTTTGTAAATGATTTCTACTGGTAGTTTTGGAAATGTATTTTTTTTTTCATTGTCTTATAATTTCTTATTCTCCTACATGTCACAAAGCATAAACCAGTAAACAAAATGCTTTTACATAATGTAAACATGTGGCTATTTGTTTAAAGTTTTTTTGGGGGGGATGGCTAAACAACATAAAGACATTGTTCATGTTCATATTACTGTTGTGTAGGTCTATCCCATGAGTTTACAGTGAAGTATGAAGAGTTGCAGGTGTCATCGTTATTTCTGACACTTTGTGGGTCGTGTGAATCTGTCATGAGCTAAAAAAATGGTTACCGAAATCAAATAAACTTTTTTTAATTAGCATTATTAGGAACATTCGTGTTGTTGTTGTATTTTGTCTTTGTGTGTCTGGGCCTGTCTTCTGCAATTCTGTTTATAGCATGCTTTTAGCCATACTAGCAGATACCAATGAGATACAAATTAAAGCTGAAAGATTAAACCAGAGGATTCCAACCTTTTTGGCATGAGTCAGTAGCGCTACTGGGTGAATACACCTCGCTTCAGTGCAATGAACATTGCATTTTGAGTGCAATAACCATATGTAATTAATAATAACACTACAACACAAGTTAATTCAGTTAAATGCAACTTTAGTTTGCTTGTGAATACCAAAACAAATGCAACATTTACATATGAAAACTAAAAATTATCCTTTAAAGAAGCTTAGTTTGGTGGCCGAGTCATGAGCATATTCGTCCTTATGTGGGATTTCTCCACAGTTTCAAGTAACTTCAAAGTCAGTCTGATATCCATGAGGACAATTGGTCAAACTTTGTTTGAGTTCAGATCAAATCGAAGTCTGATTTGTCAACGTCTGATGAGTCTAAGTATGTTTAATGTCCGAGCTAGTGACTGGCACGGTCCTACCACATAGCAGATAGTTGATCTGGTTGTTTCAGTGGCAGTTTGGGGAAATCAAGCTGACATCCATTTACTGGAGTCGTTGGATCTTCTTCACTGGAACTTCTCCGTCATAAAAGACCAGACCTGCATAAAAAACAAGCATTCAGTCTCTGTTCCGCTTTCCTTCAAATTTCCGAAATGTTTCTCTCATGTGAGAACACAACATCAGAGTAAGCGCTGACTGAATGCAAATACATAACATATTGAAAATGTATAATGAACAATGTCAGTTTAGGGGTATCACCTAATCTCATTGTTCTACTTGTGCAAATGCAAATGTATGCAAATATGACTTTATAACAGTCATTTATTATGTTCATTATTCAGAATATTTGAGCAAACACGTTTTAAAACTTTTACTTTGATGGCGAGCTGTCTCTGTTTCCGGCTCTCGACCTCCTTGACTCAATTTTCATTGTTAAAGTTGGACAATGGAACAAACTGACATTTTGGTGCGCGGAATTGCATTGCATGTGTTCATTCAATGCAATAATAACACAGGCCAAGCATGATCCGCGTTTAGGCAGCATCTGCTATTAAAGGACGAACTCACACGTAGAAGACATTTGCACAAGAAGACCAATGAGAGTAGGCAATAGCCCTAAAAGACATTGTTCATTATACAACGTCAACAATGGCAAATTAATTATACTTTGTGCACAGACCCATTACAAGTTTATCTTTTTAGAACATTTGTTTTTTGTTGCCATCGATGCATTGTAAGAAATAACATCTTGAATGGTGACACTAATGCTCAATAATCTAAACACCATTAGTTCTGCGTATCATGTGCACGTGAGGCCAGCACTAAAGAATGTAGAAACCATCAGTCACGGTAGACGGTGGAAAAACCCAAGAGAAGAGAAACAATGGTGTCTATAGCAGAGAGTAATAGATAGGGGTAGAAACAGTAGCAGGGAACTTACAACTAAGCTAAGGAAAATCAGTTGCTCCACCAGCTCGGTTTACATGTACTCTGTTTGGTTTTGCAGTAAACTCATTTCATATTGAACTCCACTGAATCTGTGTGTTGATTGACACCAGTGTGGTAGGGGACTTCAAAACATCTTGGGTGTCATTTATAAAACAGTGCGTAGGATCCTCACTAAATGTTTGCTTACGCACAAATTAGGAAATGAACGTACCCAAACCATGCGTGTGAAAAGGATTTTTTCTGACACAGAAATCGAGATGCTTGTGGGTGAAGTTGTCCCTGAACACCCTAATTATTCTAGTCACGTAGTCCTCTAACAATGCTCGTCCATCATGCAGCATTGCAATTGTCACCGCAATATGTATATGTTTACAGCAATCAGACTGATTGCTTCCAAAATGATTGCGACAATCAGTCTATCCCTCACCATGGGATATTATTTGAAACACATTTCATTTATCTATTTAAGATTTGTTGTGGTGAGCTTGGCCTGCATCATGATAAGGACTCATACGATATGGAGTGTAGCGATTGAGCAGTCACTGGCTTTATCTCCAGACTTTGCTAACTTTGCACTCTAATACTTGCACTGGATAGTTGTTTTCAGATTGTCTGTATACAGTATATCTGTCCCTACGGAATAAACCATGAATTGAAAAATAAAGTTGTGCTCACTGCAGTGATTTTACACACAAATATAAAAATCTAAAATGTTACTTGGTGATATATGCACAGCATTTGAAGATATTATTGAAAACAATTGACTTCTACAAGTATTTGATGCTATTTGATGTTATCTTGCTATGCTAATGATTTAATGTGCATGGTGGGCTCCACAGGTGACCACTAGTGTCAGTAGTCCTCTCCTATGCACACCTGGGTGCAGACGGCGCTGATGAAATATTGAGTGGGTTTTGATTTGAATTCATTTATATTTTTTTGCAAATGAAAGGTGCTTATGGAAGAGTTATGGCTCACTAGCACAAGCAGAAATAACAATGCTGGTTTGAGGGTTTATGGCATGAATGTTTATAAAGCTGATATACAAGTAACGTGTAAGAATACAATTACAAAACAATTAAATAATTACGAGTCAGTGTTTCCATACAGGTGCGTACATTTTCCCTCAAATTTGTTTTGATGGATATCAACTTTTGCATGGGAAGTGGCTTAGGCCTCCTTCAGGCCTTGTTTTGAGCGAATGCAACGGTTATAAAGGAGACACGTGGCCCAGCTGAGGGTTTTCTCCCACAGTAACATAGTGAATAGTATGAAATTCACACTTCAAACATCAAATACATTTACATAGAGGTTTTTTTTTTGACCATTAATATATTAGAAGCCTCAGATCTTTTGAATCCGAGAGGCCTGGGTCCTGAAGTCTTGAATCCTTAACTTAATTGACATTTTCACTTAAATAAAAAAGCATTATCAGCTAAATACACTTTACGCATTCAAGTACCATGATGCAGAATGGGTCCTTTATTATACGGTAGAATATCATATTATTATGTTTTTATCATTAACAAACACATGTAATATAATTTTAATGTTGTAGTTCATTAATGTGAAGCCAATTTTTTATATTTTCTATACTACTATGCAGGTTCAAAGTTATATTGTTTACGTTTCTCACCAATAAATTGAAGAGCCTATTCAACATTTCCCTCTCAAATGTAGTGTAGAAGTAGAAGTACAAAGTCATATTAATGGAAATACATAAAAATTGTACTTCCTCACAGTACTTAAGTACTAGTTACTTCCCTCCACTGTCGTTGATTCACGCCATCCTATCTAAACTTGAACCCCTTCCCCTGCAGTACCTCATCCAGACTGTAGGGAGCGCCTGCGATGCTCTTTTGTTGACATACGTCACAAACATGCGACGGACGATCACAGGGGTTGTAAATTATATCCGTGGACGACCACCAGAATCCCTTTGAAAACATAGTGAAAAGAGAGGAGTCTTCGACACCTTTTAAATGGGTAAGTCACAATGATACCAACGAGACGGCTACATTAACTGAGGAGGATTTTTTGCCACGAATGAATTGTAAAAATGTGTCTGATTTAGCGTTTAGTGAACAGAGTTGCTGTAATGAGTCTAAAAAGGTGGCTACGCTCCGTTAGCTTCTTGTTGGAATGAACAGTCTCTGAAATGTAAACTCAAGAGTATAAACACGGAAAAAGACTGATACCACACAACGGTTACTTTAAACACCTGTTTGTGTTGGTGGGAGGGAGGTTAGGTTACCAGCTTATTTCTGTACCTCTGATGGTCGTTATTATTTTCTTTCACTTCATTAATTAATAAGTATTCTTGTTATGCACGGGTTTGATGGGTAATATATGTTAAATGATGATGTTTATGCCTATTTCCTTTGTGTTTGTATTCATTGAATTATGTCAATTGTTATTGTTTACTTTGCAGTGGACGTGATTTGCCTGTTATTAGTGTATTGTGATGAGTAGTGTGAGTGAGTATTTCTGTATTGTCACCATGTAAACTGTGTGTACCCCAGAAAGAAAAGCTGATGCGATGCAAAAGCTAATTGGGATCTTAATACAACAAACAAAGTATTTAAAGTAACAAAGGTCTTAAATACAAATTGGGTGAAAATGCCCCCGGCTGACTGCGTATGGAAGTCTGTCTGATTATTTCACTGTAATCCTTTAATATTTGAAGACAATCAGAAACCAAAGAGACAAATATCCAGTGATCTACATATTGTTGTTTTGCAGAAGACTTTTACCTCTGCTCATATGAATTTGCAATAAAATGAAGGCCGACTTCTACCCAGTTATTGGCTACACGTGCCTCGCTACTTTTACTGTTGCAGTAAGTTATGAATATTTTCTTATATTCAGCTGAGCTCACACATGACAGCGAGAACCAGCCAAACAGTCTGAAAATACGCTGATTTAAGGCCCAATGAAATGATTCTGCTGTTAGTGTTTGTCTAGCAGCTTCCAATAACATTTCAAAGTGCTATACATAAGTACATACATGTGTTTTCTGGGACAGTAAGTGTTTTATAAACCATTTATTTACACTGAGGAAGCCAGTGCAAAGATTTGAGACCTGGAGTGATGTGATGCACTTTCTTCATCTCAGTGACGACTTTGTTTGAGCCTTGCTGAGGCCTTTTCATATGTTTTTAGATGATTCTGGCTGATTTTGTGGTTGATTTCTGACTTCGTTGGTGATATTTTACGTTATTGATTGGAGCTGAGTAACTGTTTCTGATATTCAAGATCTAAAAATGTTGCTTGTTTTTCATGCACTGATGAAGTTTGAGACTTTGGGCTGTTTTGCTTCCATAACGTTCTTCAGACGAGTGGAAAGAAAAACATCCAAAATACACATTCATGTGTTCATTTAACTACAGAACTGCTACTACTTTGTATATTTGTACAAAAACAACTGGGGGAGCTTCCTGGTGATATGTATTATTATTATTATTATTATTATTATTTATTATCCATATTCACCTGAAACTGTCTGGCGTTGAGTTGAGGCATTACATTTTCTCTGGAGCAGAATAATTGAGAGATTTAATGTATTTCTTCATATTTTATGTTTATATCCACGACTATTTCCGCAACGTCCGTTACCTATTTGCTTGCTCGTTAGGTGGCGGTAGCACACCTTGTGCGACTGTCATCCGCATTTTAACCCGGACGAAGGACGTGTTTACCCAGCCTCACACATTTGATGGCTGCGGCGGGGAAACGGGACCGAACGTGGGACCGGGAGGAGCATGACGCCGCGAGCCGGTAAAGCAGCACAGGCTCCGGCACCGGTAAATAAATGCACATTCAGCGAGAAGTGGCTGGAGGCGGAGACCGATTCACGCGACCGGCTGAAACTATGCAGCGATGGGTTCAGCACGAGGGGTGAACTTTGTCATAAAATATTCAAACTGGGGACAATGGGTCGTAAAATACTGGAATGTGCGCTCTGCTAGCGGTCGGTCGCTGCTGCTGCTGGTTTTATACTAAATAGAGATGATATGTCCACTCTCCGTCAAAGACATCTCGTACTTCTGAAGACAATTCAACTATTTAGAAACGCTCTTGGATCGGCTCCGTCACAAAACCTGCACACGGGCTCGTTTCTGCAGAGCTCATGAAAAGTTGACTTTTCAGAGAGACGAGTTCGTCCCACAAACATCAGAGTAAAATGCAACATACACTTTAATGCTGCAGTGATATTAATGCAAAAAACACCATGTATGGTAGTAAAACACTGACGGGGAACAATGCACAGTGAGTACTACTGGTATAGTTTGATGTAATACTTGCATACTTTTGCTTAGGTAAGGTTTTGAATGTTTGTTTTTTGAGTATTTTTACTACCTGATGTTTAGGATCTGAATACTCCTGGACAACACTTGTTTTAATGTACCCGTATTTGTTTCTTTACCATATTTTATTGTACATTTTCATATTTTCTATTCTAAATTTTCTATTTTTATTGATTATTTGTATTGATCCTTGTGTGTGTGTAACGAACTTGGTAATAAACTGCATGATTCTTATTCTAATCCTCTGCAAAACTTTATTCTTTTCATGCTCTCGGTCACAATTACCTTAGGCCTGGACTCATTGTTATTATCTGAGAATAAGAATACTTTTTATTACCTAGTACTTTATTTATACACGGGATCTGTCTTTGTGTGTACTTTGCACACTCAAAGCAAAACATCTAGTCTAATATAAATGGTTAACATAACTTTGTACGGTGGAGTGCTCTACCAAGACTCTGCTCTTTTATAGAAAGAATTGAGATCGTCTTGCGTTCACATTTTTGTCGTTGTAGGTCAAAGGTTGTAGTGACCGGGTTGTCAAGTTGTATCTACATTGCCCTCTTATGTTTGTTTGGTAAATGCAGCCAACGTTGTTTTCCATTGGACTTTACAGTTTTATTTTTAGTTAATGAGAAAGCAGTTATGTTTGCTGATGTGCACTGAACAATTCAGTTATTCAAACTCAATAATGGTGTATATACTGTAGTCTAGTTAGTTGATTTCTTCTGCCGCAGTAATGGTATTATTCTTTCTTCTTAGAGGTATTAAAAAACGTCTTACGTCATTGAACTTGTACTATAAAATGTGCAGATACCCTGCTGTCAGTCTGTTCTGACTCCTCTTCTCTGCTCCTGCAGTTGGATAGTAGCACACCAGGAGCTGCAGCAGGGATGAGGATCCAGCTGCAGGGTCCCGGCCACGCTGCCAGCTTGCTCGCTCAGCTCAACGGCTGCCGCCAGTCGCGCCAATACTGTGATGTGTTCCTGCAAGTCGGCAACCGCACGTTCGCGGCGCACCGAGCGGTGCTGGCCTGCGCCGGGACGTACTTCCGTAACCTGTTTGCCCGGGCGCCGTCCTCGTCCACGGCTGCCTTCTCCTTGGAGTTCATCTCCCCGGCCAACTTTGAGAAGCTGCTGACCTTCGTCTACACGGGGGAGATCTTGACTGATCTCATAGATGTCGGGGTGCTGTACGAGCTGGCCGAGAGGCTGGGCGTCGGTGAGCTGGTGAGGGCCTGTCACGCCACCTTCCCCGACCTGCGGGCTTCTGCGTCTGCAAACTGTAAACCGGGTAGTCCAGGAGACCTCGCCCTGAACTCGAGCATGGTTGCCGCTGCTGCGTCCACAGTGGCCGCCGTCGGTGCAGCTTCTGCGTCGTCCGTGTGCTCCTCTGCCGCCTCCTGCTCGTCTCTGTCTTCGTCTGCGGCCCCGACGCCTGCTGCCGCTCCCTCGCCGCTCTTCCAAACCAGGGCAGCCGGGGCCGGCCATGAAGCTCACACCGGGGCTCTGTCTCTGGACCTGAAGGAGGAAGACGTGCAGTCTCATATCGGCTACGGGCAGATGGCAGCAGATCAGCAACAACCAGGAGGACTCAGTCTTTTGACCGGCAGCCACTCCAGACAGTGTGGCGGCGTGCTGCCTCCGGGGCCTGTTCTCCAGCTGAAGATCGAGCCAGGGCTGGAGGAGGAGGAAGGCGGCTGTAAGGACAGAGATGGACGAATGGTTTCCCAGTGCGCACGAAGTTCTGTGCCTCAGAGCAGCGACGCTGCACCGTCTGACTCCTGCTCCTTCCCCGACTCCTCGGCTCAGCTCGGAGCCGAGGCCTGCGCCCCGACGTCGTCCTCCGGAGAGCCTCTGGGCAGCCTGCAGGTGGTGTCAGTGGAGGGCGGCATGGGGGACGTCCAGAGGGACGGCAGGCTGGTGTTTGGAAAGGTGGAGGAGGGAGAGAATGAGGAGGAGGAGGAGGAGGAGGAGAGGGAGGCTCTGAAAGGAAACGGTGCCATGGAGGGAACAGAGGAGGAGCAGTGGAGACAGCTGGCAGGTGAGATCATCGAGCTGAGTGACGACGAGAACTTCATGGAGGAGGGAGATGAGGAGGATGATGAAGACGAGCTTGTGTATGTGGAGAACGGAGACGGAGGGAGCTCAAGCAGCCAGGTAATGTTTGAATTCCTCTGCACTGAAATATTTCAGGCGAACATAAGTCCACACAACAGAATTAATGCTTTTTCCCTCCTCCAGGTGACGGGGAACATGCTGCCGTGTAAAGCCTGCGCAGTGCTTCTCCCGGCAGACCCGGATGCCATCCGAAGACACGCCGAGACCCACCTGACGGAGCTGGGGCTCTGCAGAGTGTGCGGGGCCTCGTTCCCGGACTGCGAAGCCGGTGTCGCCCACTCTCTCTCCCACGTTGGCGTGCAGCTCTTCACCTGCGACATGTGTCACTTGCAGTTCTGCAGCCAAAACAAACTGCTGCGCCACCACCGCCACGCGGCCTCCAGCTACACGATACCACAGGTGGCGCTGACCAGCAGCAGCCAGAGCCTCGACCCCGAGCTGCAGTGTGCCGCATGCGCCAAGACCCTCAGCAAGGACTTCCAGGTGAGTGGACATTTTAGATGTGTGTTTTTGGTGAGGAGTATGCCGGTTTCTATCTGAAAATTTCAGGTCCATTTTGTACATAAGTATGTAATAATAATAATAATAATCTTTTTTTATAAAACATGTCAGAACAATACAAATTTAAGGAAAAAGAGTAAAATAAACAGGAGTATAAATGAGGGAATTTTTTATTATTATTATTATTTCGTATTAATTGGGAGTTATTGTCAGTTTCGGCAGGTTTCAAGTCTCTGCAAGCTGATTTTAATACTGTAGTGAACTTAATTAAGATGACTGGCTGCCTGAATGATCAGTCAAAACATTTGCTTCGTAAAATTGTTGGCAGTAATTTAAAGTATTCGGTGTAGAGAGCTGAGATGATTATTCAACAGTAGATCGTCGGAAAATTTATCGGCAACAAATTTTGATAGTTTAATCATGAAAGTTCTGAAAGTCATGAAACATTCTTTTGTTTCAGCTCCTCAATCGTGACGACATTCTGCTTTTCTTATGCGAGCTCGTTGTGGCTTTTGTTATTTGAAGACATCAACTTGGACTCTAGGAAGTTGTTACAGGCACTTCACAATTAATTGATTAATCAAAGCAATTATTGGCAGATTAAACGATGATTATAATTGTAAGTTGCAACCCTTGTATGGTGTGTTTATATATACGGTATAGTGGACTCATTCACAGAAATGACTGTTTGTAGCCTTCGGCTTGTTACAGTGTTTTGAGACCCGTTGTATAATTGGGACCAGAAAACGTATTTCACCAACAGAGAAGTCAGACGGTAAGAATATGGAATTACAAACAGACTGCTGCACCGTCATGAGATCTCACGTTCATTCACACGTTTCTTTACCTCCTTCACAGACGGTCAAAGACCACCTGCTGAGCCACGTGTGTCCCCAGAGCCTGAGCTGTGGCGTGTGCCACCTCCCCCAGCTCTCCTTGTGCTCCCTGCTGTGGCACGCCCTCGCCCACCTCTCTCTGCCCGTCTTCACCTGCCCACACTGTGCCCGCTGCTTCGTGGAGCGCTCCATGCTGGACCGACATATGACTACGCACGCTGAGGAGGCGGCAGCCAAGGAGAGGGAGCAGTTTGCTGCGCTGAGGGCTTACAGAGTCGGGGGAGGCGGCGGCGTGCCGGGAGTGGAGGAGTTGCATTGCTTCCTGTGCCCGCAGACTTTCCGCTCCGCCGCTGCCTTTCAGTACCACCTCAGCCTGCACACCACCGAGTCCCTGGTGAGTGTCGGAGGTGCCAGGGCCCAAGGCTGGCTGGGCAAACGTAAAGCGGACCAGAATCTGGAGTGCCTTCCGTCTTCCTCCTCTCAACGGGAGGTCGGCAGCCTCGTTAAAATGAGCAACATGGGTCTGGGGCTGGGAATGAGCTTCAGCGTACCAGATAAGTTTTTTCAAGGGGCGTTACACAGCCTGCCCACCGGGGTCCTGACCAACGGGAACTCGGGGCAGGACGGGGGAGTCGGGGCAGCAGGCGTCCGTGGGAAATGGTACCGGTGTCGCTACTGCGGTAAGTGCTTCGCCCACTCGGGGGAGTTCACCTACCACCTCCGCATCCACACCGGGGAGAAACCCTACCAGTGCAAAGTGTGTCTGCGCTTCTTCAGAGGGCGCTCCACCATGATCTGCCACCTGAAGACGCACGCCGGAGCCCTCATGTACCGCTGCACGGTCTGCGGCCTTTTCTTCTCCACGCTGAAAATGGTGTCGTCGCACATGGAGCTGCACACAGACCACCTGCCCCCGGACTTCAACATCGAGCAGACCTTCATGTACAATGACCACTCTAAAGAGCCGCTGCCCAACATGGACGTCTGACGCGTCGGCAGGGTAGTTTCCCCTACTCGTCCCTTTTTACCTCTCTCTGACACCTCCACTGTGTCTGGTTGTCGTGGACCACATACCGCATATAATAGAATAGGGCTGAAACTAATGGTTATTTTCTTTATCGATTATTTTTTTTCGATTAATCGTTTGTCTAAAATGTCAAATCAATTTTAAAAATGGTTGTCTCTCTAAGTATAAGGCGACATCTTTTAAATGAATTGTTTTGTCTCAACAGTCCATAAGACATTCAGTTTATAAGGATATAAAAAAGCATTTCAGAAGCTGCAAAAAGAGAATTCTGACATCTTTGTTTGACAAACAACAGATTTCTTTTCTGTCGATGGATTGTTGGCCTCGGCTCTATAATAGACGTAGACTTGTAGAATGTAGTGGACATATTATCTGTCGGATGCTGTTCACTGAGTTGACCTCTTTGAACTAAGATTAAAAAGAAGCCACTTGGTGGCAGTGTATCCTGTTCAGTGTCAGTGAGAGAAGGGAAGCCGGTGGCTTTGTTGACCGTCATGCAGCACTCTGCTTATATTCATCTACTCCGAACAAGTCTGTATCTTCACCACTGAAATCTGAGGATTGATTTCCGTGTCCGTGGTCGATGATTATTAAAGTAGCGCCTCATTGTAGCATAGAAATTATTTTCCTATATTTGCAGTCACTATTTTCACACTTTTTTAAGGTCTTGGAAGTTTTTCACTCCAGAGATACGGGACCAGTCACATAAAAGCTTGATTTAATTGGTCATTTAAACATAAAAAAAACGTGTTATTTGTTGTTATGAATGCTTTCAGATTCTGCCACTGCTGTATTCATTTGAGAGCGTGTGATCAGTTGTGCTGTAGAAATTATTTAAGTGCCCATCACAAGTTTGTGTCTTACCTCATATTTATGATGGCTGTATAACTATTTATTATTTGTATGCCTCTATATGTTGTCTGTTCCTAAAGCTGTATGAATGTTGGCTTTTTAAAAAAACTATTGTTCATGAAAAGAATGAAATAAATGCCTCTCGGAAGACTGTTATCAACCCGAAACTATGTGTCAATCTGTTTTTTGATCACGTTTGAATGAAATGAAATGAATGAAACCTTTATTGCCCCAACGGGTTTTCAGCTTTGCACAAAGAGCTTAAAAGAATATCAGAAGAACAGCAACAACCATACATGACAGTGATGCTGGGCGATATGGAGATAACGTTTTTGACCCAATACCTCAATATCATTACATTACAGTCATTTAGCAGACGCTTTTATCCAAAGCGACTTACAATTCAGATTCTATCACATTTCTACACCGTAGGCACAACTACGGGAGCAATTTTGGGGTTAAGTGTCTTGCTCAAGGACACATTGACATGCGAATAGCAGAGCCGGAGCCGGGGATTGAACCGCCGACCCTCTGATCCACTTAGCCACAGTCGCCCTAAGTGTACAGCCTACAGTATATCAATACTGTAGGCTTGACTATTGGTGCGTTTACAAAATATTTAAAGAATGAGATGTTTAACGAATCACCAGTGATGTAGATATAAAGGCTAAGTGGGTAAAGGGAGAGAATGGGACAGTCTGATAAGTGAAGTAAATAACATCACTTTACTGTAATGCCTCATTTAAAACCAGGAAATGCCAACACTTGTGCTATTTTATAATATCCAAAATCTAAGACGATATCAAGTCTAATGTCACAATATCGATATATCGATAAATTGCCCATCATAAAAAGCATAATTTGGGAAATCTATAAAGGACATTAGGTGCAAGTTCATAAGGGGGTCAACTTCAGAGCATTTTAAGCATTTGAATTGTGTGTGATGCCTCTTGGACCTGCTATACCTTCATATTTAGACAGAGGGTGCAGTGAATCTCATTGTACTGGTCTGACATGTACGTTATACTGCACATTGGTTCCCCAGTTATCCTGCCACCATGTTTAACCCTGTTCAGTTTGCTCTTGTTTTGTACAGACAACACTCCCCCCTAACACTGAATACAAATGGTCAATATACTCTGAATGAATCAATGTCAGCGCAGCTCGATGTCCACATTAATAAAGCTTCCAATCAATAACAGCCCCCAGGTCCTTGTGCTCCTTTACACTTTCAATGGTTATGTCGTTCATAATTACAGGGGACAGAAAGGAGTTTCTCCTGAGATCAGTATTCATTTCTTTATGTTTAAAATTCAATGAGTCGACTGAACACCAGTTGTAGAAGTGGTTAAACTCAGCTCTTCACTGTCCTGAACCACAAAGTCCATCCATCATCAGAATTTCAGTGATGAACTTGCAGAAATCTGCGCCACTTTGTGAACCTCCTGCTTCCAGGACCTTGTGACCTTTGCCCTTTTTAAAGCCCGGTCTCTTCCTGCTATTGTGCCATCTGTGGACTGACACCCCCTGTTCCCTTTTTCTGCCTTCTTATCTTTTCAACAGTTGACCGTGACGCATTCCAGATGACAGAAATGTAAGTGAATTTAATAAAGTCTGCGAGAAGGGAGATAGCCACGTGCAAGGACAGCAAAAGTGTCTCAGTAGAATAAACACGTCCCCAAGTTTGTTTATTGCTCTACTCTGCATTAAAGAGAACAACGTTTTATTGCATTTAAACCCTATTACATCACATGTAGGGAACAGCAGCATCTAGGAACAGATAAATAAGCAGTAAGTGGTATGAATTATGATTTATCTGTTAAGATTTGTACTGAGGTGAAACAGTTACATTTTTAGATGTTTATGTTGTTATGATGAATGTTCTTATCTGGCACTGGACCGACAGCAGATTTGTTTACACACATTCCTGGTGTGGCACTATTCTCTTTATGTGCCATCAGATTTTAAGATAAGTGGGCGTTGAGCAGCTTTGAGGGGGGGGAACAACACACACCAAACATTTCATGCCTTCCTCCTTTTAAAACTGCGATCAGATAAATGGTTAACAAAAATGAGTGGAAGGTGTCTGTGAGCCCACCAGTAGTGTAACAAATAGCACAATGAGTCTATGACCAGAGTGAGATGATACGTTGTACAATCTATGCATCTGGTATTCTGAAGCACAAAGACTGGATTCAGTTCTGACGTCTCACTTTTCTCATCTTGGCTTCTTTTTTTTTTTTACGATCCAATATCAGACTGGCTGGTGCTGGCGTTACTTAACTTGCGTTGCTTCTCCGGGTCTAACCCGCCTCCGTTAGGAGCGTTGGGCCGGGTCCCTGCTCCCACCCAGTCCGCAGGTCCCTCTCTGGGTAAGTAGTCCACCACAGTGTTGATCAGGTTGCTGCGGAAGCTCTTGCTGAGGAAGTTGTAGAGGATGGGGTTGGCGACGCAGTGGAACAGAGACACGCTCTGCACCACGTTGAACGAGAAGTAGAGGAGGTCTACCGTGTTACAGCTGAGGAGGAACGGGTCGATGTCATCTATGACCATCAGGAACATGACCAGGTGGAAGGGCAGCCAGCACATGACGAACACCAGGGAGTACACGTGCACCAGCCACACGTCCCGCCGGCCCTGCACATCCGGCGCTGTTTTAATCGCACGAGCGAGCAGCACGTTACAGGTGATGATGACGGCAGCGGGGCCCAGGAACTGGAAGATCAGGCAAAGGAAGCCCACAGAGATGAACCATTCGGTGAAGTTGTGCTCAGGCATCATGTAACAGCCCGGCTCACTCAACTCCAGAAGATCCACGTGGACATTCTCCATCAGAGCGAGGAACAAGGAGAGCACCCACAGGCCTCCACAGAGCACCCAGCGGCGCCGGCCCACCACGGGGAAGAAGGCCGGAAACGAGGGTCTGGTCAGGGACAGATAACGCTCCAGGGTCATGAAGGCCAGGAAGAAGGAGCTGCTGTAGAAGTTGACCGCATAGATGAGGTTGGTGACCTTGCAGAGGAAGCGTCCCCACAGCCAAACCTTGTCCATGGTCACCTCCATCATGAAGAAAGGCAGGATAATGATGACCATCAGGTCCGACATGCTCACGTTGATGATGCAGAAGAGAACCCCGTTGGCCGAGTGGCGTCGGCGCCAGTTGACCCAGACGACCAGCCCGTTCTCCAGCAGGCCCACCATGAAGATGAAAAGGTAGACCAGGAAGAGGGCGATGCGCCGATATTCTCCAGCAGTGCGCAGCTCGAAGGTGCACTCATGGACATACCATGGTGTGCCATTGTAGTAGTCCAGAGAGTGGTTGTGCTCGTAGCCGCTCATGGTCTGGAGTGAAAAGCAGAGGAAAACTGTTTGATATCTGGAGTTGAGATTTACTTTTTGGGTTAATCTGATTATGTTTTCAGACGTTACATAACAGGAGGAGGAGGAGGAGGGTGGCAGACTTCCTCAGTTGAAATGTTTCTCAAATGATTTTGAGAGGTTGATACTTAAACCACAACAGATTAGTAGAAAGACATTTCACAACCAGCAACATGCATTAATAAGGTATAAATGTCTCTCTTTGAGGGGCTGTGGGTGCATGTTTGGCTTTGTTTATCATTAAAGTTATACCTGCTGATTTATAGCACCTTTCAAAACAGGGTTACAAAGTGCTTCACAAATAATACAAAATAACAAGAAACACATCAAACCAAAGTTGTGCAGAAAGATAGGGGCATACAAGATCTACAGAGGTGGGGCTGGACCATGTAGCGCTTAGAAAGTGATGAGTGAAACCTTAAAATCCATCTTGATGTAAACTGGGAGCCAACACAGGTCATGTGATCTCTCTCGTTTGATCCACTCAACAGTGTGGCTGCAGCATTTTTGATAACTAGAAGGCGTGAACATACTTTTTCAGCAGGTAAAGAGTGAATTATAAAAGTCAATTCTTGAGAAAACTAATGCCTGAATAACTTTCTCAAAGTCAGAGAATCGCAGAATTTATCAAATTTTTGGAACCATTTTGAAGTTGGCAAAAACAGGACGGGACTACTTTCTTGACATGACAGAAATTGGAAGGCGATGACTCATAAATGTGTAAAGATTATTCCATTGATTCAGGATTTCTATAACAACTCTGTTGGACTTTTCTTTTCATACAAGTTAATCTTCCTTGTCAAAACATGGTGCCTACATTACCCACAATGCAACTCAACATTTGATATGCTAGTGGCAGCTAATGTAGCTGATGAGGAGCGGGGTACAGGGGTCTGGTAGACTCTTCATTCTAACCTCATCAACCCTGATTTTCTTTTTACATTTTCAAACTTGGTCTTCAGACCCAACTGACGCTGACTCAACTAGTGACATCACATGAGGCAATTTATCCGACTGGAGCCACAAAAGGTTTTTAAATGTTTTTTTAAAACATGCAGTTCAACACATGTAAACAGACTTCAATGTGTAAGATCGGAGGAGTTCCTCTGTCATAGAGAAATGTATGGTAACAAAATACAGCATTGGTGATCACCGTACCTTGTCGTGATGATGAAGAGGCCAGGTCCCTGCTGAAGCCGCGCTGTCTTCTGGAGAGTTTTCTGTTTGAAGCCTGCAGACACCAGATGTTTTGTACCAGCTCTCACGGTGAGGGTTTCTACCCTCCCATTTCTCATTAACACACACACGCACACACACGCACACACACACATGCACAAACGCACACACAGATATAACAGGACATCCTCAGGCAGTGGTGGGGATTGATGTGGAAGTCCAGCGATGCCCACACAGCAAAATGTCTATTCAGTACTAATGGGAGAACATTGTACAAACAGAAAGACTTAGCTCAAAAAACAAACTGTTTCCATCCCAAATACTATGAGTTCACATCTGATAACTCTACATTGAACCCTAACTACTTAAGTACAATTTTAAGGTACTTTATACTTCTACTCAATTATATTTCTTCTTTCCTCTCCCATAAACTTGACTCACAGACATTTATAACATTGTTGAAACTAGTTCCACTGTCCGCTACTTGGAAATTGATTCATCAGTATTAATAATCTAATTGTGCATATAATAAGTACTTTTGATGCTTTTTAGTATTTTGATTATAATAATTCTGCACTTTTACTGAAGTAAGATGTCAAATGAATGACTTTTATTTGGAATGGAATACTTTGACATCATGGTATTGGTACTTTTACTAAGTAAAAACCTGAGTATTTCTTCCACCACTGTATATAGACAACAGCAAGATACATTATGTGGGCATGGTCCGCCTGTACTGATCCACATCAGAGTCCCGGGAAACTTGGATTTCGGCTTCTGCTTACAGGTTATGAACAAAATAAATCAGTTTTTAGTTCTCACAGATCTTAATAAATTGTATCATACATTTTCGTTTGCATTAACGTTATGAGGGTGAGTTTTCTCTGCATTACCTTACATAATCCTGTGTGTATATATGGCTGGTAGGAATGGTAAAAAAAACAACAGGCCCCACATAGCAGAGAACAATGGCAGGAAGCTGAGGGAGCATGGTGAGTGACGGGCAGAGTTGGTGTGAAGCCTGGGGCACATCACTGAGGAAGGGGCTCTTTAACCTCAACACACACACTCAATATTTCAATATTTCAACATTAGAATCTTTAAAAGTGAGCTGCAGTTTGGCTTCCCTTCAGCCCGTGCTGGTGATGACAGAGCTTGTTTAATTGAGACAGTTTGCGGTTGAACTACAGTGGACAGTTTCCTCACGTGATCATCTGAAAATTGCTAAAGTGCAACCTTTTTGTGTCTTCTGGGAGCTGCTCAGTGGCATCATCTTATCAGAGTGTGAGCCCAGATGTGTCCCGACACGGAGGTCAACGTCATACAGAGAAAAAGCAGAAACGTCTGCTGGCTGCGATTCACGGCGATTAATCTGCTGCCCTGGACATTGTGTTCCAACTGCCACGCCGGATCGTCAGCAGTTTGTAGCTGGCTGACCTCTTCAACGACGGCCTCCTTCTGTCTAAACTGCTCATCCTGCCTGAATCCTGTTGTTTAAATCAGTAAAACAAGTAGGAACCAGTCAGCAAATGCTGTCTCCTCTGATGAAACAGGAAGGAGCCAGTCAGCAAAAAGACATCCCCAGACCCCCCACACTGTTATCATGACTTGATTAAAACTATAACAACAAAAACCTACAGTTTAGCCGATACTCTGACCTGAAAAATACCCCTTAGCTAGCAGTAAACTACCTCTGACAATATGTTTTACTGTAGCTACAATATGTTTCACAGGAATAAAGGGAGAACCAAAGTGACTTCAGTACATCCTGAGGGGGAACATGAATTTGTGTACCAAATGTTACGTCAATCCCTCCCACAGTCGCTGAGAATGTTTATATAAAACAACAGACATCGACCTGTCGGTGGCGCTAGAGTAAAAGTTAGAAGATCGCCAAAGTCAGCAGGACTCGTCGTCTGGGGACCATAAATGTTTGTAAAGAATTTCATTAATCTCTAAATATTGGATGCAGGAAAATACATCTGTTTATAGACTGGTAGAATCATCACAGAAAAAATGACAAGACAAACACTTTTCAGAAATTCTTTGTAAAATATATTTTGGTCCAAAAGCAGATTTGCAAAAATACAACATGTGCAACCATCAAGTAGATGAGGCATCACACAGAGTGAACTGTAGCTACGCTGCCTGGCCAGAGTTTAGGAACGCTCGTCATGTCACTGAGTTACGGCTAACTGCAGAAGCTACTGAAATGTAGTGTTAATGTCAACAATACTTTACAAGGTACCCTGCTTATCACTAAATCTCAAATGTTAGCACAATACACAGACAGTAGATCCTAGTTCTATTGCTACATTTGTCTAAATCTCATCTTATCAGAATGATTCACATAGCACATTTTAATGCACAAAACACTACATCAGTCTGTCCAGAATAATGATGCATGGGCTCATTCTCAGGAAGTGACTCGCACATGAAAGTATCTCATTAAAAAGGCAGGACTGGTCCTAAAGTCACTTCATTAATGCAGGCCCAGCTCTGTGGGTCACACGCTCTCTTTACAGGCTCTGGGAGCTGAAAGCTGAACATGTTTACAGGCTGAACTATTTGATGTGCTCTCCATTCAAATACCACACATTTACCATTTCAAGTGACGAGGCTGTTCTTTACGTTTCCTTTAAACTTCAGTAGAGACTTTGGTGGAAAATCCTATTTGATCCGTTCAAATTGTGTTTCATTTATCTGTCCCAACAGAGTTGGTTTAATTGTTTGCAAAATGCAAATCCTGCAAAAATAAAGCTTTGATCCCACACATTTGGCACTCTAAATATTCAAATGGCCTGCTTCAATAGATAAATATTATTTCTTAAGTGCAGAATGTAGACTACAATTATTGTTTTAATACACATTTCCATTTAAAGATTATTCTAGGATGTAAGGAATAGTTTAAAGTTTTGGGAGCTAGGTTTATTTGCTTTCTTACAGAGAGATGAGAGGATCGATAGCAACACAAGGCTATAGCCAGCAGCTGGTTAGCTTAGCATTAAGATCGGAAACAAGGCGACACAGTTAGCCTGGCTCTGTTAAGATAAGAACATCTGCCAAACAGCTCCTCTAAAGATCACTAGTTAAAATGTTAACTCTCATTTGTTTAAGTTGTATAAAAACAAGTTGTGTACAGAATTACTCATAAACTACATTTTGTTACGTCTGGACAGAGCGAGGCCAGCTGTTCAGCCCCGATTCCAGTCTGTATGCTAAGCTAACCGTCTCCTGGTCCTCCTATAGCGTCACATTAAAGGTGCCTTGTGGAGTTTTCCTGTAAACAAACAAAAGTAGGGCTGAACGACAAACTGGTGCTTTTACTAAATATTTAAACGATTAGAGTTTTGATAAATAATCATCAGTAATGTGAATATAAGTGGTTGAAGGCATATAATAGAACAGTCCGCTATGTTCAGAAACTGACATCACTTTACTGTAATGCAGCCGTTAAAACGGACATTTATGCCATATTTTGAGATCCAAAATCTGAGACAATATCTAGTCTCATATCCCAAAATCTATTTAATATCGATACATTGGCCAGCCCTAAACAAAAGTCATGTTTAAATTCACTTAAAAACATACTGTTTGCATTCTTGAGGTCTAATAAGCACGTTGAATACATTTCCCTCCTCGTACATCTTTTTGAAAGCTGAGATTTTAAACCCAGCATTGTTTACATCTAGCAGTATTCTTCTTCGAAAACTCCACAGGGAACCTTTAACAGACACACATCAGAGTGATATTATTCTCCAGAGTCAACGTTTGTCAAGAAAGTAAATAAGCACACTTCCCAAAATGTAAGTTTAGTTCATGCCTGGGAAATCAGAAGGTGACAAAAAAAGAGAAGTGGTGTTTGATCTTGCACTGATGTGGTCTAACACTGATCAACAGCAGTTTGTTTCCATGTACCCTAATGCTGCAGAGTTAATCCTCTAAAGACGGCTTAATATCTAGAAGAAATGCATCTTACGTCTTCAAAATAAATAAATGCATCAGAAGTAGTACATTATGTTGCTACAATGCAAGTAGTCTCATCTCAGATCACCACATTTCAATAGTGATCTGCGTGTGCATACTATTTTTTTGGTCAATGGTAAAAATAGCTCTCAGTTGGAGCGACTTATGGCGGCGCTCACGGCCTCGTGTTACGCAAAGATGTTAAAGATGAAGTCGCGAAATCGTTTGGCATACTGCTCGGGGTGGACTGTGGAGATTTCAGCACCGGCCTGCAACACAGAAGAAAAAAAAAAAGAAAAAAAGGTCAACAACATCATCTGTATACATTGAACAATTCAAGACGTGAGAGCGAACATCAGACGTTTGTCCTCCGTGCAGGTACCACCGACAGCAGACCTCTTTGCTTCCTCTCTCGTGCTACTCACCCCGTGTTTGACAGTTTTTGCTGCATGAGCGGCTTTCTTCTTGGTGTCGTACTGAGTAAGTACGTCTATCAGGCCCATGAAATAGACCTCCCTCTGAGGGGCTCCTGAGAGTAAAGAACAATGTGTGTTATTGGGCTTGTATTGACGGTATTGTATTGCGACACGTCTCAATAACCCTCACGATTAAAGCTCCCTGGTAAGAAATGTATATCAAAGCCTCTGAAACTATATCATTAGCATTTCTCAGAAGATCTGAGGACAGTGGAGATGATATCATATTACCCAGACATGTGTGGAAAACTTCAGAGGAACATTTAAGTAAAAATAAAGCACTGGTATTTAAACTGTAGTTTAAAGCTAGAGTGCCAGACTGTTACATATAAATAAACATCAGTTACATTCAAGCACATGCTAAAAGCGTTCACACAATGCTGATTTAGCCGACCGCTGCCAGGGAAAGCTCTCAGTATCCCATCAGGCATACGTCATCAGCACGTCAGCAGCGATTGTGACCTTCAGATTCTAATAATACTATTTCTATTTACTCTCACTACGAGTGGGGGTAACGAAAGTTCCCACTCTCGCTTTAAGTATTAGGATCAGTATCGGGAGAGAGAGAAAGCCGGATCAGTGCATCGCTGCCGAAAACAAGTTTCTTTATTCTTATTTTGTGGCCTAAACCAAGTGTTCACCTGGGCAGCTCCCGAGGGCGTACACGTCCACATAGGGGTCGAACTCCCCGGGCCCCAGAGGTTTGCAGCAGGACATGTAACCAGCGATTCCCTCTGGAGAGGTGCCGTACGAGCCCACCGTAGCGGCCGGAGCCAGGCCGTTCTCCGCCTCTGGTTCATCCTCATTAGAAACCTCCTCGCCCTCCTCCTCATCCCGCTCAGCTCGACCCACATCGTGGATACCGAGCAGCAGGCTGTAGTCCATGATCTTCAGCCTCACCAGGAACTGGGGACAATGGGAGCGGGGACATTTATCAAGAAGCTTTTACAACAAGGTGTACAGAAAGCATTGTGATAATCAATTCATCTTTTTCGTAATTAGTCATTTCTTAAGCAAATATAACCACAATTCACAGCTTCCAACTACTCAAATGTGCCAATTTGATGTCTTTTTTGAGCTTTGGACTATAGGTCTAAATGTTTTTGACCAAATTGCTGATTTATTGATAATAAAAATGAAAATGAGTCGCAGCCCTCGAGCTCTCTCACAGACAGAACCCGTATTGTTTATGTTAGGGGTGCAACTAACGGCTATTTTCATCATCCCTTCATCTGCCGATTGTCTTCTTGATTCAACAGTCAATCATTTGGTCTTTCAAATGTCAGTAAATAGCAAAAAAGCAACTCCAGACCTGCAGTTGTTGGTGTTTTGTATGTTTTTTCGTATTATGAAATATGCATATTTGAGAAGTTGGAACCTGTTACATTTCTGCATTAAAAAAAAAAGCTGCTGATTAATCTTCTATTATTCAAGTAATCATGTTATGTTCATTCCCACCCAATTATTTAAAAGCTAAATTTATCTTTAATTGTAAATTAACCCTCCTGCTGCCAAAATGGCATCACAAGAGTGGAGAGTCTCTAATGTGCCGATGCTGCCACTTTGTGGCAGAATGGTGCAACAACAGTGAATCACATTGAACAGCTCTCCTACCTCCACATCTTTGTTGAGTTTCTCCATGAACTTCTCTTTCTGCTCATCCGTCACGTACACCTTCTGCATATTGTTCCTGAAGTCCATGTCCTTAAAGGTAGGGAGTTCTTTTCCCTTTAGGAATAAAACACATCTTTAGCAGAACTCATGGGATGAGACAGACAACGGGCCACATCAGGACATGAAACGGAGAGTAGGGGAGATGTTTCTTTTACCCTTTCTTTGTCACTTGCTTCACGAGCCACCAGAGAGCCCTGCAACAGCAAATTAATATAAATAAAGAGGCAAGATACTTTGTCTTAAAAACTCAGATCTCCACCACTGATCACTGAAAAGAGAACATTAGAAGAGATTGGAAACCCTTTGATGCTGCTGCAGCGTTTATTGATGTATATCTGCATGCTGCAAATATAACATATACTATATATAATATTATTCAGTGGCTTTTTATTTTCCACCTCATGTTATGCATTCTATCTATTCTATTTATTATTAATCTAATTGTATCAGATGTGTTTTCTGTTTCCATTAATAAATGGCATTCTGTCCCTTTATGTTCATTCTAGTCTTTTTTCCTTCATTATAAAACACTTTGTGCTGCATTTTTGTATGAAAGGTGCTACACAAATAAAGGTTATTATTATTACACAAAAACAAAACGGAGTATTCGGTTCTGATAACAATAAGGTGTGTGTTACTGTGCCTCTGAGGGCCGTGTCAGAGTCAACTCATTTGTATGCAACTTGCTCACTGCTTTGTGAACCAGTGAGAAGTGAGACGTGCGATTGTTGTGAAGTTCCTCCTCACCTTCAGGTCGTACTTCCTGTGAACAAGCAGTCTGTGGCTGAACATGTTCCTCATGACGATCAGGTAGGTCTCCTCGCTGTCCACGCTCACACGGTACATACCCAGGAACTGAGGCAGCAGGGTGCCGCCATGACACTTCACTATGTGCTGCAGAGAGGACGCTACGGTGAATTTGCATGGCAGGTGCAGAGAGCGGAATACTGTCGTCAAGGGCAGCCTCAATGTGTCACATACAAATAGTAAAATACGGTACAAAGACAGATTCACAGATGAAGGTAAATACGTGAACGTGGACATTTAAAAAGGTCACTTTGAATGCAAAGCAATTACTGAGCGTATCAAGGTTAGACTTCAAACTGAGCTCAGTCAGTTAAAATAGACACTCACTTCAGACTGACCTCATTCAGAGTCCCCTGAAACACACTGAGCAGTATGTGTAGAGACGTCACTCTACAGAACAACGTTTTCTGTTGTGTATTATATTTTTTAAGGCGCCTCATAATTACCCAGGAGCCCCAGTGAAAACAGAAATCAGACATCATGTGTTTGTCACCACATCAGCAACTTGCGACTGTGCCTGCAGTGAACAAACATGTAAATAAATGTATAAACGGTAGCCCCTGCCATCAGTGTATGAATGACATGTAGCGTTAAAGCGCTTTGAGTGGTTGGAAGACTAGAAAAGTACAAATATAAAGACCACTCTCCAGAAACAGGGTGTCTGACAAAAAGAGTTGAATGCCATTTAGGACACGTGTCATATGGACATAATGCCAAAAAATGTATATTCAAATAGTTTGCCCCTATGTGTTGTTTTTTTGAACGAATATTCGAACGGCAGTTTTGGCCAATTTTGACAGCCCTAATATGAAAAGAATATATACTACAACATGAGATGAATTTGTCTAAAATGGTCAATATTTTGCCAAATCATTGATACCAAGTTAGCCGTCCCTTTAAGACAACTTCATGGCAATATTGTATGTACAGGAATCACTGCAATGAAGTGACTTCAGGAGGATGTTCTCCGTCATTAATATCGATATAAAATTACACACTGTTTCACACTAAAACATCAACTCAACAACTCAATCAACGCTATGAATTATTTCTGTTGAAGGTTGGTTTAGCAGTAGAATAGGCCTATATATCTTTAATTGTTAGTTTGAAAAGCTGCTCCAAATCCCCACACCCGCCAGAAACCACAAAACCTGATCCTCAACATTCTGCAAACATAACAGTCACATAACGCCTGAATGCCAAAACTACAACAGTGACAGAGCTTTCTGCAGCAAAGCCACCATGACTGGCCCAAATGTTTCAGGACAGTATCTCAACATCCAGTTATTTCACAGCTGAAAAACAAAACATCTAAATAATTCAGTATTTCACTGAATATGAAAAAGTTGTTCAGCATGCGAAACATGTAACCCTGACACTAAATAACAAGAAAACCAATGCAACACACTGCAACTTGCAAAACTGTCATGATGACAGAGGGGAACTGTGCAATGCCAACGCAAGAGCTCTGATAACAATGACTTCATTCAGGGCCAAGTGAATAAAAAAAAACTGAAACAGAGCTTCTCCTCATCTCCCTCCCACTTCTATGCAGGCTGCGTAACCACAGGCTGCATATTCCAATAAAAGCTCAAATGCGACTCGGCCGCACAAGCATGAACACGAATAACAGGCCGGGCAGCAAATACAAAAGAGAGGTTAAAATACGACACCTTACGCTTATTCCTTTAACAAAACTACTATTGACACATAGACGTGTTGACACGGTTACATTTGCATATCTTCAATAAACCCAACACTCAAATGACGGAGTGTTTGTTCTCTACGCACTGCAGCGCTGTAACCTTGATGATGAGGCGTTTCCTGTTTGTAGTCTCATTCAGTGGTCGGGTTCAGTTTGAATGAGGCACCGTAAAAAGCCAAATTTAGGGTCTTGCTCAAGGACACTACAGCGGGACAGATGTTTGGCATCCTCACAATATATAGCCGCCTTCCTACTAACTGCACCACATTGCTGCTCCCACCAAGACGTATAAATCTAGAAATAGTCATATATATATATATATATATATATTGTAGTATCGACTTTACCTCTCCTATGAGACAGACAAATAAATCTCCCAGGGGGTGCTCATTTTAGGAACTCGTTTTTTTAGGTTTTTAGCTACAAAAAGGTCCGAACGAAGGTTAAAGAGAATATTCTGTCAGTAGGAAGTGAAGCTTTATACACAGACAGGAGGGGAATGATCTCGGCTCAGTGTGTGTGTGATGTAGGGTTGGGAAATCCTCCTGCTATAGGCAATAAGCATCCTGGTACCAGAGCTTTCTCTGGAACATGTGGTAAAACGTGTGTGTACATCACTGTGACACAAGACTCTGGCAATGGACGTCCACACGCAGTTTTTTTGCTGCTATCCGACCCGCTTTCCTCAGTGATTTCATGACTCTAGCTTTGGTTTTGCTGTCGAGTGAGAGTATCGCTGTGTCTGTAAAACATTGAGATGGAATGTTGCATCTCGTTTGCAACATAGCGAGAAAGCCTTGGCTCTCACTGACTGAGTAGGGGCACAAATCCTTGGCAAAAAAAGTTGCAATCCACTTTGTGATTGGCTTCACCCTTTCCCATGTTGGGCGGAAGAAGACGAAGCGAAATGCTTCCATATGTTAGCTTTTAAGCCAGGAAGTGCCGGTCAGATTGTATCCATATTCGGCTGCTGAAGCTCAGCCGCTCTCACCAAAACTCTGAGTGTATTTATCATCGTTTAGGACGTAAACAAGACGCACATGTTTTACATCTGTTGCGTTCAGAGGAAGCCATAAGGAACGGACAGCCCGGTGTCACAGAATTGATCAAAATGTTAAAAATGTAGTTTTAAATTTCCGATAATTGAGTTTTCTGCATCGAGACATACAGTAATCTTTCAAGAGAGAATTGAGATGCATCCAAGAATGGATTTTTCTCCTCCACCCCTAGTGTGATGTTAGCATGTCTGGAGCTCGACAGGCAAACCGTTAATGAACGACTGAGGGGAAGATTAAATGAACAAAAGGCAGACGGCGAGAAGGGATTCAGATTCAAGATGATCAACGAGAGGTTCAATTATAGAGTTTCACTGCAGCAACAATTATGACTTACACAAAATGTCATGTCACCCAGCTCCTTGACAGATCTGGGTCCAGATTTGAATAAAGCTCCATTGTTGCCCAAAGACTATTAAAAACACATCGCTGAGCCACACTATCACTGGGTGACATGTTCCTTCATTACCATGAACACACACAGTTTATTCTGACTCAAACTCACATCCTGCCGCACCAGAGGGCCAAATGTGGATTAATCCATCGCCGAAAATAGTCAACAAAATGCAGTATTTCCTCCTCTTTGAGGAGCATTTGCTAAAAATCAACAACACTCGGCTGTTTGCGGAACTTCCTTTAACAAGGAAACTCAGGCTGAGCTAAAAATATAAGCTTGAGGACGGTTCATAGATTGTTTTCCAATTCAAAACACAGGAAAACTAAGACATGATTGAGATATCATATTTAAAGAACAAGACCTGAGCCACAGCTGTCATTGTTATGCATACTAAGAAACATACAGTCGGTTACACCATATCAGCTTACATCATTTTCAGCAAACAGAGCAGAACACTCCTGCTGTTTGTGTTTCATGATATCAGCAGACAGCTGGCTAGTTAGCGTTAGCTCCCCAGCAGGACGAGACAGAAAGCAGAATCTGCAGACTTTTCAGCTGACTCCCCTCGAGGCTTCATCTCTCGTGATCAGATAACACCTCATCAACAAATCAGTGTTCAGAAACCTCTCCGTTTGCCCTTCTTGTAGGCGTTTTGCCCCAAATCTATATGAAATTATACATTTGTGACACGTTTTTACAGGTCTTCAGACATGGCAAGGAAGTCTTAAAGTATTGAGAGGCGCACTAACACACTATAACATTTTCAAGAGATTTGTTGACAGAAAGAAAACTATAGAATATCGCCAGACTTTTCCTTTAGTCATCAGACCTTACCTGGTGGTACTCAGACAGGATGCTGTGCATGTCTGCAATATCCTCGCTGGAGATTTGCTTGATGACGAGCGTCCGGTCGTAGGAGTTGAGGAGCAGACCCTCTCCCTGGTCCTCTACGCTCCTCACCGGGGGGCTGCGGGTCAACGACACCTGGACAACACGAAGCAGACAACTAAGATTAGAGATGATCTACCTATTAGATTAAATCTGAATTATTTTAAGGAGATTTTCGAGATACAGACAAAATTGACACCACATACATTCCCAAAGAATATAGGGTGTCTATCAGCTCATCACATACCTGATAGTCCAGATCCTCAATACCAAACCGTTCCCTTAGATTTCGGAAGACCTGAGGACAGTACTCTTTGAACTTGAAATGTCCCGGAAGATTTTCTCTGCAAAAGTAGAAGAAGCCGGCTGAAGACACAAACAGATCTTTCCCATGCCCTTTATTCTTAATTCTAATTCTTCAGTCCAACACAGAGTTCAGGACTTTGTTATCCGTTTATGATCTTCTGTTCTGAAGTTTGGGCTAACGAGAGACATGACAGTGTCTGTTGTTGACATTTCAACCAAACGTGCTTCAGTCTGAAAACTTGTGTCTGTGTCTTACTTGTTAAAGAGGTGGTTGTTGACTTTGATCTTAGTGTTGGCTTTAAAGTCATCAGGCAGCAGCATGACAGGAACAGGCACCTGGTTGAGATCATTGATCTGAAAGAAAGAAGGGAAATGCAAAAAATGTGTGAGCCCACGTTAGTGTCTGAAATAGGGCTGAAACAAAAATTTATTTTCATCAAGTAACCTGCTGAAGTGCTGAAATAATTAGGAGATTAATCGATTTGTTGATGAAAAGAAAATGAATCTGCAACTATTTTGCTAATTGATTAATGGTAAACATATCTTTTCTCTGTTTCTTCAATGTCTCAGATTTTCTCTGTTTTATATGATCGTAAACTGAATATGTAGCAGTTTTAAACTGTAGACGAGACAAGAAGATGTCGCGTTGGGCGTTGGGACCTTCAAACAGGTGCTTGATGCTGTTAAAAAAGATTTAGTTGCAACCCTACTCTGACAATTACTTTCTCAATAAGCCTAACTCATAGCTTGGTCTCCCAAACAGAAAGATTTCCATCACAACTTCCTTGTGTCCGAGGTATCGAATGTCTTGTTTAGTCCAACAAGTTCCAAAACTAAAAGATATTTAACTTTCTATGATGTCAGAAAAGAAAAAATTGATACAGATTAAATCATCCAAGTTACTATAATTTTCAGCAAATCAACTACAGATCTTGTAGTTGTCTACAAAAAGAAAAGTGGTTTAAAGTTCCATAACATTACACTTGTTGAGTGGGGGAAGAAGTTCTCAGATCCAAGTAAAAATACCAATATCACAGTTTAAATACGCTCCGTTACAAGTAAAATTCGACATTTATAAATATACTTAAAAAGGTCAAATTAATCAATTACTCAATTCAGAATAATAAAAATAATATCTCTAGATTATAGTTATTGATGCATTAATGTGAACATCACATTTCAACTACTTTACATACTGCTGGGTAGCTCAATCCTTAACAATACACTATAATGTAATTTAATATTTAATTAATGTTTGTATTAATAATGTGAATTTATAAAGTAACTGGTAGCTAATGATGTCAAATAGACGTAGGGGAGTAAAAAGTACAATATTGGCGTCCATATGTAGTAGAAACAAAATATAAATACTCAAGTGAGTTAGTTCAAAATGTAGTAAACTTAAGTAGTAACTTAACGTTACATTCCATCACTGCACCTACTATAAGGTTACTGCATTCCTTCAGATTCAATAGAAAGCTAAGCTATTAGTACTCATGAATTACTTTTAGCAAAGTCCCTTACTTAATTTTAACAACTGTTACCAAAGTCCATAGCATTTAATTAGCATTTAATAGCATTTTAATAGGCGTTAACAACAACAGTGTAACAGGTGTGTAGGTGAGACAAAGTCTGAATCTGGCAGGTCACGAATATTAGTGCAACACTACCACCTTGCTAACGCTAACTGCTAACTAAGCTAAGCTACATTTACATGACACACACTAGCATTCACTTAGCTTCAGACCGACTCACCGAGTGATTGACGCCCCACATGAAGACGCTCAGGACGGGGTCGCTGGCTCGAAACACTTTCACCTTCTGCTGCACGAAATGTTTCTTTTTTGTTTTGGTCTTCGGAGCCAAGATCACCATCGGGCTGGAAGTGGCCCCGGAGTTACCGAGGGCAGCCATGAGCACAGCCGGGCTCTGCTCGTCTCTTTGGTGACACTTCTTCCTGAAGGCTACTGCTGAGCTAACGTTAGCTAACGTCTCTCTCACACGCTACCAACGTGCATCTGTCGAGCTCCGTTTCTGTTACTCTGACGCAGTTTTTTTAACGTTAAAACCTGCGTGATGACTCATTACTCAACTTTATTAATGCGTGACTACATACTTCCGAATCACCGCTGACAGTCCACCACCGCCCCCTCGAGCCCACCCATGTTATTATCAACCACGTGGTGACTTTGTGATTGACAGGTGGCAGGGACCATTAGAATCGATACTAGTGCGTCATGTGACCACAAATGGGCGGGCGGAACAGAATGCAATGGTACGTTCATGTTAAGGTGGACGGTCGGAGTTATCAGTTCTCTAGTTAACTCTAAGCACTTTGTAAATGACTCAGTATTCATGATGTACTCAGATATAGACTTGAGACAATATAATTTATGTTTCCTGATGTATTGATGTTTCTCCCACCCTGCTATATACAGTCCTATAGAAACAGAGGGTTATTAGCGTCAGAGACCGCCTTCAATAGGGGAGGTTGGTTTGAGACGGCATGAGCTTTCATCCTGTGCTGTATACTAAAGTGGTGGTGGAGAAGATGTGTGCAGCTGTATATGATATGTGCCTCGTACATGGACTGAATGAGCCTTTGTATGTTTGTGCAAACGTCCTTGGAGTTTGTTCACTTCCAGAATATTTCAGCCCATTCATGAGGGTCTCGTAAAAACAGTCCACATGAGCTTTGCTCTTTGATTGTGTTCATTTATTTTGGATGAAAGATTTTCAGAATAATATACATTCAATCTACATGTTTACAGGAACTATTGAGACATTATGTCATTGCTTTAACATTAGTTTTGACTGGAACATTAACTCTCATCCTACCAAGTGGGGTATACTCTTTTGATTCATAAGTGTGGATGTATATCATAAAAACGTGGGTCATTATAAAACACATGTGAATGGATGCTTATGAATGCTTCAGTAGATATGCAACGCTTTCATCACGGCAAACATTTTGATTAGTGGTTATCAGTGTACTTTGAAATTGTACTTGTTTTGTATAGAGTGCAGAAAACGCAGAAACGTGTGATTTATAAAATAAACCTTTAAAGGAACTTTAATAATTAAAACAGGCCGAGATGGTAAGAAAAGGGAGGTATATGTTCTGCATATGTTTCTACAATTATACCCAATTGCATTTAAGATTGTATGTATATCGTATATGTCACGCTGCTTAAGGCAATGCAGAAGAATATGGGAGTGCCCCTTTAATAATCTTATGGGAGTGCTCCTTGAATAATCTTATGGGAGTGCTCCTTGAATAATCTTATGGGAGTGCTCCTTGAATAATCTTTTATGCGACCAATAGATTAATAATCTTGCAGCAGTGCTCATGCATACTTCCTCTGTGTTACGTAGAAGCCTGATTCTCCATATCTCTAACTGATGGTGTCACCGTCACTGTGTAAAGGCTGTGTATTTAACTATGTAGTGTGTCTATGTGTATTGTAAATAACTACACTCACTGTTGAACATCAGCACTGTATATTCTATTAAAACATTTGGGAATGCTTCATATGTGTGTATATATATATATAAATGCATTTTAAACAAACCAGACATGGAAAATAAGGAACATTTATTAAAAGGCTACAAGCCCGAGGCAACAACACTTAACACTAAATGAAAATGCAGTTCTTCATTTGATGATGTTATAAATAGGCAGATGATAGATTTATATATTTATTTATTTCCTGTAGAACATAAGACACTGTGTGTCTTCTCAGCACACGCTGTTAGATGACAGAAATTTGGGGAGAGACATCTAAGTCATCGGACTTATAACAATTTTTTTTATTTTCCTCCATGTATTCTCTCTGCTGGGAGCAATAAAACCTCGCTTTAATGGTTCTTAAGCCATTCAGTTCAAAAACACATTTTATATACAGACGTGAAACAGTCAGTCGTGATCAATAATTTCTGCTCTGCAATCAAAAATGTCATAAAGAATCCCACACAAGAATCGATCAACCATATGTTTGCATAGTCCAGGGAGCATCAATACTGTGCTGTAAATGCATATTTTATATGACCCTGGGGGGGAAGGGGGGATTTTTCTCTACTCTCACAGCTTAAATGTTTGCATCAATAATTTTCAATGAGGAAAGTGACGCATTGCTTCCATTAAAATTAATTTCAGCTCAATAGATAAACAACACAATAAAATAAGAGTCCCTTTGCTGCAGAAAATAATATGAAAATACAAAGAGTCTTATATTAGCGTGTTACCAAGCTAGCAATTGCTAATTAGCAATAAACACATAGTACAGCTGTGGTTGATGGAAATGTCATCAGCTAGACAGGTTTGTCTTCATAAAGTTTTGAACAAATTAAAATTTCAGCCTAATGGTGCTAAATGGAAAGTTGAGGGAAATTACAGTTAATCCTGGGGAACATGAACGTGTGAACCAGATTTCATCCAAAACATCCAAAAGTTGTTGAGAAGTTTCACTCAAACTTGATTTATCGCTTGGGGGCCATAGCTACATATCTGTACAAAGTTTTCAAAATTTGTTGAAATATTTCATGTTGAAATATTTCAGTCTGGACCAAAGTGATGGATTGAAAGAACAACATTCATCCCTAGAGCCAAGCGTGGCTAAAAATAAATCAAATAACTCCTCCACCATTTCTCACAAAATACTTTGCAGCTTTTACGGATGTCTCATCTTTTAAAAAGCACAATTCTCCTTTGATCTCCTGAAGCAGACAATATATATATATATATATATACATATATATGTCTGATGAAAGGACTACAAGCTGGTTATGCTTCTCACAAGAGGAATATAATTCTTCGAGACAGCTCCATTTCACCAGCTTTGTCAACCTCATTGCAGCTCAGTGTCCCTGCAGTTATAAGATCTCTGCTGATATTATTAATTCCCCCCCTCTCCTCCCCCATCCCCCCTTCATCCTGAGAACACATGTAGGCTCTGCTCAAAAGCTTTTTACCTGCAGACTATAGAAGGAGACTGTCTATATGAATACGAGTTTAGTTTATCTGCCTTAAATATGAATATATTTCCAAGTGCATCTCACTCATGATTGAGTGTTTAAAATAGACATCTGAACAAAGAAATATCACAGCTGTCCTCTTTCAGCAGAGAAGTCTGATCTATAATCAATGAAATTCATCCTGCTCCAGATCAGTATGTATGATCACACATAATGCCACTAAGTTTGCATGTTCTGAGTAGTTTATGGAATTGTTGCAGTAGTGGAATGTAACTACAATAACTCAAGTATACTCCTCTGCTTCTCAGCCTTTTCCTGTACTTCAACAAGAACGAAAAACATAACATTTTTAAACTAAGTGCGAAACACAATATTTCCTTTTATGTATTTTGATATTTTTTGTTTAGATTTTGTCATGGGCCTAAATGATTTACTTGTTATTTCAGGTCTCTGGATTCTGGCAGTAGGATGACATTTTCCCGACAGACTGAAGTTCGTATCACAAACCTAACGGACATACAGTAGATACTTGATAGCAGGCGTCCAGTTCTGACATTTAAACCAGCACCACCAAGCACTGCATGCAGTGGGAGAATTGAGCCACCAGAGGCCACCAGGAATTCAACACCTTCTTCCTGCACATAGATTCAGTATAATAACAGAGAGATGCTTATTCATTTCAACCCTGACTGACTTGTGTTAGAATTGAAAGCATCATTATGTTTGTAGAAACAGTGTGCAAGAAAGAGAATACATATTTGTGTGATTTGATGTTTTTCTTGTTTACAATATAAAAAAATAGCTATTAACATACATGTAATGGAATGAGACACTAAGACCTGAGAGATTGGACGCTGTTATCCAGTTATACGGCATCTGAAGTATGTAATTCATTATAGTATTATTTTAATAGGCCACTTTTATCAGTGGAAGAAGAAGAAAGCACATTTACTAATAACATTAACAATGGCTTTATTCTATCCATGTGTCCCAGTAATTTGAATTATTATTTATATTTCAGGTTTGACATGTCGAAATATACAGCTTTCACAGCTGTCAAATCTTAACTTAACATAAATTATTGAGCTGGGAAAACTAATTACAAGGATTGTGTAAATTAGGCATATTCAACAGATTACTTACTTTTATGTTAACTTTTGTGTTGTGAGTACTGGAAAGATACTAGATGTTCTAAAAAAACACCTCTTGCCTCCCTGCTTTGTGTCTTAACAAAGTCTGCTCTCTGCATTACGTAGTTTCAATGAAGATTCATTCAAACATGCAGAGGATTAATGGACAAGAAATAATAAAGTCTCTTAACACAGCGTAATGGTTTTCCTGAAACAACTCAAACACTCTGGCTGCCCTTTGAATATTTGTGCTAATTTTAGACTCTTGCAGTGAATAAATGATTCATTCTCACAGAAGAACAGAGCTTTTTGTTCTTTATTATCAAAACGAATATTAAACTATGTATTGTACTATCTGTTAGTCATCATATGATTTATTCAAGATCTTTACATACAGCTCAGTGTGATACAGCTGCTTTATGGAGTTAATCTGTGATACACTTTCAACAGTATTTAGTTAATTTCTCAAACACAGATATCTAAATTATCTTTTTGTTTCCTCAGATTGCGTTTGAAGATAGTTTAGAATAAGTCATCAAAGAAAAAGATGTAGCCAAAGACATCACAACTTAAAAAAAAGTTGTTGGAACAATCTCCTCATAAGTGTGTTTGATTTAAAAAGTAAAAGTAACAAAACCACACGATAAAATAAGTAAAAATACTCATTCGGTGGCAGGCTGGCCCACTGTCAGAATTAATATATTGACTATATTAATTGAACAGTGCTGATAGGACGATTTTGATAGGTTACCTTTGGACAGCAGATTTTCCAGTCATCTTGCAAAGCTATAAGCTAACCAGCTGCTGGATGTAGCTTCATATTTCACAGGCAAATAGACAGAGAGTGGTATCGATCTACTCGTCTAACTCTCGAGAAGAAATCAAATATTCCTTCTATTCCTCTCAAGAAATTCACTGTTTTGTGGCAACTTTTTCTGGTTAATAACATCTGTGATCTTTTTAACCTCTTTTGACACACTTGACTTTTTTCTCAATTAAATTTAAATTTCAAATGAAGTGCACGTCACTGACATACAAAATGGGTCTGAAATAACTGTTGAGGTTTCTGTGTTTCCTTCAGTGACATATCGAGGTCAATAATGTGGTGAAGTGAGTGGGCACAATGTATATTGTATGAGTGAAAAGGAGAGGAATTAAGAAAATCAGCATAAAAAGTCCATGATTATCACTCTGAACTGTTTGTGAATTATTGAATCATTTCATTGTCATATAAAGGGGAACACTGTTAGACGTCATCTTGCTGGATATTTACTGCAGAAGACTGAATAAATCTGCGGTCTGACAAGTCCCTGTTCAGAATTACGAAGCAGAGCATGCTGTCAAACAACACCACTAAATGAGCTAGCATGCCATTAATAGTCAAAGTAGTTTCTCTGCTGTGTCTCCACAGAGAGTGGGTTGCATTGTCACATATTTAGTGTCTGTCTAGACTTTTAAGTTTCGGTTTCATTCAAATTTGACGCTCCAGGCAAAGGAAGGTGTTGAGACTTCAACTGTCTAAAAAAGTTTAATTTCCAGGAATTAAAGAACGTTTTCTGATGGAATCTTGTACAAAATGAAAGACTGACGAAGTAAAGAATAATACTCAGCAAGCACAATCAGTCCTTCAGTCGAGGCAATGGGTATTTTTTATATCTGACATAAAATCAAACACAACAAGACATTAATAATACATTATTGATAAATGTTGTCACAGCTGCAAGAAAAAAATAGAAATGGCTGCTGGAGCCACTGGCAGCATTTTTGCTGTAGGTGTTTTTATTTCTGCTTTTGTGGCATCTCTTTCATCACAAAAAACTCCTTATATAGAATTAATCAGCACCATTCAGACTGCACAATGTCCAGAGGGACTTTTCTCTGGATGTAACAAGAGAGAGTGGCTCAACAGGGTTGATTATTGACAGTAACCTCACCTATAGGTGCCCAACCTGCTGTGAACCTGCATTTAGTTCAAACAAAGCCATCTTCTTATTTGTTTTTTCCAATAATTGTTATTTATGTTATTTACACGCTAAGGTTTATGCTTTTTATAGTTTAGAGCTGCAACAGGAAACTGGGAAAAGCAAACAAAGGTGTGATGTGTTCAAACAAACACAATAAGATACAAGCAAATTAATGCAAATCAAAAACAAAAGAGAATTAGAAGTGCGTCCTTGAAATGATCCATCTGTGATTCTCTATTCAGGGCTGTACTGATGCTAAACGACAACATGTGCTAGAGCTACAGTGCAATTCAGTTTATGTAAATCTCCCTTCTCTAAAGGAAACACTGGATGAACAACGTTTATATTTATTTTAATTCGACACACAAAACTCTCATGAATAAAAAAAATGTATACATTTTTTTAAGGTTTTTAAAATTATTTGTTAATCCACAAAAAACTACAAAGCTTTTTTTTTAAAACACAAGATCAAACATGTACAATAGACAGAATAGATAATATATATTGAACAGATGGTGAAGAGTTGGCTGTGTTGAGATGCACAGGCATGCAGTGATGATGAAAACAACAGCAATAAGACGACAGAGACAGCCAAGTTGTTGGCAACAATTAACATCAAAATATTTTTCCCATAATGCACTTGCACTTGCTAGATTTGTTACATGTCAAAAAGACAATTTCAAGACAACTTTTCTTTCATCCCCTGGCTTGGCCCGATAGGAGCTATAGGAGCTTTATTACCTCCTAGTTTGTCAGACTGTAAATCTAATGATACAAACTTTTCACACATAATAATCTCAGTGGATGGGCTGAGGGATTGTTGTTATTATATTTTTTCTTTTTAGATTGTAGTCTAAGAAGATCCAGTGATATTTTCAATGATTAGAAGAGGAGTTTAGTTGGTATATGCAGAAAAACATTATTGCAACTAACTGAGACTCAAAAGACTTAATACTAAAAGGACCTGCACATCCACACAGTCTGTCTAATCACTCTGTGAAATTAGGTGGGGCTATTCTGGGAATTTCACAATGTCACCAAACTTTAATGATTTATAAAGGGTCCTCTACATCCCTTTACAGTCAGAATTAAATACCCAAATAATGATAATGATTAAAAGAAAGATAACAGTGTAAATGCTCCAGCACTTACTTTACTCCTCCTGATGCACATTTACAGAAATGCACTACAGGAAGGCACAATTCATTTTTTATTTTTTTTGGTTTAAGGTTTTCTTGTGTAACAAATGGGTTACAATTGCATTTCTATAAATTATCTTTGAATCCTTGAATGCTTGAATCCTTGAACAAAGCTAACATGAGGACATGCCAATCAAACTCAGTATATAGGACATCACACAGGTATGAGAGGAGGTCTAATCAGGTAACATAAGTGAAAACACCTGTGTAGATGGAGCGCTGCGTAAAGGCTTTAGCTACTTAGGCTCGCTTAAAAACCATGTCAGCCTACAGCTGTCTATAGCGGCTGGATAGTTATTCTGTTGACCTATTTATGATCATGAATGAATAAATAAGACTTAAAGTCGCAAGTCGCTAGCTGCTCTGTAAAGCTGTACTTAGGAACAGCGATACTTTGAGCAAAATGCTAACGTTTGGAAGCTGAGGTGCTCACAATGACAATGCTAACATGCCGATGTTTAGAAGGCATAAAGTGTACAATGTTCACCATCTTAGTTTAGCATGTTAGCATCCTACCATTTAGTAGTTAGTGCTTAACACAAAGAACATCTGAGGTTGGTGTGTGTGTACTCCAGAGTAGAGGAGACATTGACTCAAAACCACTAAAGTGAACATCATGGTGGCGCTATAGAGGAAAAATCACATTACCAGGGTCACCAAAGTCAGTTCAAAATGTCATCACAATCCATCAAAGAGTTATTAGATGAATGAATAAATAAGTATTAATAAAAGGGGAAAGTCTAGACTGTGTTCATCAGTGCTGTTGAAGAGTGTGGTATATCTCAGGACAATCCAGCCTGAGAGTGTAATCATGAAAAGCACAAGTGCACTTGTTATCAGGAGACATGCTGATTCTTTGATAAGGTCAGTGTTGCACATAAGTACCGGCACTACTCAAAAGTTTGGACATTGTTTCAAGGCAAAATTCTAAATATGCATCCACAGGATCAGTTTTACATGTCACATAAAATGTCAATCTTTCAGTCATTGTTTTTACATTTTTTTATGTTTACTAAAATGGCGAGTACAGTATTTCCAAACATTTCAAAGAACCACTAATTTTTGTGTAACTGCAACAGATATTATGATGTACATTATGTGCCACTAGGCAGCGTGAGGTACACTAAAGCCTGCTTTCACACACTGTGTTTAACACAGTTACAATACTGATGCAAAAGTACCACAACTACCACAAACTACACGTTTGTCACTGCAAACAAGAAGAATATCTACAGATCTCAGAGGCAGTAAATACTTTTTCTAACAGATGGAAATAACAGCAACCGTAAACAATAAATAGAAAGATTTTCACAAATAATTCCCTTATCCTAATGAAGCCAACAAACTCATTAAGAAATGCTGAAAGTGCTCGCGTCGTCATCCGTTTCGTTGCCCCTCCTTTTGGTTTGGCCGCTCACCTCCTCCTGATCTGTGACCTGCTCATTGCTCTCATGGGATGAATCCTTTATCACGCTGTAATACATCGGCACGTTGTACTCTGCCGCCTTCCCCTTGTGTCGCCAGCTGCACTTGCAGAGCTTTTTGAACGCGACACGAAACTTCTGAGACATGAGGTTGTAAATGATGGGGTTGATGGCACTGTTGGTGTAGATGCACATGCGACAGAAGAGCAGGAACCAGGTGTTGTGGTAAGGCGGGTCGATAAAGGAGTTGACCACCACCAGGGTTCGATAAGGCATCCAGAGCACGGCGAAGAGGACGACCACCACAGCCAGCATCTTTGTTATCTGTTGATACAGAGAAGGAGACAGAGGAGCAAGGAAACAAAGAACAATAGAGATGTAATTATGTGGCAGTAATGAGGAAGAGTAATTATTTGAACAAGCACGCTGATATGATGTCAGTGTTTGAGAACATTTTCTAATAACAAGAGTTTACAGCTATGCTAGTGGCTTTGTTAGGTTGTACCCACAGACAGCTGCACTAAATGCTAACATCAACATGCTAACATGCTAACAATTAAATTGCTATTAGTTTTGCAAGTTGTTGGTCATAAACCAAAGTATTGGATCTGATGATGGTGCGAGATAAGAAAGTCAGAGGATCACCAAGTTATTACAGTTACTGAATGTCTGAACCAAATTGCAATCCATCTAATAGTTGTAGAGACATTTCGCTCAAAATCACAAATGTCAACCTCCCGGTGGCGCTGGAGGAAAAATCAGGAGGTCACCAAAGTCAGTAGGATTCATCTTCTGAGAACCATGAACACCATCCAATAGTTGTTTGCGATAGTTTGATGAAACCATTATGAAAAATCATACATTTGAAGGAACAATTAAGATTTTGAGATTCCTGGCCTAAACTATATATTTTTTCAGATCTAGCTAAAAAGACACTTACACAGAATATATTCACAAGACTTTAATTTTCATTCATGAAGAGAGATTATTGTCTAAACTGTGTTTTAGCATTTACTGTACCTGTTTCCTTGCAGAGACCGCACCTCTGTTTGCCTTGTTAGTGCTGCGGGAGTGACCCTGGTGAACCGACCCTCCTCCGTCGTTCATGTGCGAAGGCAGAGGGCTCATGAACAAAATCCTGGCGATGAGACCGTAAAGCACAGTGGCCACAATGAGGGGTATCACATAGAACAAAGTGAAGTCCAGGAAATAGATCGGCATGTAGAAGTTCCTGGAGACGCGGTAGCCACATGTGACGACCACTCCGTTGGTGTAGACGGTTTCATCTGTGTCCACTAAGAAGAACCACATAATGCAGTAGAGTGAGGTGAAGACCCAGACCGCGGCTATGATCCTCTTGGCCCGGGAAACGGTGCATATGAATTGTGCCTTCATGGAATGGCAAATAGCGATGTATCGCTCGATGGTGAAGGCTGTGATGGAGCAGGACGACACGTTGATGCCCAGGTACTGAAGATAAGTAATGCACAAGCATCCTGTGTATCCGTATATCCAGAAGGCTATAACATACGAGATATTAGGCAGCCCTGCAGCAAGGAGCACAATGAGGTCTGCGACAGCCAGACTGACGAGGTAGCAGTTAGTCGGGGTCACCATGTGTTTAGTGCGCAGCACAACCAGCACCACCATGATGTTGCCGGCAATCCCAATTATACAGATGAGCATTGTCAAAAATATTGTTATGACCTGCTCTTCAAGAGGGTTCAGAGGTATTTCTGTCAGATTAACAAACTGAGTGACATCTTGAAAGATGGTTGTGTTGTTCTCCATTGTGTTTAAGTCCTACGTCCACAATTCAGTTGTTCTCCAGAGAGACAAAACAAGAATCCTGAAGACAGAAACAGAGAGAAACAATAGGGACTGTATAAAATGATCGTGCTGGGATGGGGGATTTGAATTAAAAAACATTTTTAAAGCACGGTGCTCTGCTTCATGTTGTATTTTACTGCTACCCTTGACTTATAGGGGCACGAAAACTGCAACATCTTCCCTCCGATCTAATACAAACCTTAAAGCGGCTATAATCAATATTTTTACTCTAACAATGTAATGTGAAAATGTGACAAAGTGAAAGGAGTCGCTCGCACTGATGAACCCACAGAGAATTATCACCTGAATCTGCAGCTCCTCTCCACTTTACGGAGCTTCATAGTGAGTTTGTGTCCGGCTGCAACTTTACTGTTTTGATTCATTCTCAAGGTTCTCACAATACATTCTCAGATTTAGCAGCCAGCTGTTCAGTAAAGAAGATCCTAAAAACTCACTTTACTCTGCTCAGCACCAGACAACGGAAACACACAGTTAAAGACTAGCTGGGGGAAATAGTGGAGCATTTAGCTGCTAAAGGCCCAGATATTTCCCTCAGGAGTCGGTAGAGACCAAAACAGAGCTAAAAGAGAATGAAAATTGGACTTACATTCATCAGGTGGACACATTTACGACAATTGCTCCGTAACTGCTGGATATTTAAATATGCAACTCTTTGCTAACAAACGTATTAAATCAACTCAAAAGAATATATGTCAAAGTTGTGTTGAAATCAGCTATTGCAGGTTTTATATATATTTAAGGGACAGTGTGTAGTATTTCGAGGGATGTGTAATATAATATATTCATAACTATGTTGTGTGTATAATCACCTGAAACTAGCTTAGAATGAGCCCTTCATATCCACAGAGGGTGCAGATTCTCTTCAGAGTCCACCATGTTGCAACGCCAGGGGGGTTAGCTGCTGGTAGAGATGACATTTAATCACCAACATCCACAAAGATGTTTTCTGTGTTTCTCACAAGTGATTAGTCCTATTAGCTAGTTGACTGTGAAGATAAAGTTAAGCCCTGGTTGTCTGAATGATAAAATGCACCTTAATGACCAAAAGCCATAATGTTTAACTATTTGATCCTTTTTCTTTAATAAAAGATCGCCCCCTGCTCTACCAGAAAAGTCAGACTGCCCTCAGCAAAAAAATAAAAATACATAACATTCCCCTTTATATCCCGAAAAGCAAAAGTACATTTCTTTCATTCACAGTTGATTCAGGTTAAGAAAATAAACTGTAAACTGATATATAGCAAATATTTTTAAGAGAAAAGAATGAGGAGCTTACCATGATTTGTAAAAGGCAGCTCTCACTCTGGCGTGGTAGCAGGACTCAGGTACAATCACCTAAGAAACACAAATGAATGCATATTCCTTCTCCGGAGTCGCTCGAGTCGTCCCTCCCTCTCTCTCTCTTGCTCTTCATCCTTTTTTTTTTTTTTTTTTTACCAGTGCACCCCTCCCTTTCTTTCACATCACACACCATTACATCCACACTGCAACACATTGCCTTGCACACAGCCACCAACTTAAAAATCAATTCCACCTCGTCACGTTATGTCAACCACTGAGGCCAAGGCTGAAACCATAAACCCTGCAATTACGGAAAGAACAGAGGAACTAGGAGATGTTTCCCACCTACTACAGCTTCCTTCTATTCCCACCAGTCAGATGACGGTGTTGGACTATTGCAGACTTTCCCCACCATTCCTCATCCATCCCAGGTTCCCCCTATGCTTCAGGTAACATCCCATGAACTTATGAGAACATTGTGTATTTTATGTTGGTAACTTGCACTAGCAATTGGTATGTTGTTTGCTAAGTAGATTTATTTTTTGTCAACAATAGTGATTTCAAACTAAACGTGTTCCTCATTCAGACCTACTGATGGATTGTGTCCTTTTCAGCCTGTAGCTGATAATGGTTTATTTAGTTTCACTCAAGCAAGACTTACAATCTGAATTCAATCAACTGATATCCCTTGAATTTATATTTGTTATTTCATCAAATAATGTGAGTGTAACGCTATAATATCATTTTTTGCCAGGGCCAGAGTGTGGCCACGAATGTAATTTTAAATGCTCATTCGTCCCGAGGGTCTACTCAGGTAACAGAGCCCGACCTGTTCAGATACTTCATGCAAAACCTCCTCACTGAATTGATTTGGTTTTCTTCAGTCCTCTTTTGAGAAGACAAATGGATCATGGGTGTTGTGTTTCTTTCAAGAAACCTGTTGCGTCTTAGAGGACTGACAGCAGCGAAGGAAGGACCCCTCGTTTGTTCTGAGTTGAGACAAAGAAGAAAATCCTTTTCTATTCACAAAAATATTTCATTTGTCATCCAATTTTTTTGCTTTGCATCCTCACAAGTTAATTTTCAGTTCAGTTACAAATCCAATCTTGTTTTGAAGTGTTCGGTTTGTAGATGAAAAGTAAACATTATAGTCATAATAGAAAAGCTAGGCTTGTTTACTCATGTGTTAACTGCATTGATAACTTAGATTTAACTGTTTTCAATGTAGTCCGGTCGAACGCGAAATTAAAGCAGCTTTAAGTCCTGTGTTTTGAATTTTTTTACTTTACATTTGGACTACTCTGAATTTATAAGGATAATGTTCTCTAAAAATATACATATTCTGTCTTGTTGCATTTTCTATTGGGGGCTGAGCCTTTTCCTCACACCTCTATCTCTTTACATATAGTTGTTTGCTGCTTTATTAATGCTCTGAATGCCGTATATTATTCTTTTAGTTATGTTTTACAGTTGGGGCTTTAAAAACCGCCAACAGGGGTAGTAACGAGTCGCTTTCTGAAAATCATGTTTATCACCAATTCTCAGAAAAAGGTCATGAAGTATGAAAGTGATAAGGTTGAGTGTTTTTGAGCTGTTAAAGACAACGTCTGACAGAACACTTACCTAGATAACATTAACAGTATTCATATTTCCACACTAGACCGCAAACAGAAAAGACGGAAAATTAATTTGTGTCACTGTTAGTGCTTTTACTCAGGCCCTCGAACTACTTGTCTGCTGACGTTACTTTATACTTCTACTCCACTACTTTTCAGAGGGGAAATATTCTACCTAAATACAGTACTTGAGTACATGTACCTAGTTAATTTCCATCACTGGCTTCACCATCAGTAGCCTGTAATTCAACACACCATCCCCTGCAGTGATTGGGCATTCAATTGAAATGGCACTAATTACGAAGTAGAGCTTTTCTTGTGCCACAAGGAGACATCATTTAGTTAACATTTCATCTTCTGTAAAAAGGAAAAGGACATGGTTTTGCACAGATTCACGGGTAAGAAAGTTTCTTTAGGGACAAAAAGGAACCCACATCATAAGATTAAGAGTGTTGTTATACCTCTGAGGCTTTTCCAGCTCCTGGCACTCTACTTGTGTAGTAGATTCTGATACTGTTAAAAAACCTGCTCCCAATAGCTGTAAACATTAAGTAACAGAAGAAAAAGATCGTCCTCAACATCTTTCTCAAAGCTATGAAAACAGATTGTTATAAACCACTCTGAGCTCGGAAAGCTCTCTAAACCTTTTACTGCAGACAGGACTGAAAGTATGAATGCTAATGTATGACAGATGCTTGCATTTTCATAATTTCAAAGAGTCAGTCCAGGCTTCCTCTAATGAATAGATAACAGCTTCACAGAGGAAGCAAAAATCCCGCAGAGCAGTTTCTGTCCAGGTAATTGTTTGATTGAACTGCTGAATGCTAATAAGTAGATCCTATACTGTGTCTGAACAAATGTTGTGATTAGTGCGCTCGATGTCATGCTGTGCATCCAAAATGTGTTCAAACCCACAGACATTTATTTGAAGTTCCAGTTGAGATCCTACCGTTTCCAGAGCAAACATGCCAGTCTTGATTTTCGGGTAATGTCAATAAAATGAAAGATATCTTGAATATGTGTGGTTTAACATTTCACTAAGTGTAAACAACAACAAGTTGATACAGAAAAGTGATAATGTCAGTGCAAAAAAAGTTATTTTTTCAAACCTTAAAGCTACTAAAGAAGAAAGAAAATGGCAAGAATGGACATGAAGAGCTACATTTTATTTACATTTTTTAAAATAATTGATCATTCACTTCACTGCATTTCCATCAGCAATAAGCCCAGCGATGTCACACACACGAAGCAAACCTCTGATGGAAAATACATGAATAGTTTATCATTTCTGTGTGTCATCTTTACACAAACTGCTGGATTTTGAGAGTGGACACAAAGTCAGAATTAAAAATAGATGATAAAGAGGTATTCTATTATTATTCTGGGATTGTATCTTAAAATAAACTCCTGAGGGCTCGTGGGAGTTTTAAGCAGGGGTGTGCTGATAAAAATGCAAAACGTTTTCAGAGAAAGGAAGAGATTTTTTTGAAAGGGCACACTGATTAAAATAGGCTGGTGAATTATTTGATGTGCACATGAAACAGATTCATTTAATCTATTAAAGTCATCTAAGCCAATAAAATATTCATAACAACTGTAAGATCCAATATATTGCTGTTCATTTCAGGAGGTACGTATTATTCTCTATCCTCAGCTGTCCAAAGCACCATAGTGGCATCTAGTGGGACTGAGGGGTAAACAAAAGAAATAACAGATTTATACTGAACCACACAAGAAGATAAATGATACTACACACACACATACAGAGAAAAATATACAGTGAAACATCAGCTCTGTGACATTCATGTAAAATACAACAACAACCTGTTAGACAAACAAGATGGATGCAAATTGAGCTGATGAGGTGGCACATCAGGTTTTAGTCTGTCAAGTGGAGGCGCCCCTGGACAGGAAAAGGTGTTGTTTCACAGGATGCTCTATCTTCATTTTCTATTCAGCAAGAACAGACACAGGAAGAGCAGCAATTGATGTGCTAAAAAACTGAAAGCGAAACTGCACTGTAGGTAAGAAGACGAGTCTTCTTCCACAAACTGTCGGTCAGAAGACAGCTCTGTGAGGCTGTATTTAGGCACAACAGTGATTTGAGGCAAATGCTAACGTCCGACTGCTCCAGTTCCCCCATAATACTAAGGCTGGATCCCCCTCCGGACCCCTAATTATTGCATAATGTGGAGAACCAAACCTATTGGGGTGTTTAATGGACTGCATTATTTTGAGCTTTTCTAGTTTTAGTTCATACCGTGGTGGCAGAGGTTATCATACAAAGTGCCACCTGTTCCTCAGGACCGCTAAACATTCATAGCACGCTCACTGACAATTTGGGGTTCAGTATCTTGCCTAAGGAAACTTCAACATGTAGATTGCAAGGGCCAGGGATCGAACTGTCGACTTCCCGCTTAGTGGACGACTAGTGTACCTCCTGATATAATAGTTGTGCTTAATATTTTTGGTATCCCTAAAATCGCATGTGGCCCCAGCCTGGCCTCCACATTTTAAATGGTCTGGAACCGTCACTGTTGTCATGGCAAGACCTCAAATAATTGTTGAAATATGAAAGTGGACCAACACACACCAACATTGCTATCCCAGCATGGCTGAAATCATCCTCAAATAAATCTGGACAGAGCTGCATTGTCCAGTAAACGTTCACCCACGGCCAACCTCAAACAGAAATGGTCTCCATCTGCTTTGTTCTAGTCTCCTTCACTTGTACTTTCTTCATCAAGTACGCCATTTTCCTCTCCTCTTGCTCTCTGAAAAAGGATGCAGAGATTCTCCTTCGCAGCCGTCTGGCGTAAACCTCAAGGAACACTAGCGAGTAGCTCATCGCCCAAAGACATCCCAGCAGGAGTGTGACTCCCAGGTTCGGAGCTGAAGTCGTCGCCTCACAGAGCGATGGCTCGGGGTTGAAGGTCCACTTGTAATCCCTGTGGAAGTTTGTGAGCTCCCGTGTGACACAGGATTGTGGGATGATGCAGAAGGCAGGGGGGAACCACTGAACCTATCAGGAGATTAAAAAGAGCAAATACTGGAGGAAAAAGTGAGGAAGCAAATACTGCAGGAACAATAAAAAGAGCTGCAGTGATGTCTTACCTTATAATTGACACTTATGCTGGCAGATGTCGGTGGAAAATCCACTATCCACGGCACGATCGCCTGAACTATGTGATACACAACATAATCCAAAGCTACTATTAAAGTTATTGCAATGAAATATAATGTTACCACAATCAGGGATACGAAACAGGAGGTACATTCCTGACTTGTTATTTTGCAGCTTGTGGGATAAGTTTCATTTTTCTCTCTTTGCAGGAGCCCTCTGGAGATGTAGCCATTATCAAACTTAACTGATGCCAGATACGATTTTAAGTAGCGGGCAGACTCAAAGATTAGTATAGCCACAAAAACGGCAGCGAGGATCCTGTTCGACAGCAGTTTGTATTCTTTTAGCAGGTTCCTGGCATGTGAGAAGTTGACCTCTATCTGCGCAATCATCTTAGTAAACCTGCTTTTGACTTCTGACACATCCACATGGGTGAAATGATCCAACTTCCTCAAGTTGGTGACGATGCTCAAGTCTTCCCTCTTCACTTTGATGGCTTCCTCTACGAGGTCTCGCTTTGCGTTATTCAACGGTTCAGATGAGTTTAACAAAGTCTTTGTGAATCCCTCAGCGGTGCACTTTAAGATGCGAGCGACCACCCCTACGTTCACCGTGATATTGGGGACGACGTTCAAAACTAGAATCATAACAGAGGCTGTGATGAGGAGTTTGCGTCCCTGTTTGGTGCAGACGGTGGGCAGAGTCATGGTCAGCACACAGCGCAGGGGGTGACACAGGAACGAGACCAGAAACATGGCTACGCTGTAGATGCAGGCGGTCTGAATAGACGCTTCATGGCTGTATTTCAGAGTTTTTGACAGCCAGTGATGAAGCAGGCCGCCAGTGACAACGGTGAGTGTGAGACAGAGAGACAGTAGAGTCGCGACGTCTCTGCCGGCAGGTGCAGGTGCAGAGTAAACATCCCATAGATAAAGCAGGACAGATTTTAAAGCCTGTCTGAAAGATGCGGTTCTGTTTCTGAGGAAAGAAAACACAACCTGAACAAAGCTGAGGAATAGTTTTGGGAAATATTTGCTTTCTTGCAGAGAGTTAGATGAGAAACAGCAGACTGTTAGCTTAGCTTAGCATAACGACTGGAAACAGGGGAAACAGTTAGCCTGGTTCTGTCCAAATGTAAAAAATGAATAAAAATCTGCATTTCTTTTCTTTTTTTTTACTGATTAAACAAAGGAGATAAAACTTGTTCATTACTTTAGAGGTGTTTTTCTGACTACAGCTAAAGCTAACCGGCTGCTGGCTTCAGCTTCATATTGACCGGACAGACAGAAGAGTGTGATTGGTTGTCTCATTAAACTCTAGGCATGAAAGCAGATGAGCAAAACTCCCAAGATGTTACACTATTACCTTAAGTTTGAAGCTACAGGCGATTAGCCTAGCCTAGCAGAAAGACTAAGCTCAGGGGGAAACAGCCTGGCTGTCTCCAAAGTAGAAAAAAACCCTGCTCATAACATCTCTAAATATTAACTAATTAACACATTGTATGCTTGTTTAATCTGTCCAGAACAGAAATGTAAAAGAAGAATTTGTGTATCAGGATTAAGTATTTATTTATAAAAAAATCAAAAAAAAAAAATCCCTTAAAACCACATATTGACATGTTTCTCATGTGACTCTTGTCAAGAAAGCAAACTTATTTTCCAAAATGTCAAGTCAAGTCAATTTTTTTAATATAGCCCAATATCACAAATCTATACAGGAGCATGAATTCTGCAAAATATCACTTTGCATATACAATTGATTACTCTAAAAGTGCTGTAAAATAAAGAGTAATTTGAATGAGACATTTAAAAATTCCGGTTATGTAATTTTACAGAAAAATACTGCAATAATCAATGATGCAGGCCTCAAACTGTTAAATTTAGGCGTAAAGAAACATTATCTACAACTTACTATACTGTATAGCCAATATAGGACTAGCCTAATGATAGATAGATAGATAGATAGATAGATAGATAGATAGATAGATAGATAGATAGATAGATAGAATTAAAGAAAAGGCTAAATTAAAGATAAATAATGATTCTTACCTGACAGGAATAATAACATTCTCTGAAATAAACTTCATTCTCACAACTGATGTGACAATATGAGTTTAAGGAAAAGCAGGATTGGGAAGTGTTGTAGGATTATGAGGATTAAAAGAGGAACCTCTCTGAACAGTCACTGTCATGTTGGTATTTGTGGGTCGCCTACAAGTTCCCACGTGGGAAATGTAAACCATAAATGACACGAAATCATATGGACAGGCATGATACAATCACACGCACGCAATGTGACAAAGGTCACCGTCTCAGAACGTGTTGCAATTTTTATGTTTGTTTCAGTCCGCTCACACACTGTGTTATGCTGATGTAAGTGTGATCACACATAGTTAACCTGCTTGGCTTCTGTCTGTCGCATTACTAAACTGTTTCTGGTTGCATGTTGCAGGCCTTTACACTTTCCTCCAGTTACACAAGTATAAACCTTTTGACTGATACACATCTTCCACCGAAGTAATTAACTTAATAAAAGAAGTGTTGCGTCATATTTTCTTATTCTAACAGGACACAAATCAATAAAAAAAAGTAGGGCCAGTAATTAACATTTGTTCTGCCGCCTACCAGCAGTTGGTAGGTTGATAGAGTTCTATCCTCGGATTAACTGACATTCTGTTGATAGTACCAACCATGGCAGTTTAACGTTACAACCGCCACTTTGTCAAATCTGTGATAAATACTGACAACCTACACAACCTACTATGGAGCCAGAGGGAAAAAACAATTCCACAACTAGAACAAAGTTATATTTAACCTCCATAAACCTTTCCTTCACTTATGTTTCGTTTGAATACATTGTTGTATTTTTCAAAGTTCAAGACCAAAATTTGAACTTTCAGTTTAAATTTTTTTTTCAAATGATTACAACTATTAGCCTGGATTTGGCTCCATATCCTACAACCTACAACCTTGCTGCTAACCTAGCTAGCTGTCTGGAGCTGATGTGTTGCTAACACTGCATTCTAAGAAACTGATAAATTACTGTTGGGGTCTCTACATATTTTACTTCTACTCTTGTGGACTCAACTCTCACTCCTAACTCTTAAAAATCAAAGGTTGGTCAGCGCCCCTCAGCATCGGAGATAGACACAAGGAGGCACCCGGCTTTCAACTAACTCCAATTTAAATCCTCCCACAACATTAGTGGACAGTTATGTCATGTGACGTAGAATAAAGTGCACGAGAGTCTACTTAGGGCCAGATGACCATTGTTTGTGTCCAATGCAAAACTAAAAGTAAACGCTGACATTTTGTTACTTGAGTCATTAAGTCACATGAGTTGTAAGTGTCGATGCACGATGAGTCTTTTGCTACTGTAGTTTTGTTGCCTAATACTAACTTCCTGTGAAGACAGAAGTTTACTTTGAAAGGACACATGCATGTTGACACACACCTTGATACAGGTACAACAGGTACCCAGTGCGTCGATCTCTGATGCCAAGGAGCACTGACCAAGCGTCAGTATTTGACGAGTTGGAGTGAGAATGTGTTTGTGAACTATTTGAATTACTGTGTGGGACAATTATTCTAATGTCACAGTTATCCATGTGTTTGCTTGCTACTGAACTTATTCATTTTACAATACCTTTGGTTTAGCTCTTATGTCACAATTATTTCATCTTTTGCCCAACACTGTTTTTGCAATTTCACATTTGCTTCCAGTAAACATTTCAAAGGCGAACTGTTCTCTTCAGTCTTTATTACAAGTGTGTTGAGCTCACTGCATAGCTGTGCACCTCCACCAGTGAAGGCAGAGAAACTGTATTAGAGCCTCCCACTATCTCTCTCCTCAACACACACACACACACAGATTTGAAATATACAGTTGGGTACATCCTGTCTTGGTCTGTGGCTTTTGGTTGAGTATTTCATAGTTTTGCACAAATTAACCAGCCTTGCACAAGTTAAACATTGTTGTTGGTTATGACACCAAACAAACATTGTAAGTAATTTACAACGTTGTGCTCTCTCTGTGTGTACGGAAGTGAAAATGTGTTAAAATAGGTGCTAAACCTGCAGCAGTACAGCTATAGATCATCAAAACCTGAGGATTGAGGGTTACATTTTGTATCAAAACTAAAGCAGAATTCAGCTGTTGCAAATATTCTGAAAGCAAAGTCCTTCTCATAATGAACCTTAATGCTCTCCTCGCAGCCAAATGCATAGACCACATGCAACTAAATTAGCAATATTTCATTCAGTTTCTTTTATATCATCAAAATACAGACAATTTATTTGTAACAGCAGTTATATTAATGCAAATCACTCTATAACAAAATTCATTATTTGGATTCATTAACGTAGAAAGGTTTTTGAAAATATTGTTTATGTGCTGTGGATTTAAACATGTGCCATATAATACATAAAGGAGCAACATGATCTCTCAGGGATTCTAACCAAAAGTCAAAATATAATAATATATTTATATCAAATATATATTTAAAAATAATTATTCACAGAGGTATCTCTCATTCTTCCAGCAGAGGTGAGCATCAATACAAACAGCACACTCTGCAGTCTGACTGGTGTTTCTCTTCAGAGCTCCGGCTGTCGCTGTTGTTGAGGTTAAATGTCTCTCCTGTCCAATTTTAGGAAGGCAGAGAAATATTGTTGCTTGTTTTTATCTCGTTGCACCATTCTTATGTTAAAACTTGGAGTGTGCCAAAAAAATAACAGTTCACAGCAGGAATTCCTGACACTTGAGTGTCACAAACTTATTAAATGCATCATAACAGGTAACAGCTGTAGCTGCCAGACGTCTACACACAGACATTTGTCCCCGTTTAGTGTTAAATCTTTGTACAATCGTCGGATACTCTTTGGGTGTGTAATCAGAGCGTAGCATTGAGTGACAGGACAGGTAATAGGTGCACATCAGTAACGAGAGCAGACGTGTTAATGGGGTGTGCCCATTCTGGATAGGTGTTCAAGTCAAACATGGCAACACCCCACGTGTTCATGGCCAGAGAGACAGAGAGGATGCCCAGGATGTTCATCACAATGCCAGTTTTCACCTGAGAAGACAGGAGCAGAAAACATGAAGGTAGGGGATAAAAGGAACGTTACGTGTCTGGTGCTGCGAGGATCTTACCATGTCTTTGACCATGAGATGTCCTGATGCGAAGGCGATGGAGTTGGGTGGTGTGGAGACTGGCAGCATGAAGGCATATGAACATCCTATTGTTGCAGGTATCATGAAGTACAGAGGATTCACGGAGACGTGAATAGCCTGCAGAGACAAAGACAAATCCAGCACGTTTTTAAAGGTAGGATGTTAATCATTTCATTCAGACTTTCGCTGGCGCCATTATTGCAAACTTATTTCATATGGGAAAACATTGTTTAAACCCAACAAAGCATTGTTTTCAAAACAAGATCTGATGGTGTCCAAAGATACCAAATATGTCGGCCACAGCTGAAAAGAAAATGACGCACACAAGGTCTTGATTCTTCTATTTGATGTAAAATGGTGAGGCCATAGAGAAACTGCCTTGTGTTTGACGTGAAATAGGACGAGCAGTCTAATGCCACGCTAGCGGCTCTGTAGGTTACAGGAATTACTTTGGTCATTCGACTTTATCCTCTGTGGGCCATGAATGTTTGTACAACATTTAATGGCAATCCATTCAAAAGGAATTTCAGACTGTACCTAAAGCCTCATTGCCAGCTGTTATAATAACACAGTTTAATCTAAGTTCACAGCTAAATGAGGGAATTAATGTTCACTTCACCCAAATTCTCACTCACCTTTACGGCTATGCAGGTAGTTTGGGGTTAATTTGTGTTGAGGTATCCATTTCTGAAATGTTTGACTCCCACACAGTAGAATGGACGGGAATTATGTTTTGTTTCCAGATTGAAAAATTACATTCAGACCAATTAAAGGCAACATCTCAGTATCTAACAAAATCAGTGTCCCAGTAAATTTGGATAATTTGCAAAACACACTGTCAATAGTTTTCATTTATTTGGTAAAAAAAAATATTTCCAATGAAAACTGTTAAAAATATTACAATCTCAACACCTGGGAAAATGAAACCAAAAGCATATGAATGGCTACATATCGCTAGAGGTTAGTAATATGGGTGAACTTTCAAGTACAGTCCTGGGTCATCATGATCCGATATGTTTTTCATTTATATGATAACTCAGTCACTAAGCCTCCTATACATCCTGTAAACAATTCTCTGAGTGCGTAGTTTGCAGTATAGGCACCGCTGCAAAGTACAAAATCCTCCAGATAATGATTACTGACAACAGCAGTTAATGTCCAACAGGCTGCAAACATAAAAACATTTTACAACTCTAGTAAGCCTTTGACTAACATAAAGTACAAGGTCAGAAACAAACCCCGTTCCCTGTCAAATTTACGATTTTCCACAGCGTGTCTTGTAACTGCCAGTTCATCTACCTGACTGTTATCTTAATCATCAACAGAGTCACACAGCTAAAAGAGAGCCTCACCCACAATATGTCTTTAAGTTCTCTTACCAGTTCAGCAATGATGGGTAAAAATATGATAATTGTGGCAGTGTTGCTGGCGAACTCAGTGAAGCAGGCCAGGAAAGCAGTGATCAACATCACAGCTGCAGCAGGAGGGACCTCGGCCAAAGGCTGGAGGTGGCCCCCGATCCATGTGGCGAGTCCAGATTCCTGCCAAATGCCACAAGATTTGGGTCAAAGGTCAAAGATCAAATCTCAACATAATAAAGCAAAGTGGAGAACAGAACCGAGCAGAGCAGAGCAGCACAGAGCAAACAGGACAGAGGAGAGATACATTTATTACACAGACTTATGACAAGTAAACTTTTACAGTTTAGTCACTAATCCTGCATTCAGCAGGAAGGAAACTAAACTATTAAAGGATTAGTTCAACTTTTTGGTATACTTATTCACTTTCTTGCCTAGAGTTAGATGTGAATATGGAACTAGGGAAATAGCACCAGTATTTATATATTTACATGCATACAGGTATACATTAAAGGTTAGAGCGGTCCAATCCCCCGAACCACCAGGATAGATCTGGAAGGGGAAAGTGAAAACCAGCGCATGCCCCTCCTTCACTGAGGTGCCCATGAGCAAAGCCCATAACCCCAACTGTGGTTGTACTGGACAGCTTCATGTGGGAATGTGTGGAACTATGTGGGGTGTTGTAGGGATGTTCAATTGGAATGCGGTTGTAACAACACGTTTACCTCACAACCTTTAGCCATAGCGAAGCCGCCCCCGAGCAACAGAATGATATTCCAGGGAACAGACTCCTGAGCTTTCTTCCATGATAGGAGAGGTACATAAGGAGTGTTTGATGCTGAGGAAAAATATGGAGGGAAACAAGCCATGAGGAACTTCAATTCAAGATTTTGATGTTATTTATAATGAAATATGTCCATATATATTTATATGCACATTGTTCATGTATATGACATCACTGGTGTCTGCGGATTCGACATCAGATTCAGTATTTAGTTGGTCAAATCTGCACAAGTTACTTCCTGTACATACTTAATCATAGCATATTCATGTTTAAAACATTCAACAGAATAAGCATCTTAAATTAAAAGATTAAGCCACAAATCCAGAGTGTTTTATTTTATGTTTTATACATTGCTGACAATTTTGACGTTGTTGTTACTATTTCTGTACTGTATCCCATACATGGGTTTTTATTCATATATTTTGGTGAGATAATGAAAAATGTTCCATACTGGTTGAAAATATAGTTGTATTCTTGACCTATTGAGACGAACAAATGAGCCCCATGATTTGCTTATTTTTATTTTTTTTCCTCTTGCGTCCAGCAGTTTATTTGACCAGCTGAACATACTATACACAATCGCACACACACACGCACACTCACACGTGTCTGCAGCGCACACAGAGCGGATGCGTACATACTGTACTCGCACACAACACACAAACAAAAACCCCAAAGTGTGACAACATAGTTCTGAGAGATTATTGTAATCACAGAAACAGAGAAACTACAGTTTCAGCTTCAGACGGGAAATGTTCTCAGACTCTCTAATCTACATTATTAACATTCCTTGACATATTTGCAGTATTTGCAACAGTTGCGCTGGAAGATATATGAACAAATATTTGTTCATCAATATTAACTGCTGACTCTCCACAAGCCGCTAACTGGTTGCTTCAATTTGTTATCTCTTTGATAAATGATATTCTCACTTTGTTCCTTTTTACAGCCCTTATTGTGTGGCACAAATCTAATCAAATATGTTTATTTTTCCACGATAACTTAAATTACATATATACATATATGCATATAGTACTAGGTTAATTCATCGTTAACAGGGGTGTTGTTTATAGTAAAAGCTGACTGACCTTGAGGGTCAAACCACCAGCTCAGAGAAGGTTTCTGCGACGGGAAGAAGAACAACATGGACACAATGATCACACCAGTGACTGCGTCTGAGACGTACCTGCAGGGCAACGAGGAGGGGATCATTATCATACATAGAAACGGATAATTTCCAAACAAGAAATTATGTCATCACAAATAAGCTACTTTATTTTATTTTTTTTATCAAGTGCACCTTTCTTACCCTTTTTTAAAAAACACAGACCAGCCGGGGATGAATTTGGGATCTCTTGTGAACAGCAGAACTGCAAACAATACAAAAAAGAAAGAGATAGCTCCCTCTGCAAAACTGAAAGGGAAGTTAAAGTCAGTAAAATGGCTCTGTGATTAAAAAAAAAAAAAAAGAATGCACACATTCATCCTGTGTTGCATGAGATTTGAAGACATACACGAGTCCTCACCATATGGGCCCTAGTTTTCTGTAATCGTCCTCTATAAGAGCCCTTGCTCTGGCCTCGGCCTGAGCTCTCCGGTCGTGTTTCGTGAAGCACAACCTGCATAAAATAAAACAAATACAGTACGTGACAGATATTTCAAGGAGAACATTACTGTACTTGATATTTACAAAGATGAACAAACCTTGGTCATTCTGACAATAAACAGTATTTTCTCTCATAGAACCATCGAGACATTTTGCCTTTAATGTGTTGGCTCGAAATGGGATATCAGTCCAAATATTATTTTTAAATTATTTTATAAAACTTCTTAATCTGCAATAAGCAAACGTCTGACACCCCATTACCGTGCATTCAATCCCCCGTGGAGAAACGCAATCCAAATCCATCCCAAAAACAGGAAAACAATCATGAGCGGGAAAGCGAACGCAAACCAAGAGCCAAAGTTGATGTCTTCGCAGTCTGGAAAGTAGCTGTGAAACAAAGACAATTTTCTTCAATCTGCTGGAAAAGCATTGTTTTGAATGAAGTTTTTACTGTATAAAATGCTGTACAAAATAAAGTAGTTACCTTTTCAGCTGTCCAATCAGGATGAGGTTGGGCGTGGTGCCGGTCAGTGTGGCGGTCCCTCCAATACTCGCTGCATAAGGAATACAGATCAAGAATCCTTTCCACACCTTCAGTTGATACTCCGACTCCGATCGGATCTCCTCAGCCGTACTCTTGTCGCTCTGCTCTGTCCCATCCGTCCTTTTTCAAGTTTTAAGAGACATAATTACTTCAAATGAATTGTGGACAAGCACATGAACTCCCCCAGAGTTTGGAGAAAGTTATTTTCATCAAAAGAGTTCAACATGACTTTAGGAAATACGCATATTTGCTTTCTTGCCGAGAGTAAGATGAGAAGATTGATACCACTCTCATGTCTTTACAATAAATATGGAAATTAAAGCCAGCAGCTGGTTAGCTTAGCTTAGCATAAAGACTGGGAACAGGGGGAAACAGTTAGCCTTGCTCTGACCAAAGCTATAATCCATCTACCTCTAAAGCTCACTAATTAACATGTTATAGCTCGTTTTTTTTAGATTTTGCCCCTGCTTGCAGCTTTGATGCTAAGCCTCCTCGCTGTGGCTTCATATTTACCATACAGCCATGAGAGCACTATTGATCTTCTCACCTAACTCTTGGTAGGAAAGCACATATCCATTTTTCCCAAAATGTCGAGCTTCCTTTAAAAAACACCATTCAAACATCATTAGAGTTGCTGGTTTGAGGATGTTTAGGATTGTGTCAAACGATCTGAGTGTTTTTCTCACCCGTCGTTTGACAGCATTTGGTTTTCGGAGGGCACTGAGGGCAGTGAATGCAGCTTTACACTAGGCCGACCTGAAAGAAAGTGAAACAAAGGGTTTTTGTCCTGCAGTATAAACATGAGTCAAATCTTCAGCTTCAGCTCTGCATGATGTTCTGTACTGTTCATATTTATGACTTTAAGTTCACCCTGCATCATTAATCACTTACCACTTGAATATTGACTAACTTTGCATTCTAGGACTCAGTCTATTGGAAAAACTGTACGAAGTTCACAACTTAAGTTATATATTAAAGAACCGTGAAGACAAGCTTAAAACAATACAACCATCTTCTTTGCACATTTTAGTAACGTCACCTTTTGGACATCTTTTAATTAAACTAGCATTATCATTTTTTAATATATTTTTTGTCACCTCGGGGCAGTAGGAAACATTTGGTTATTTACACAACCAGTGAATATTTACTCTCTTTTAGCTCTGTTTTTGGTCTCCACTAACTCCTGAACAAAATATTGCACAGTGGGTTGATCATCGCGGTGAGAGTGAAAACAGTACCAGAAAACCAAAGAGATCAGCTGAAAGATAAAATGCTCAGTAGTACTGAGGGAAACTCATCACTAATCACTATACCTTTCACATTATGCGTAGTAGTTCCAGCCATTGTTAGAATAGCAACATTGATTAGATCAGCTCTAAGTAAACAGTCACATGTCAGGTAAGCGACATACAACGTACCATTTATTATATCACCCTCGGGGTCCTTTGTGCACTTGCAATTCTCTTTCAGGGTCTCCAGGTCTCCAAACAGACTCTCCAGGATGGCATTAGCGATAGGGAGCATCATGGCTGTGGTGGCGGTGTTGCTGAGCCACATGGACAGGGAGGACGTGGTCAGCATCATTCCCAGTATGAGCCTAGGAAAGTAATTCAATCTCAAATCAGTCATTTAAATCGCGATCATGGCTGCTGACTTGGAAGATGTTATTTTTGAAATAAGCACTCTCACATACAGGATAACATTTATATTATTTTGTCAATAAATCCCACAAAAAGTCCATGTATTTGTCTCTTTCTCGACAGTTTTTGACTTCCCTGCCCTGTCTGTGGCTCCAACACATAAAGACTGGACATACATTCACACCTATCTTTTTAAACATCTTTTGATTTCCTAAAACAGCTGGACACTGCACTTTTTATAGCAAACATTGCTCAAACAGGGATAAATAGTGTTTTTGTTTCGGACTATTTTCAGCTGCGGATTAATACACGTTGGGTGATAGTGAGTATTGTCAGCAGCAGGATGGTGCATGTTGGATCGACTCGAAATAAACTACAGAGCCCATATTCATTATAATAAAAGAACATGTTTCGTGGTGCAACTGTGTGGCTCACTGAAGTGTTTTTAATAGTTAGAACAATTGAGCTCTATGGCACAGAGGAATAAGATATAACAGGATTTGGCTATACTTGTAAATTCCTTGTTGGTTTTGTACTTTTCATGAGATTTGTTGGAAATGAGAAAAATGATAGAATTTCATTATTTTCTCACCAGGCTGGTTTTACGCCGACGATAGTGAGGACCTTCAGGGCGATTCTGTGATGCAGGCCCCACTCCTCGATGGACGACGCCATCAGAAGACCGCTGAGGAAAAGAAAATTGGTTTCGAGGAAGTACTGAGGGCAGACTCTTTTGGATGGAAGAATTCCCAGTGTTGGGAAGAGGCAGACCGGAAACATCGCAGTGATGGCCAGAGGAAGGGCCTCTGTGCACCACAATATAGCCATCAGCACCACCACATAAAGACATTTTCCCTCCTAAAAGATAAGCAACGCATGATTGTTAATGTTCAGCCAAATTCAGAGATGAGAAAAAAAAGAAGGAAGCAAGTCAACAACACAATTGTGTTTCACAAGTGATGGATTACAGTAAAATAAAGTACATGAAGAATAGTGTACAGTTCATTGTGGCATTTCTGCAAATTACTACTTTAACGGCTGGTTTAGCAAATAATATTTGACATATTTATTTTTTTATTGCTACAACTGAGAAACTTGTACTCTATTTAAGTATTTCCATTGTAAGCTACTTCATTGACTACTTCTACTCCACTACCTTTCAGAGGGAACTATTGTACTTTTTACTCCACTACATCTATTTAACACGCATTAAAAAAAACACATGATATGCTTCTTATTTTAAGGCTATGATATGATGCTGTACTAATTTGGTACACAAAGTAGAAAAAACTTTGAAAGGATCCGATCTGCATAAAGGATATTTTCTGATAATACTTCTGTACTTTTACCTCAGTAGTACAAAGGCTACTTCTTAGACTGTGGTATTTCTACTTGTATTGCAGAGGGTCTGAGTACGTCTTCCACCACTGAGCCTGTAATTAATTTAATTCATTTTCCATGACGAAAAGACACTCACGTGAACTAACAGCGTAAAACCACTCACCTTCTCCGGGAGAGTGAAAAGGAGCGGCAGAAACAGGAGAGGAACGAGCAGGACAAGCAGCTGTTTGTGGACGCACCACAGCTTCTTGGACACAACTGATATTTTCATCTCCCGAGTGAAGTGTTGCTCCGTTTGGAGAAGGAGCAGCAGACTGGCCGAGAGGAGTCAGGACGCACTTTGAAGCCTCTGTCCCACTTCACAGAAGATTAACTACGCCTACTTGTCATGTGCGTCGCAAGTGTGTAGTCAAAAGATACACAAAAAAATAAAATACGGGGAGACACATTTAAAACTTTAAAGCACTGTTGTATATTTCGAACTAAAACAAGCAAATATTTAAATGTGGATCTGGTTCTAATACAAACACAGGCAATCGTGAGATATGTCTATTTGCAAGATGCTTTTTTAGTAGATAAAGTAGTAATACAAAGTAGTAATAAAAGTAATAATAAGTAGTAAATGTATATATGTATATGTATATATATGTAGATATAATATATATATATGTATACCACTCTGATTCAAGGGCATGCAGAAGAAAATGGCAAAATGTGTGTCAGTTCCAGGATTTATTTCTATGGTAAAGTCCTGGAACAACAGGAGGATTACGAGCTTTAATTAAAGGCATCAATTTCATGAGGCAAAGCATGAGAAAAGAAGGATGACTGCTGGTGATGAGGGGTTTTAAAAGTGTTCAAAGTTTGACAAGGACATGGACAGGATTACACAGAGCGCATCCATTGACACTTATTGTGTCCTCCATGCCCCCCCCCCCCCCCCAAAGAAATGGTGGACATGGGTTTGTCTTTTAGAAGGGTTTACAATGGTACCATTTTTATAATATTGAGAGTTCTTGTTTGAATACAGGCATTTTAAAAGCCTGACTCTGTATTCTATGCCCTAAAAAGGTGTTCACTCCCTTTAGACCCTCTCACCCCATGGGCTCCAATTCAACTGCATTACCTACACTTCACCCCTGATTTGGGTTAAAGTAAGTAAGTGATGTTACTTAAAGCTACTGTGTCTGACAGTCTGCTCCATGCAGTCCAGGTTCTGGTTCTACCATGCCTCCCGTCCCTCCAGAGGGCCCAGCAATACGACACCTAAGCCTGGTCTTGGTCTGTTTGAGGTGGGGTGTTCACTAGGCTGGACAGCCCCCTGGCTTTATCCCACAGCACCTAGCCTCTAGCAAGCCCCACTGTGCTCTGCTCCTCCACCAAAGAGCCTCAGGGAAGTCGGCGGGGACTGCTGGCAGTCTTGTGGAGCATCTCTTGAGAGACCTCCAGCAAGCTCACAGCGGGGTTTGTAAGCCTGACTTACTGGCTGGCTAGCTATCCACCCCCGCAGGTGCTAGCTTCCCAAAAATGCTGGCGCAAATTTTCGATTCACCATTAATCTAAGTCACTCCACACAGACCTGTAGTGTTTAATGAGCCAGTTAGCATCATAGCTATGGGTAACTTTAACTTTAAAAGCAGTCAAGAGCCAATCAGAAGCAGAGTAGGGGCGGGTCTTCCAGGAAGGCAATGCATGCCGGTTAGATATGTGGCCAACTTGATCATGACTTGGTCCGAGGTCATGATAACCTCACAAGATCGAAGCAGCCGCAGTTTTTAGAGCCAGACGCTGCAGTTGCTCTCCACCGACGCCTTGCTGTCAACAGATCAAAGACCTGATTGGTTCTTAGTTTTGACAACAAACAGGTTTTGTTGAAAATCCTAATTTTCTGTGTATTTGTAATATTCAACGGTAGATTGTAGGCCATTAGACTCATGTTGTGCAATGAAGGTTTAACCTGTTAACAATAGTATCCAGTGTAGTTGATAATAATAATAAAAGTAATGAAGGTTATTTATATAGCACTTATCTAAATGAACATTGATTGCAATGTGTTTTACAAGACAGACACAAACAGAACAAATGATAGTACACAATGATACACACATTTCTACAAACACAAATGTGGTCTGTAAACCACAGATAGCCTGAAGATGAATCCAACAGGATGTAAAGGTTTCTGTGACATCCTGTATTTAAAGGCTGCTGGAAACTGTCTGACTTGACTGCAGCTTTTTGTCTCCGACTTGCCGCTGCTGCCGCCTGACCTTGTCCACTTTCCAGGCAAGGCGCAGTTCATCTCGAACGAGACAATGAACGATGTATTCAAGTTTGAAAAGGTCTAAAGTTTCATATTATCTGTCACTTTTCAACTCCAGTGGAGGAGATAGAAATGTGGCCTGGACCATGCTAAAGGAATAAGTGTGCACTTTTAAGAGTTCTTTTTTATTTAATTAATAAATTGATACATTTAAGAAACAGCTATTAGAAAGTGGCCCACCCAAATGGCAGCAACAAGCACTTTGATTGGCCAGCGTGTACGGTGTCAGTGCTTTCGATTGGTCAAAGCAGCTTGTTGTCTGGTTCACGTATCAATTGTCATTTGATGTGTGCTATTTTTTTGTTTCTTTAAAATAATTGGAAAATTACATAATTAAATAAAATAAAAATAAAGCCTTTCCAAATTGTATTTGTGATTACATTTTAAAGTAAATAATTATCTCATTAACAAAAAGATGGAATCAGAAAAATATTTTTCACCATCTATATCTGTCTGCTTTTGTTTAATTAAGTGGCCGATGTATAATTTCAAAGGTACATTTGATTAATCAATTCATAATATATTTTATTAAACACTCGTGAAAGTTTACAATTATTACTCTGGCTCACTTCATGAAGCATCATATTGCAATTAAAATAATTTAAACCCCGTTTTAAAACAGTTAAATTCTTTAGAATAAATCTTGATGATTACGTTGATTTTAGATTTTGCTGACTGGTGGTGGTGTCATCTGAGGATGGGCCAGTAGGTGGTGATCTGTGCACATTTTTCTCCACTATGTACCTGCTGAGCTACACTCAGTGTGATGCCTCTGTTGTGATTTCAAATCAATATTTTCAAAAAGCAGTGATCCATTTAATGCCTTTCCTGTATTAGTTTGACTTTGTAAACCAGGAGGAGAACTCAGCGGTAGATGCTCTCTCCCTCACTGTGATGATTAGTGGGTTTTACTGCAGGTGTCTGCAGGATAATAGCTGCTGGATTTCTTTACATGCCCATACAGAGGGAAGTCAATACAGACCGAAGAGCATGAATACAGACTTTCAACATGCAGCACTTTCACATCACTTCTTAAACAGGAACTGCACTCAGCTCAAGAGGGCTTTGCTATTTAAAAGAGAGGCCGAAACTTACTTTTTAAAGATAACGTAACAGCAATTTACTGTACATCTGATAAAGACTTGTTGAAATTATTGGTGTTTGTGGTGCCACTTCAGAGTGAAATTCTCTTTGAGCATTTGATTCTTGACAGGAACTAAAAGGACAAAATGAGGTGAGTGAAAATACAGTTGCTGAGTTTATTATTCAAAATGAAATGCATTATTTTACATTTATAAACAGAACAATTAAAAACATGAATCACAAGCTGACCGTTATCATATCAGAAGTTTGTTTAAATCCCTGTGCATCGTAATCAGGTAAATTCAATGTTACAAGATCTGCTATCACAATATGGGCCATCATCTGCTCTTTACACCTGTAGCGGTGTGTGCGTGGAGGTTTTTGTTCCTCCTTTCATGTCTGTTCCTGTTTAGTTATGAAAAACCTTTCTGGTTCAATTGACCTCTTTCATGCCATTAAAAAATGCAACATGTGGTTTGGTTTAGTTCAGCACAGTGACACATTTTTACAAACGTAACTGGGAAAAACAAATATATGAATATCTCTGAAAACAAAGTAAAGTAGAATAAATAAGAATTGCAAAAATAAAATCACTTGCAATTGCTAACTGAGATGATTTGTGGGTCGATATCATTTCACAGGTCAGCTTCACCACTTATGCTGGCGTCGTCTTGAGGACCTCTTACTGACAGCTTGAATAACCTGCACGACCAGAAAAAACAAGAGACAAAACAGCACAAGACAAATCAAGTCAGTGAATTGTTTAACTGGAAAGAAGCCCACCCACTGTTTGTTCGAAAAATCCCTTAAGGTGGAAGTGAACTGCTGTTAGAGGAAATGGTGCCTCAGAGGAGGAGTCAGCTCGCCTACAATCTGTCCACAAAAACAACCAAACATGATAACGTAAAAGGTGTAAAAATCTCACAGATACAAACAGCTTTACTCCTACAGGATATGGGGTTTCCAAACCAAAGAAAGAAAATACAGAAACTAAACTGCCATCAATGCTGCTTGATTTTCTGTGTCAAGTAGAATCATACAAAGTGTTACAATAACACATCTGATCATGCGTATTTCCTTTTAAAAACTATCCTCCCTGTCCACTTTATTACACCAATACATTCTAATGCAATCCCATGCAACAGCTCAGCCATACATTCTACCTCTGCACAGATAATTATGCTCAGTTTGTGTTGACACTGTCAGAGAGGTATTCATTTAGCAATATGTTTACTATCAAGGTCGTAGTTAGTGCTTGTCTTGTACTGGACTACATTGTATTGAAATGTGTTTCTAATATTCCTCTCCCTCTATGTTTGTAGGGGTCGGCATATATACAGTATACGTAATATATCAATAATATATAATTATGATATTATTATAGATCTTATTAATAAACATATCGTTGAATCAATACCACTCTGATAGTGCCAACAAAAACAAAACAGTATTAACTTTGTAAAGGGAGAATTTATGGCTGAACTATTGTGTTAAACTGTATTACATTTTACAGGATTATCTAATAAAGTGTCCACTTAGAGTCAAATACAACAGATCAACAAGTCCTCCAAATAGAATATTAGGTTCGGTTCAGACACAATTACAACTTGGCCAAGAGTAATTTACTTCTCATTGGAATGATAGATGAATCTTGGTTATAGGGATATAAACCTTCCTCTTGTGGTGTTCCTCAAGGATCCATTTTAGGCCCCATTTAACTGGAATCATATACTTCCACAGAAGGCTGTGCTAAAAAAAACACTGTTCTACAGCTGTAATTCCCCTTCAAACCCAGGTGACGTGCAGAGGGTTATCAGAGTCACATTGTGAATCACAAAAACATGTTCTTGCTAACAAAAGCATCTTGACACAGATGTCTTCATTTTTCAAATCTGTGTTTTAACCACTATTCTTTGGTTTGCAAATGTCCGTAACCATGCAAGAAATCTCTGTTACTTTTCATTCTGCTTTAAATTTAATGGGTTTTCAGTAGTTTGGGTTGTAATATTTGTTACAGGATCACTCAACACAATATCTCTTTAAAGCACTACATTGATTGGTACAGTACCTCCCCTATTCCACCGCCAGACCCCTTAAATGCTTTGACCAATTCCTCCTCTTCATTACACATTCTTGGTCATTTAAATTTTCTTTATCTACAAAGCACTTAGTTCAGGTGTTTTATGAATAAATGATTGCTTCATAACCTGTAAGAAATCCAAACAAATGCGTGAAGATAAATAGAGTATATTTACCCAGATGCTGATTAGAGATAACACGATTTTGGTGAGGCCCACTGCCGTGTAGCCTACAATGCTCCACATGGCTGGTATGTCTTCCTCTTGTTTGGGGCAGGGCAGGACGGGCTGAGTCGCGTTCAACACAGTAGTCATTATCGTTGTTATCGTGTCAGTCTGGGTCACACACTCTGTATTTAGACAAAGAAATCAGTCTATAAAATAGATATTTCAGTGCAGACAGGTAGAAATCTATCACAGCAATAAGTCTTGTTTGATACCTAGATCTCGTCAAAGATTAAACATTATTTCTTTAAAAAAATGCAACTGACAATTTCACAAAATTTCTGCACTGACATGTTTTTATCTGAAATAGGGATTGTTTCACCAGATGTAATATTTGTCTGTTGGTTTACATTTTGTTTTACCGAATGGTAAAATACATATGGAGGCAAATGCATAATTGTCACAGTGGAAAGGAAAATATTGAGTGGGTTTGAGAAGATGGATGAAGATGGGTGTTTCCTGCTGTTTGATGTGGCTCAGCAAGTTCTGTGACTGTTTGCAGATGCAGAGGTTGAAGCAGACAAGTTTGGGTCATAAAAGTGAATTCATTTAAAAGTTAATTAACATGATATTGATAAAGTTCTAAATTTTTGGTGCATCTTCAAAAGTTGTAACCAAATACCTCCAACACACATTTCTGAGCATTAGTATGTATTTAACCCTCTACCCCATCAAATGCATAGTGAAATATGACTGTGCATTATATATGGTATTTAACAGAGTTTAATTCCAATGTTGAAACTGTGATACTAACAACAATTACTTTGTAGACTTTAAATACTTTTGCAACTTGCTTATCCTGCAACTTTTATTGTCAAATATCTACCAAAAACATCTTGTCATTACATAAGAAATCCCAAATTTAGAGATTAGATATCACAACAGTTGTCAATATATCATCCAGATATGTGTGTAGCTCAGTTGAGATGCTTTAATAGAGTGATATAAATCAAAGCTTACCGTGGACCGTTAGGTGGACTTCATGATTCTGATTTTGTTGCCCCACTTTCGCACTAATTTCACATTCGTAGGTGCCCGAGTCTTCAGGCGTCACACCGGGGATCACAAGACTGTGTTTCTCTCCAAACCTGGGGTTGGGTGAACGAATGCTTTTGTACTGCCTAGTCTTGTTATCTTTACCCCTCCTGATGATGCCAACTTTTGTTTTGTTGAGCTTGTTAAGCTGTAACCAAAAAGTCATCAGTTCACATCAGATTAAATGAAAGTCAATGACACACAATCTATCAGTCTGGAATGAATCGCAGCTTAAATTTAGCAACATTTATGAATTGATTCACTGACCTTGTACCATGCCAAGGAGAGGAAATCTATGCTGTTGGTGTCAACAGCTGGACACATCACTGGAACATCTTCAGAGCAGTTTGCCTTAATTTCTGTCTGACTCTGGGTTGTGTAATGTAGCAACAACAGCTGAGATAATCAACCCGCAAATATATTCTATTAGTGTACAACAGCATCAATGAACTGAATGATTTGTGTCTGTGAAGGAAATTATCAATAACATATGAATTAAATATCATGATTATTATATCATGAAAAGTCAGATTTAACTCACCTCAATGAACAATACCTTCTGGGACATGGTTTCTAACTTCATCTGTCACTTGAGTGAGCTGTAACAAGTTGTGTTTCTTTTTCACTTCTCTTGAAATGGAGTAACATTATTTCCTGTAAAAGGGGCGCATTTGAGCTGAGGGGGCCTGACAGAATGTGCCATCAAGTGGTGCTTTAGAGAGGTGTGTCATTACTCATGTTCATAAATTTGTTGATTTTTATAGGACACAAGATTGGAGTTTTGGGTCACTTCCTTAACACCCACAGTTCAGTTTAGTTCAGATCGTCGTTGCGCCACAAGAGGATTTTGTTTTCAGGAAGGCAATTTAAAGAGTAATCTGAAGGGGGCTCCACCAGTTTTACACAGGAAGTTCAGTGTATTGCCTCACATCAGCTCATCAGCTCGCAGTATCTAGATTGCTGTTTTAACCCCAGTGGTAGTTATGCTTCCCGGTCAACATTTGTTTATATCTCTAGTGGTTCATTATCTTTGTCCCTTCTGTGTTCCTGCTAAATCATTGGATCGCTCATTCACACAATATGAAAATCTTGATTTTGCTGACCTCCAGTGGTTTAATGGTTGAGTTACGTTTTAAAAAGAACTGGTTTGTCCAACTTGTGTTTATAGTTATAAGTTACAAGGTAAAAAGGTTGGTTGATATAGAGGCGCCCGCGACACTTAAATATGGATATTATGGCAAATATTTTCAGACAGTCTCTCCTGGAAGAAATCTTTTGCTTGGTTGTTCACATCAAAAGGGAGAGAATATCTGACCTTGCTGCAGTGATGTAGAAGTGTATTCAAGGGTGTGCAGGTATATTCTGACATCACGGTTGGATGTGGTTACAGGTGCAATAAAGTGTAGCAGACACTTTCAAACCAGAGAATGTCGTAAACAAACAAAATGTAAGGCAACAGAAGACAGCAGACATTTGTAATACTATTCAATTTATTTTGTGTTGCCCAAAATCACAAATTTGCCTCAGAGGGCTTTACAATCTGTACACATACAACACCGTCACATCGGTACAGGAAAACCACCCAAAAAAAACCTTTAAAGGGAGGAAAAATAAGGAAGAAACCTTATTGGGAGAGCAACAGAGGAGGGAACAACATAACAGAGTTACAACACATTCAATGCATATGATATAAATGATTCAAATAATGAGAGTAATAAGCAGAATAATGATGGAAAAATTACGACGACTAAAACTAACAGCAGCAGTAGATAGAGCAGAATAATAATGATAATAAAAGCAGTAATGGTATCGGTAATTGTAATAGTTATGTGACTAATAATAATGATAATGATGGTAGCAGTGGGTGTCAGCAGGGCCACGGCAGGAGGCAAGACCACGGTCCATGTATAACCACGATCTAAGGAAACCTGGGAAGCGAGGAAGACTCCGGGGAAGAAGCAAAGTTAGTAATGTGCATTAATGAGACATAAATTCATACAGAAGGAGAGAGAGAAGAGGAGAGAGGAGCTCAGTGTATCCTAGGGAGTCCTCCGGTAGTCTGGTCCTATAGCAGCATATCTATAGGGCCGGACTAAGGCAAACCTGAGCCAGCCCTAACTATAAGCATTATCAAAGAGGAAACACTTAAGCCTATACTCTCAAATGTGGTGGGTGTGTCCGCCCCATGGACATATGAGTAAGAATAAAGAAAAGACAAATTATAGGATAACATATAAGTGTTGTATGTGGGTCAGTAAGATGTTTCTCCACTGTCTGGAGGCTCACATAAATCACATACACACACACACACTTATGAGGCTGGCTCATCCTGTTGTTTTCATTGCAGGGAACTCCCCATTGTCTCCCTTCAAGCATATTATTTGTATGTGTCGCTCTTGTTGACAAAGGAGGTCGATATATGGTTATTAATAGCAGACTGGCTTTATGGAAAAGGGAAGAGTGAGGTCTTTGGATTCCACCATCTGCATCAAACAATACCTCATTCAGCAGCAGCTGGCACAGCAAGTGCTGGGATGTAGAAATATACTGATGTTAACACAGAGCATCATTGGAAATGAGGATTTTTCCGCCGCTTCCTATTGGACACCGGTAACTGCAGCTGTGAGCGGTTTTAGATTTATGACAGTGAGTAATCTAAGCATTGAAAATGCGTAAATACAAAGGCATGATACTCCTCACATTTTTTTAAATATCTCTCACTTGGTCGATCACTGCAGCTGCATTGAAACATCTTAATCAAGCACAGGGGAGTTTTACAGTAATAGAATTACAAATGTGTTAAAAGGAAAACGTGAGGTCATAAAGGAAGTTCATAAGACTTATCAGAGTTGTGATTCTCTTAAGGCTTAATTGTTGGTTTGAATGTGAGTGAGTGCATGTGTGATGTGTGCATGCATGTATATATGCATGTTCTCCGTGCTGTAGTTAAAGGGCGTTGCACACCACAGTAAATCCCAGAGGTTGTTAGCACGCCCAGCTGCTGGCGAAGGTCTCCATGTTTCTGTCAGCGAGGTTGTTCACTGCACACTCTGTAGCCTCTGATTGAGGAAATCCTCTGTTTGCTGAAATGAAACGTCCCAATGGTTCCGCCGTCTCTCCCACAGGTCCTGTACATGGAGACTTTCCCATGAAGACTGTGCATGTTTACTAAGTTTTGACAGATATATAGCTCTTTGATGGACCTTAACACTACCAATGTTTTAGGTGCTGGGGAGGCTGATATTTTGAGATAATTCTCACTATTTTTAAATTCAACCCTAGAATTTAACAAATCAAATACTTGTTTGGTTAAATTCTATAACATCTTTATTGTTTTACCAGAGAAAATGTCATTCTCTGCTCAGGTATTACTCCACTATATCTTTACATAGCAAATAGTTGTTTGCTGCTAAATGAAGGCTCTGAGTATCATCTAATAAACCTTTAAGGCAGACTGACCAAAGAAACTCTGGAAAATACTATTTTAAAAAGAACATCAAGACAACCTAAATAAAGCCCAATATATTGCAAACTAATAATCATCTTTCAATCTAGATGATGACACACAAACCACACAAACATACTATAATGAATATACAGTATGCGGTCCGGCATGCCTGAGAGGATGAGCAGAATAACTGATTTTATTATACCTGTTTTATGTGGATAATACATTGGTTCTGTACTACCGTATACCACTGTAACTGGCTGAAATGGTTCCTGTCTTTGTGAGGCTGCAGAGCTTCATCACACTGCCTGTTCAATTGTTTGTTTAAAGGAAGCAAAAACACCAAAAGCCTTTCGGTCTGTATTGCTGGATTCTCACCTCTGCCTCTGGGCTTTGGCAGGCTGCTGAGCGCTGGAGGTCGATTGTCCGAGCCTGCAGCAGAACTGAGCCGTGTTATGACGATCTGTATTGTTCCCTAATTTCTTCTCTGGGATTTCCTCTGACCAGCTCCCCCCCACCCGCCCATCCTATACTCACTGCACAGCCTTCCATCATCCTCCCTCTGTCTGAAGGCCTTGCCAAACTCTCTGGCACATGAAAACAATTGTTCTCGTATGTTTGAGGAGACACAACCGCCTCCTCAGACAGACTTTTCTCCCCCACAGAGGATCAGCTGACTGTCGGGCAGACAGACGTCCTCCTCCTCCTTTCGGAAAAGTGGTTGTGTTCAGTCAAATCGGAAGCGAGGTATCAGAGTCCTGAGCCACAAAGTGACTCAGAACCATTAATATCTTTGACATGCAGGTGGAGCGAGGGGCCATCTCCCCAGCCAGTGAGGGTTCGAAACATGCTGAAACAGACTGTGAGAGCAGGAGCTATTAAAATATTACCATGTGCAGGTTTGTCTCTAACAAGAGCTCTTTGGCAAGACTACAAAAATGCTGACGGTAAGCACCCATCTGGGAATCAGGACTGCGCTCCCAGATGATGTTGAAAAAAAGCGTTATATCCTTCCCGTTCCTGGATCATCTATCTTTTCTTTTTTTGTCGAGGCAAAGACGGGAACACGTTTGAACAGTCAGAGCAGTGATTTGTGGTTAATCTAGAGTGATGTTTTCATGGAGCCATTGCTCAACAGGAGTGCGTCCTAAACGCTTCCTCTGCTATTTGTTTAAATCAGTATCTGTGAGTCAATCAACATGAACGGGCTGAGATGTTACACTATGTCAGTTTCTTCTACATTTATGCACAAATAACTCTCTCAGAAGGTAAGAAGAAGAACTCTAAACACTGAATCTGTAACGTACAACAAAGCACTGAGCTTCTGAATGGGCATAATAAAGAAGACGCATTTTACACACACAATATTGTTTTGGGTTTAAAGTGAACTCTATTGTACAACTATACATTATTGAACTTCATTGCTGCATTGCAGTCATCTTGCGCACACACACACACACACACACACACACACACACACACACACACACACATAAATTGACTATCTAGGATAATACTGGACTACCCAGTACCCATGGGTAGAAATCCTCCTGAGACAATAGGTTGTTTGGGTAATTCTTTACTGTTGGGTTATTTACCCAAATAATTATGGTATGGTGGCAAACTGTTATAATCTACTCTACCACCTTTTTAACATACATGTAGTGGTGAAAGAAGCATTGCGATGTTTTCATAAATAAAAGTACCAATTTAAAAATACTCAATTACAAGTAAACATCCTGTATCATTTCTTCAATGCACTTAATGTAGAAATGTATTTGGAGTACATGTATATTATAATATTCAGTTTCGTTACTAACAAATACATGTCAGGGGAATTGAATGTTGTAGTTTGTCACTGTGGCAACTCAGATAAATAGTATAATACTGCATCATATCATGTTACATATGTATCACATAACCGTCACTGTCAAATAAATGCAGTGCAGTACAAGTATAATGTTTCCCTCTGAAATAGAAGTATTGCAGTACAAATACTAAAGTAAAGTAAGTAACCTAAAGCTGTACTTATGTACTTAGTTACATTCATCACTGCTCACATGTCACTATTTGTTACTTATTGTCACTAATATATGCATCCTTCCAACACAACATGAATCATCTTTTCATACAAATAAACATTTTAAGGTAAAACTTGAGTTTGTTGTGTTTAACCAACAGGTCATGTTTAATAACCACATTTTACTTTGGGTAAATAACTCAACTGTAATATGAAAAATTAACACGCTGGGTCAAAACAACCAGTTGGTACTGGGTAAAGTGAACCCAGTATTGCACTGGTGCTATATGTTTAACCCAGAGGTTTTAAGTGACACTGAGGCCATCCATCCTTCTGACCTGCATGAAAGGAAACAAATATCTTCTCTCTCTCTCTTTGGTCTCTGCATGTGTTTAGTGTTTACTTTAGGTTGCAAGAGTGAGTTCTGACTTGATACTTCAAAGACATGACATAACACCGCAGAATAAGATAATTCAGGAGAAGTGACAAGTGTTTGGTTGTTGCTGTTTTCATTTTCTATTTCTCCCCAAAACAAATCCGAAATCAAGGTCATTTCTCGTCTCAGGTAATAAAACTGGCAGCAGGAGGAGGAACTGCCGTCTAGCTTCATTTCATCTCGGCTGAAATTCTTCCTTCACAAAATCTCTTTTGGGATTAAGAGATGCGAGCGTCCGAGGAAGAGGAACAACTCACCAAAGCGAAGCAGTAAACCTTTGCAGTGGTCCCCAGGTGGATCCTCGCCTGTCGGACATGTTAAACAGATCCACACTGACCTTATTTCTCCCTCATCTCCTCTGATGGTCTCTGCTATCAATTTGTTACCTGTCATCTTGGGGGGAAAAAAAAAAACCGTCTACTTCCGAAGTGGTTGAACACTCACTATATTGGGCTGCTCTCACTGAAAAGCACCACCGGAGAGCTGTACATCTGGGTCCCAGTGCCGGATGAAGTCAGGACTGGCACTGACCCAAAGCCCGCCGCACAGAGAGTTGCTCAGAGAGGTCGGCTGTGCGCTGTTTTCCCTTCCTGTGCCTCCGTGACGTCTTCCTGCCGGGGGGAGCCTCGGGGAGCCATTTGAGGAGGCCCCGGGGCCCCGAGCATGGAGGACTTAGCACAGAAAATTCCAATTAGTCTGACAGGGCAGGTGGGGGATGTGGGGGGGTAGGAGGGGAGCTCAGACCCCCAGCATGCACCTTTAACTGCCTTAAAACACACTTTCTGTACAGCCTCCTGTGTCACCGGGGAGCCTCCCTCTGTCGTTTTGAGGACCGGGTCCGCAGTGTGATTCAAAGCGAGGCCAGAGAGGAACTCGGGCTCAGCTGTCTGTGTGTCCGCCTGTTGGACCGATCACTGCAGTGTCTTTTTCAGACTGGAGAGGACAGAGAGAGGCCCGCAGAGACTCGGCTGCTTTTGCTTAGCAGCCGGTATCTCAGCAGTTATGAAATGTTTCTCAGTGAAAGAGGTCTAAGTTGTCTCTGTGCTGGGGTGACTACAAGAGAGTATAAAAGTTGAAAGCTGACAAATCTTTGCAGAAAATATATAAGATAATAATTATCTGTCCTGTTGATAGTGTAAGTAAGAGCAGTATGAACTTCAGAGTGAATCTTCAACCTCTGCTGACAAGTGAACTAATCCGCTAATATAAAATCACAGAACGTTATCTTCAGGATCAACGGCAGCATTATATTTGCACCATTTTCGACGATTACACGTCAGCGGGGTTTCACTTCTTTGCTCCACCGTGACCTCTGACCTCTGACCCCATCGCTCTCTGTCTGTTGGGCCCAGAGCAGTGATTTATCCCTCTGACATACCAACAGCTGTGTTGGGGGCTCCGAGCAGAGTGTGGGCTACTATTTGCTGTGACTAATCGATAACAGACTTCAAAAAAACACCAATCGTGAGATCTGGAAAAAAAATACACCAGCCATTGACACCAGAAACCTTGAACCTTTGCTGAGGCTCTGCGGGCTTCACACAACGACGTCTTGGCAACATTACTGGAAACGGAAACAAGTGTGTGTGAGAGAGAGACATCTTTCCATAAAAAAACATGTATAAAACACATTTTATACAACTAAGTTGATTCCTAAGATAACAGATATTTTCAAATGGAGCATTGAACATGGGACATTAAAGTTGTCAATTTTGTAATTTATATAATTTCTAATCTGCAGTTGAGCTTCTTGTTATATAACAAGAGAACCATGCTCAGATCGTTGCTCACAGAAGTGAACATTTGTTTTTGTTTTCTTTTGTCAATTTCATCAACAGTGTTCCAGTCAATACCACAATCTGAAATACAGTATGTTTTGAAATGATTAACTTTCATGACTTCTTAAGTGTGTTTGCTCGATGTCAGACAAACCTGGGAATCAGGAAAAGAACTGCTTTTATTTTTGATAAAATATATTTTATTTAAAACTTTCGGGGGGGGGGGGGGGTTAAAAAAAGTCCATAAGTTTCCAACAAATGCACTGCATCTTTGAGAGGCTTATGATTAAATTTCTCAGTCAAGTATAAATAGTCTCTTCTTGGGTTCCATCATTTGATCCAGCATGTAAGTGTGTGTGTGCGTGTGTGTGTGTGTGTGCGCTATGTAACACCAGCTTCGACTCTTCCCTGAGAAAGTCTTTGAGGATTTTCAGGTTGCTAATAGTTCCCTGGTCTTCAGTCAGCGCCTCATTCGCAGCGGACCCATCCTTCGCATTTTTAAACAGTCTTTGGCATCCTTTATCTGAAAAAAATAAAAATTCAACAACATTTAATTTAAATGCCCCAGAAATTAATGTATTTAATGAAAATAATTACATAATTTTGACAGGATATTTTCTACAAATCAACAACTATTTGTCAGCTTCACTGTTTGATGTCACATTTATTTCAAAATGCAAGAGGAAGCTACTAAATGAGTTGTACATCACATTTTGTTTTACTCACACAGTAGTCAAAAATAAGAAAAAGAGAACATATGTCTGACTGTGTGATGAATTTCAGCGAGCGCCAAACATGTGCCGTGCGTAGAGTGCGTTTTACGCAAACCATAATGGAGTTATACAAAAGTGCTCATGATTGAAAGAGAAACAGATGCTGCATGACACGAAATATTCTCAAAAAGCACGATCAAACCAAAAGAGACCTGTCTGTGTTCACTTCATTATTTATTTTTGCATTTAAAATAAATTGGATTTGAAGCCGCGAGAGTAAAACAGGCATTTACCCCTTTTCTCTGGTTGCTCAAGCAGAAGGTGCAGATGGTCCGCGGCTTCAGCGCCCCGCTCTCTCCTTGCGCATGAACCGCGCCGAGGCACGGCTGTCCATCAGCGCCGCCGTCTCCGAGAAGAAGCTCGTTGGCCAGATGGGAAATGTAGCTGGACGCAAGTCGAAGCGTTTCAATCTTGGAGAGCTTTCTATCCACTGGCTCGGTGGGTATGAGAGTCCGAAGAGCTGTGAACGCGGTGTTGACACTCTGGGTCCTGCCTCTCTCCCGAGCGTTAGCTGCGCTCCTCTGTTTCACGACCACCGGGGGCTCGCCATCCAGTTCGCGCGAAATCCGTCTTCGTTTTTCGCTGGAGTCGCAGTAACTTTGCTCCGAGCTGCCGTCGCTTTCGCTGCGGTTTTCATCATCCTCGGACGTGATGGTCAAGTCTGAATAGATCAAGTGTGTCGCCACAGGCCGCAGCATGGCAAAAGTCATCTTTAAAAGTTACGAGTCCCGGTCCTGCTCCTCTGTAAGATCAGACCGAGAACAAACGCAGGGACCAATCCGGCATCTCAGTATGCAGGCTGCATGTAACCACCTGCGAAAAAAAAGGACGTTTTTAATAAAGCTGACCGACTTTCCACAAGTCAGTTAGGACTGGTCTATTTCAGGGATGGACGATAAGTACCTGGTCAACTGGGCTCTTATAGCTGGGTGGGAGGAGCTGCGAGCAGCACAGTGTTACAGTAACCTCTCAAGTGAAAACACTCACAAATAATAACTCAGCGTAAATAGGCCAAATTCTTATGAATCACAAATGCAGAATAAGTGTTGAATCGTACAGTGATACATTAAAAGAAAAAGTGATTCAGATGTAAACACACAATAGCAGAAATATTAAAGAAACATTAGCACTGTGGGATTTTTAAAGGGCTCATGCAGAACACCCACATTAAGCGTGAGTGTACTGCATATTATATCATTATTATCATGCACTGATATGTGAGTAGAATCTTAGTGTTGCTGGTGAAGGTGGATAAAATGTCTAACTTTATGTAATATAATGCTGAATAGTTTAGTCCACATAAACGCATCTGATCAAATGTTTTGCATGTAAATTTGTTATCAGCAAAGTAACTCATAACTATAGCTTTCAAACATAAGTATTGGAACAGAAAATAAGATGAATTTTCAAAGAAATGTACTTCAGTGCAAATACCACAAAATTGTACGTGCAGTATATGAGTAAATGTACTGCGTAAGTAAGTCAGTTAAACTTGCAAAATTCAAATGTTAATGCGATGGAGTCTTTAAATGGCATTTAGGGACTAAAGTTTGCTTTCCAGTTAATTTCCAGTTTATTATATTGTGATAGCCTGACATGTTTATGGTGCGGCCACCCACTGACACTTATTTCTTTTGGCTGGTAAACCACAAGAGCGAAACAAACTCAATATCTTCACACAGCTTGCTTACATATAATTGTGCAGGTGTTTGGAGAACTGTATGTAAATTCTGTGCCAATGGAAATTGTCAAGTCAAATGTAAGTAGTTCTTGAATTTGAATATCTTTTTCATGAAGCCTGGCTTAAATATTCGACCATGTATCACTATAGCACAGCAACAAGCAGGCTTACATTAGATGGAGTAAATAATCCTACTCTTAAGTCCCCATATTAAAAGGTCTACACTCTTAGACAGCAGGAGAAAGTTGAGTGTGAGTAAATAAACAGATGATCCTGGAATGGCAAGCTTGCTGCCCGGAGTTTAAAAAAACAAAACAGTGGCAAATGGACAATTATGTCCCGACAGTCTCCTCCAGCCACAAACAACCACGTGAGCCTCAACTGCATCAATAGTAAGACATCATACACCAAAACTGTCTGCTGGAGGAGTTCTGAGGTCCTACAAAGGACGCGAACCAACCAACCACAAGAATCTGCAGTGGCAAAGGCTGTGTGAAAATTTCAATTGGCAAAAACAAGGTTGTCTCTCGATGTGACTTCATACACAAACTGATTTAAATTAGTTGTGATATTTGATATGATGCAGTAATAACACATTAAAGGTCAAATCCCCTCAACTATCAGCAAAAAAATTTATGCTGCAAGTCTCAGACACTCGCTGCTGCTGCTGCTGCTGCTGCTGCTGCGAGTTTTATTACATTTAGAGTACATTGAGGGTGTGTCTTTGTGGAGCGTGTGAACCAGTTTGTGAGAGTGTGTTGACTTGGAACTAAAGACAGAAGTTGAAGCGTTCTTAGAAGAACTCTCCTATTTCATGGAGCTGTGAAACGCTCTTTTGCTGGTCAGGAAGAAGTAGATTAATTTACCCGTGCTGATGAAGCGACAGCATGTTGGGTTTGCCACCCACTGAGTCCTGTGTTGTCGTGCTTCACAGAGCTCCGACAACAGCAGCTCTGTCTGAGGAAGGTTTTCTATCGCTGCACTGCATGTTTTGCCATTTTATAGACGTCAACGTCCATTTGCCTGTCCATCAGTTTAGAAGATGGATTTTCATGAAATTTGGTACAGACATTCATGTTCCCCAGAGGATGAGTCCTCATGACTTTCGTGATGCCTTGTCTTTCCCTCTAGCGCCACCATGAGGTTGACATGTTTGGCTTTTAGTGAAATATCTCTATAACATTTATAGTCATTGCATTTGGTTCAAATATTCATGTTCCCCAGAGGATGAATCCTACTGACTTTGGTGATACGCTGAGTTTTTTGTGAAATGTCTCGACAACTATTGGATAAATTGCCATTGAATTTTTCACACACGCTCCTGTCTTTTTTTTGAATTAATATTAATAATGTTGGGGATCCGTTGACTTGCTAGTGCCACCATCAGGTCAAAGTTTATATTTGTCCAATATGACTTGCAAAACAAATGACATTTCCATCAGCCTCACTGTACTTTGGGTCTATCAGTGGTAGAAGAAGTACTCAGATTCTTTACTTCAGTAAATGTAGAAATATACTCTCTTAGAGTACTCCATTTACAAGGTTACATGGTTATTTTATTGTCATTGTACAACAGGGTTGCACAACGAAATGCAGATTGTAGTCCCATTTTGCTATATAAGAAAAACACAAAACCTTTACTATAAATGGGTGGAGGATAAGTTAAGGAGTCTCACAGCCAGAGGAAAGAAGCTGTTTTAAAGTCTGGTGGTACGACAGATGATACTTGAAAAATAAAAGTTATCATTATGCAGAATGTCTTCTTTGAAAGTGTTATATTAGAACAATATAGATTAGTAGTATAATACTGTCATATCATATAAGCGTATCATTTGTTTTTAATGAAAAGAACTAGTGTCAAATAAATGTAAAAAATGTAATATCCCTCTGAAACATAATGAAGTAGAAGTACAAGGTAACATAAAATGGAAATACTCAAGTAAAGTACAAGTATGTCAAAATTGTACTTAAGTACAGTACTTGAATAAATATACGTAATTATATTCCACTACTAGTGTTCAATTTGCGAATGCAAACGTTGAATAAAAAGACAAATGATGGCATAATGATAAGTTCTGTCTCACACAGGTGAGGCCGAGGTACAGCAGTAGCTATAGTTTCCTGAGCACATTAAACATTTGCATTTAAGTGCACAGCCCTTCAGAGTGAGCCTGTTTAATTCTGCAGGGCAGCACTCACTCATATTATTCAGCACGGCTGAGGGGCGGTGGACGAGTCACTGGTTTCCTCTGCTGCTGGCACATTTGCTTACATGTCTTATCCAAGAGAGCTGGTTAATGTCGTCCCTGACATTCGTTTAAGAAAACAAGAGATATTCTTGATGTTTCTTGCTGTCAAACAAACCCCGTTAAAAGACAAGAAAAACTACAAATTGATCCTATAACAAGTACTGCCTGTGTAGCCAAAGTCAGATATACTTTATTCCTCTGAGTTCCATTGTTGTACAAAAAATATTAAAAACATACCAGTGAGCCACAATGTTGCACTGTGTGACATACAAATAACGTCGATAACGTTTGCTAGAAACTACAGTACCCAGCTGTTTTAGGGAATGATTGAAAAGATAAAATCAGGACCATTTTTTTATGCGTCTAACTCACCGTTGGTTATGGTCTTTTGATGGGATTTGGGAGGTCTGTCTCCCCTGTTTCTCAGTGTATGTAATGTTTAGGTAAGGTTTAGGTGTTGCAGACAAATAGTTATGGTGAAGGTGAACGTTTTATTGAGGTAAAGCCAAGGAATATCATAAATTAAATAAAACAACGGCCTATCACATATTTCCCTCGTCCTTGTTCAGCATAGCATTCGTAGAGGGGATCTGTAACATCATGATTCAGGCACTGTTTAATAATCAGGCTTAATCTCCTAGCGACAGCTGCAAGTAGACACACATGTCAACATGTCGGTGAATCACCCACCTGCCTGACCGAGCAGTTTGTCTCGCTGTTGTGTTGTTGCATGTGGACTCAGATGTGTGATGTCACGGCACAGACTTTGGGCTCAGCTGAAGTCAATCGAGTGCTGACTGAAGAGGACAAAGCTGACGTGAGGTCCATGATAATATGTTTGGCCACAGACGATGCCTTCTAATGAGTCAACCAGCCCTTTTAGTCTTGGAAGGGCAAGTTTGATGCATGTGTGGAAATACAACCTACTGCTATTATACCTCATGTACACTTTTGTAAATCATTTTTCATGTAAAAAAAGGAAAACATTTCATGGTCCCTGCCATGTTTTGTTTTATTTTTTTTCAAATTGTTTCAAATGGTTTTGACGTTTGGACAAAACGCATTGTGAAGGTGTCTGGGTAATTGTGACAGCATTTCTCACTACACAAATGGAACAATCAAGAAGATAATCAACAGATTAGTGGTGATCCGATACAAAATAGTTTAAAATAAGCTCCACTCCAATTATAGAATAGTATAACAGTCACGGGGGACATTTTTCTGCATTAAGAACTCTTACTTTTAATAACGTAAGTACATTTTCCTGAATACACTTATATACTTTTCAATGCAGGACTTGTATTGGAGTATTTTTAGTGTTTTGTTAGTACTTTTACATCTGTAAAGGATCTGAATGCTTCGTCCACTGCACAGAGCACATAGTGGTGAGGTCAGAGGGTGGATACGGCATTGCAAATCTGGCACAAATTACACGCCGGCAGCCACCGGTAGTCTGAGGGAATTCCGGATAGGAAGCTGTGAGAAGTCACCATTGCCTCAAACACCTAAGCTCTTTCAAGAGGATTTGGTTGTAATGCCCCCCCAAGTGGAACAAATGGGTGAGCTGGCTAACCAGAGATCATTTTTTAGCTGTAATTTAAATGTAGACGGACTCTACAGGAGAGAGAGCCAGAACAAAATGATTACGATCTTGTAAGGTACTTTTATTCTGCCACTTTATCGCCTCAGCAGTGATTAGAAGACAGACGGGAAAAGCTCTTTCTATTACATTCTTTTAAAACTATTATAAATCCCAAGAGAAATCTGCCATAAAAAAAAAGAAAAAAAAAAAAAAAAAGAATGAAAAGGCAGGCTTGTAAAATTTTAAAGAGATTGTAAACAACGGGCTGATTTGTGCCCTTTATTTCACACTGCTTATAGTAAAAACAAACAGACCATTTTTCAGCAATTCACTAAACTACTGCAGGTAGTTTAGTGAGTTCTTGTAGAGGAGTAAGTGATCCTCTCTGCATCACCAAACACAATCAATCAACATATAACACCTTGTCCACAGGATGCACAAGCTAAGTTGCTGCTTGCAGCCCCACAGCCTCCAGAGGGCCAAAGAAAATACCAAGAACAAAGTAAAAACATGTTTGAAGTATACTGTCAGAATCACTCCAAAATGTTGCATTCAAGAAAAAAAACCAAAAAAACTTTCTTCTTGGTAACAAAAATGTAAAATATAAATTCAGTTATTTGGTGATGTTGCAGCAGATAAACTATACTGAGCAGAACAAATCAAACTGCTTAAAGCATCAAAGAGGCGTCTCCAAACACAAAGCAGTCATAATTTGTTCAGTCATCATTGAGTAAAACAGCCAAAAAAAAAAAAAGAAGCTATATGAGAATTGACACGGCCACAATCCATTTATGAAAATGGCCACAAACACTTCCTCTTCTTAGCCCCCTAAACCCCCTTGATCTGGTTAAATCCTCAAAGATAAAGCGTACAGAACCACCCATGAAAAACCGCTCCCAGAAGCAACAGGTGCAATGTATTTTTTCATACCGGTGTTGCGTGTCAAAATGCCTTTGAGGATATGGTTACTTCCAGACAGTGAGCGAGCCACAGGAAGTCCTCTCACACGCGACGATTCAGAAGAGACATTTAGAGTCCTGCAGGGTCGGTCGGTAAAAGCTGCCCTCGGGTCTCCCTTCCATTTCCTCGGTGGCCACAAAGGGAGGCCATTAAGCGGCTCTGGGCTCGCATTGTGAAGGCGTTGATGTCGGAAAGGCCTCGTCTCTGCGCACTGCCTTGTGATGTATGGTTTACTTTCATAATTATGCAAACCTACAGTTCCTTCCTCCAAGACAGAGGGGCTCAGGAACTGACTTGATTCAATAAGCAGGTCGAGTCTCAAGGTCGGTAACAACAACAAACGTGCGTCAAGATTACTCAATCATCATTGTTGCATGTTTTAGGAAGCCACATGATGGCTGTGCATGCTATTTACTGTAAGTGGAATGCATTTATACTCTTAAAGTATCACTATAGTACGAAGAGTAAGCTATGAATCAGTACTTTTTACAAAAATATATGAAATGATTTTGTCTGATGGCACTTCAAAGAAGTGAGAAATGGTTTTGGTTCAGGAAGGTTGAAGGAAATAGAGACGACGAGTGAGAAAGACTGATGACAGGAAGGAGCAAACTCAGCGACAACATCTTGCGTTTTGACATAAGTAACACCTGACTCCTTCTGCAAACCATCTGCTCTATAGGCGCCTCTCTGTTACCTTATTGAGCCATCTGAACGTCACAATCAAAGTTGACTGTGCGTAACATTTCATAAAGTTTGGCTTCTTAGTTGCAACATTTGGTCATAGTTAGTTAGTAGTTTTAGTACATAAAAAAAAGAGGGGTTTTTTGATATCATTTTAGACTAAACAACTTAACTTTATGACAACATTTAAAATATTTTCCCAGAACTCAATAGAAGAAGCTCAAAAGGTTCACTTGAAGGAAAGCCACTGGTGGATTAATTACATATTTTATCACAGAACACATTTTGAGATGTCACAGCAGGAAAAGCACAGGTGTAGATAATAAAATGAATGACAGCTGAACACCCTTAATCTGCTTCGGTTTTGAGGTCCTAGTGCTGTGCATGCTGGCTCACTGTCAGGCTGCCATGGCTTACCGGGACACTTGAATAAAACAAAAAACATTTTTATTGTTATAAGTAAGTATAAGTTTTCCTACTATGATAAGTCAAAAAGTGAAAAAAAGACTAAAAACTTGGCACCGTTCTTGCTGTGTAGTGTCACTTAGCTATATCCTCTTATTAATGAAAATTCTGTATTTGCTGTACAAAAATAAACAGCAAGATGGCGCTGCAATGTACAATAAAGTACCCACAGGGAATTCACCATTTGAATTGCTTTTACAAGGATAAAGCTATTAAATTACAGGTAATCCACTTGGTAAAAATGTATAATTTATAAAAGCACAAATTTAATTCAAATTACATTTCAGGGGTTTGAAATGACAAATGTCATGTGTTTAACTAAAGAGTTACATTTCCCCCTGCTGGTAAATGCTTTGTTCTGCAGTCCCCCAAGTGAAAGAAGAGTCAAAACTGTGTTGGTGTGTGTGAACCACCCGAGCAAAGCCTCAGTGTCACCTTTTCAGCGTCACCGCAGGTCAGGCGTCGAAGCCCCCAAGTAAGTGCTGAGGCCTGAGATGTTCGATTTGATGAGCTTGGCCGGGATGGTCGACATGTTCAGCCTCTGATACGCAGCGAACCTGTGACAGCCTCCAAAAGAGTAGTAGTAGTTTCCCCCCTCTCGGCCTTGAAGGAAAGACAAACCGATGATTAACTCATACAGGCAGTGTAAGTATTAAAAAAAAAAAAAAAGTATTGATACAACGGTCATATGTACTGAGATGATGAAGATGGAAACTACAGTATGAGTGAGTAGCTAAACGTTACTACCAAACATGCTCCTGTAGGAATATTGTAGCAGCAGTGGAGGTAGTACTCAGACTTTAGAGATACACCACAATACATACATTTCACTCAAGTACAAATACAGAATTAGTATGAGCGAATTCTACTTTTAGCATCAAAAGTAAAAGTATTCATTATGCAGAATGGACCCTTTCAGGGTCTGAGTTGATTACTGGATTACTATCAAAGTGTTCTTGCTAGTAGAGGTGGAGCAAATTTGAAGTACTTTAAATAATATTGGGTAGTTGACTAAAATCCAGGGCCATAGCCAAGATTTTAGAAAGAGCTAACTCTAACCTACTAAAACAATACAAAATACATAGCCTATTTAATTTAATATTTAAACATATTTTGTGTAAATGTTATCTCCTCACATCTTGGTCTGCTGCTGTGTGGAAAATACTGCACATCATAATTCAGTCATCAACTAATTTGAATTAATTAATAAGTTAAATGTTATGCAAACTCTTTTTTTATGTCGATATAAAACCTCTACATTCCCACAAGTACTACAGTGGTGATATAATTTGAATTAAGGAGATAATTAAAAAAAGCACAAATATGAACATAAACCTAAAGTGGAGTTTACTTTGAGGAGCTAAGTCCCAGTAGTGTTGTAGGCCAAAACACTTCACTGCACTGCCTTAAAACTCACAGGTGCAAAATAAAACATTATTACCTTTATTGTGTTCATGATACTCTGAACTTTCAGCTCATCCAGCACCGGAGGGATCGGTCTGATGATGACGTGCATCGGGACGTTATGAACCTCCTCCACGCTGTCCGAGTGAATCGACCTGTTGTTGTTCTTCGTGTCACACTGAGTGGACGTTACCGACATGTTTACACGGGATGAAACCGACACATTCACACGTGCTGTTTTAGTGACGTGCCACAAGCGATACATTTACCTCCTGACAGCAGAGCGCGTGAGCGTTTCCCTCACTTCCTGGATGCCAGGTTCGATAACGTAGCGCATGCGTAGTAGCTTGAAGGGAAGGTTTTTCATTGGTTCTCCGCGCTGTCAATCACAAATGTAAATTGTAACGCCCGTCAGCTCTAGCTTTAGCTCAGTAACGGCCACGTGGGGGCAGGAGAAACAAGCTGTGAACTCAACCTCCTTTGAAGTTGATAACATGGTGAGCTTAGCCAACTGTTGTATCTTCTTATTTACAGTCTATGTTATTTACACACCCAGCAGTCACGGAGCAACATTATAATGCATTCGGAGTCATGTTTCTGTTTACCAGGTGAATGTAAGTCCAATATTTCTCTCTTTTTAGCTCTGTTTTTGGTCTCTACACTCTCGAAAGCTCCACTCTGTTCACCAGCTAGCTTTAAGTTAGCTGCAAACTGTGTCTGTCTGCTGTTTGGTTCTGAGCAGGTAACATAGTGCACAGTGAGTTTTTAGGGATATTTCTCACAAAACAGCTGCCTGATATAGCTGAACGACAACGACAGTTGTGGGTTGAAAAACTAACGCCAAACAAGGACCTGAAACTCACTATAAAGCTCCAGGGAGCTGCTAATTTAGATATTAATTATCTAAAGCTCCATCACTAGGAACGACCCCCTTTCATGTTGTTTTCACATTTTCATTTAGTATTAAAATATCAATTATAGCCGCTTTAAATATCCTTTCCTCTATTTCTTTTATATTCCCACAGGGACAGAGGTCAACTCCGACTGTAGAATGAACCTCTGTGTGTTATTTATCTCCTGTAGTCAGTGATGCAAAGTCACGAGTACATTAAGTTAAAAGACTTAAGTCTAAGGCTGCCTGTTGTTGATATTAGCGTAACTCTACTCCCTCATGGTTTGGGATCCCACAGGCCCCACCGCTGTTTGTGTCAAAACGATAAGAGTAATTGCAAAATGAATGATTTCTTCCTTTTAAATATGCGTTTTTCCTTTTCTTCTGACCATATCAAAATCCAACGTGTAGAGGTAAAGATGTGGTAACTTTTCTCTTTGTCACAAACTGGGCGTGCACATTTGCATGAATGAATACTGTATATTCCCCTTTTATGATTGTCAAAAAGTCTTTCACAGACAAAGAAATTAGAAATCTCACAAAGAAACTACAATGTCAGAAGTCAACACCAATCCCGGATATAAATCACGTGAAAATCCTATATTTTACAGCTGTAGAGTCTAAGACCTTAAACAGAAGTAATGGGCCGTTTTCTGCAGCAGACTTCTGAAACATGTCATCAAAATCATGTAAATGAGCAATAAAATGAGAACAAGTCATGAAGCCGACAAAACAATGTCAACTGGGTTTTTATTAAACTGTTAAACAGAACATTAAGGTCTGCTTCTTGGCACGTAAACAGTCCTGTACTGGCGGTAGCCGTTGTGGTACTTCATGGCATGTACATGTAGCAGGACAAACTTTACCCCTTTTTTGTAAGATAACTTATTCATATAATAGCCAAACTGTTTCTCATTAAAAATTCACTGCAGCAATTAGTCACGCAGTTGAAAAGAGTCGCTACAAGCCCAGAAACCCTTTTGGTGACAATAGTTTTTAATGAGGTCAGTGTTTGGTATTGTCGACTGTTGCATGATATAGGCGTCCTCCATCAAAGTGCACCACTTGGTGATTTTCTATTTTTGCAGGGATTTTCAAAGAGCCAGCCAGGTTGCTGTGGTTCCAAAAAAAAAGAAAAGGACGTCTGGGCCCGCAGCTTTGCACAGGTAAGTGGAAAGCTTCAAAGATCTGTGGAAGTGGAGCGGAAACAGAGCTATTGTTGTTTTCTCCAACCCACAGCTCCGGCATCTTCTAACGAGACAATTAAAAATGATTTCTTGGACAGTGGAGGCAGGCCATCATATTGAATTATTACAAATACTTTGAACTACAATGGCAGCGCCTTTTATGTTGATTAATTGGTCACACGGGGATCATTGACAACATGAAGGAGGTCCATGTATAGTATGTAATCATTACCAGTGGTATCAGTACATTATACATCATTGTGGAATGAAACTGAGCAAAATACACCGTGTCATTGAGGCGCTTCAGTGAATGTAATCAACGCTTTCGCCTCATTGTCAAGCCGTAGTTTTACAGTAACAGCATCAATCTGTTTATAATTTCCCCATAAACAGCTCAGCTTCAAATGCCACCTCACATTTTGTACTTTCTTTTCTCCTTAAAGAGCAATTTAGTTGACACCAGTGTAGCGTAAAAAAAACTCCAATTAGACTGTAATATGCTGACATGGATGGTGCAGCTGGCTGCATGACTTTGTGTTTCTGTTTTGAATAACTACACTATAGTAAATATGTATGACGATACCCCCCCATGGGCATTCACCACTTTATACAATGTCAATTTCAGCTCGCTTCTTTGCTGTCAATCAAAAAAAAAAAACCACTTCATCAGGCACCAAAAGAGACCAGCATCACTTGAAGAGAAGAGAGCCTGTCAGTCAAAGCATATAGACATGTAAATCATCGGCAGTGCTGAGGTGTGTTTGGAGTCCCACTACACTCTGCGTGACCCTCTGCTGTCACAGCAGGACTGTACTCTGGTTGCGAGCATATCTCAATTACTTAGATTGAGTTAGTCACACAGGTACGACGGCGGGTCATGGAAGAACAGTTCCCACATAATGATTTGCTGTTAATATTAGATTTCAGTCCCTGTGGGATTGTCACACTTAGAGCAGCTGGAGAAAATTACCTGCCAGCTTTCCGACAGGGAAGTGAGCTATATTTATTTATACCTCCCCCCCCTTTTCTTTTCTTTTTAACACGTTGACATGCTTTTAAAGTGGTAATCATTGTGACGGAGGTTTTCAGTCTCAAACTATAGCTTTGTGATAGATGAATGTTTCTGAAATCACGACACGGTTTAGCAACCGCGGATGTTGTTGTGTTTGCGGCTGAACGTGTGGTTGATTTGTTCACTGATGTTGATTATTCACTGGTGGCTCTCGCTGCCTAGACCTGTGAAATTATTTCCTGCACTATCTCCTTCTAGTACAGTCGCCCAGAACAGGATTTCTCTTTAATGATCTTCCCTGCTTTAATATAATTTTGCTCACCCAGGGAGAGAACTGGTGCTTTGGAGGGAGGTTATTTAGCTGCAGTCTGTCTTTCCATTTGTATTTCCGTTCATTAACTTTACCCTAAAAACAAAGGCAGAAGAAACGTTTTTACAGCTTGAATATCAGCATAAAACGCCACAAAAGCAAAGTTAAAATGATCTTATCTATGTCTGAAACCAATGATAAATATCACATCTGTGATTCTTTTGCCAGCCTTGTTCCTGCATGTATTGTGTATGAAGAGAAAAAAGGAGCTATTTAAAGAGTACCCTCCTTGACTTTTGCTTGAGTGCTGATGACAAGTTGGATATCTTAGATGCATAAAAATGCGATTTTGACATGACTTCAAAAAGAGAAGCATACGGATGAGGTGGACCCTCTGCCAACAGAGAGACGAGGAAACAGATGGGTTTTACACAAACAGCACAAACATCAAGAACACTGAGTTAAAGAGCTTGGCAGTCTCACTTGATGAAACAGTGAGGAATGGAGGCGCTTTTAATGAGCATCTCTCCTGTGATGCAGAATGTGAAAAGACAAACTGTTAGCTCTTAAAGGAGCAGTTACAGTTGGTTGGCCCTGTCTGGTTGAACCGAATGGTTTTGCTATCCTCTTGTTGAGTGACTTCGGTCAGTATGCGTGCAGATTGGTAATAACGAGGAGACATTAAAATGGCCTGTTGTAGAATATATCCTTCAGTTGAACCAATGGTACCATCATCAACAAATAGAAAGCTTGTTGTTCTTGTTGTTGGGTTGTTAATGCTGACAGTCGGTGATCCGCCAACAGATGGCGCCAGATGTATGAGAAGGGTCACAGTCACCAGTTCAGGAAGTGTCGAATTAAATACTAATAGTTTTTCTAATTACAAAGATGAGGTGTTGTTCACTGTCACCTGTGAGCAACTGAGAGACACAAGCTTTAATACTGAATTCAGTACATATATTTGAAGTGGATAGTGAAACCCATTTGTGATATATTCTATACTAGGACGGCAATTATTTTTTTTAAATGAACCGATGCATTTTCTACTCTATAAAATGTAAAAAAATTGAAAAGGGCCATCACAAGTTTTCAAAAGCTCAAGGTGACGTCTTCAGATGTCTAGTTTTGTCCGACCAACAGTCCAAAACCCAAATTATATTCACGTTAAATGACATAAAAGCAGCATCTATTCATGTTTGAGATGCTAGAACCAGGACATATTTGGTGTTATTGCTTCAGCACACGACTGAAATGATTAATCGATTAACAGAAGTGTTGCAGATTAATTATCTGTTGATTGGCTAATCAATTCATCAACTAATGGTTTCAGCTCGACTGTCATCATGGAGATGTGCAGGCTTAGCAGATCAGAATGTGTATAAATACTGCAACTAACAAATCCACAGATTATTTTCTCAATTGATTGATTGATCTTTAAGTAAATAGTGAACAAATGGTCTTTACGATCCTTCTGTCCAAAGATGTCCAGTTCACTCACAAAAGGAAAGAAAAAAAGGCAAATATTCACATTTTAGAAGCTGTAAATGGAGATATTTTTAACAAACGATTAAAATCGTTAATCATCATAATGATTCATTGTTTTTTCATAAATCATTCATAATAATTGACTCATCAGTTTAGCTCTAAAATGACATGTTGCTTGCTGTGTCATGTGGGAGCAACTAAAAGACACCAGTTGCAACTTAAATCTATTTCTTGAAACACACAAATATAGTTTTTTCTCCATATTCCTTTTTTTTGTTGCCTGTCATCAGCAGTAGAGATCATTTCTCTGTGCAGTGTAGCAGTTCAGACTTTGAAAGAATACTTGCCTTCTATAAATAGCGTGATTTTTCCACAGTTTGTTTCAACAGTTAGTGTTGTTCAGCTGCTGCGTATCTGCTGCTGTACGTGGATCCGTTCAGTAACCTTGTGGTAACCCCTCAGCACATCAGAAGGCAGTCATCTCTTCTCTCAGGCAGTCGCTCAGAAGATGATTGTGTTCTCAGGTCAATATCTTTGAAGCGAGGAGTGTTGCGCGCTCAATTTTGCAGGTTGTTTTCAATAATTCACTTGATGCGCTCCGAGAGTGTGTGTGTGTGTGTGTGTGTGTGTGTGTGTGTGTGTGTGTGTGTGGCGATGGGAGGCGGTCGTTGTGCTGCAGAGCGTTGCAGGGATAAGGAAAGGCCACGTCTCCTTTCCTTCCTCGCAGGGCTGATCACTCAGAGCTGCTGTTGTCACACACACGCACGGCTCACCCACGGGTGATGTAATTGGATTGCATGGGTCCCCATTTTACAGTCCATTGCCGTGTAATGACATCAGTTATTTACTTTCATCATAAAATCTGATAAGGGACAACATCTGCCAGGGTAAAGTTTGAGTGAGCACCGCGCATGAATGTTGATGTGCGCTCTGCAACATCCTGTGAGCTGCTTGCTCTGCGCGTACACAACAATCAACACTTGGTTTTGAGTAAACTTGTCATGTGAATACAGATATGACAGTTTATTTAGTTTATCTTCAGCGACATAACTAAGCATAGAAGTGCACAACGGCAACAATCGGTGCTTTCCCACACTGAAGAGATGAGAGTGCAGCAGAGTGTCTTGTTTCTGAGTCCCTGCTCCGCCTGCTGTCTCATTATGCTGCTGCTGCTGGAGGACACTGAAGGACACGAGCGATTGAATTCAAATGTTGTATATTCCCTGGAAACCAATCAAGAAAAGCCCCAGAATAATAATCCCTGTCCGCTGTCATGATTCATTTTTATTTCGTTCCATATTTTTTGAGTCACTCAGAAAGAGTAGTCTCAGCATAAAATCAATGTTCCATTAAAATTTAATGACCAGGAAGGGCTTAATAGTGGTGGAACAGATGCCTCTGCTTTTGATAACGCCGACGTCTCAGGAACTCTCATTCAGAGCCGTGTTGGTGCTGTCGGGTCCTCTGACCGTCGCTGCTCTCAGCTGCTGAGAGAAACAAAATGATATTGGCATTGTTGTGCCTCGTAGTGGTGAAATTAAAAGTTAGTAAATTGACAGCGAAGCTCGTAAAATTCATCAAACATTGACTGAGGAGGCTCCAGCTGATGGCACATTATAGCCATAACTATATTTACTCGCTGTGTTAATGTTGACAAAGGGCTGTTACAGACAGAGTCCAGTTTCACCATTTTTCTCAGTGTGTTTCATATTAAACACATATATATATATTATGAGAACAGGAGTGTGTGTGTGTGTGTGTGTGTGTGTGGGGGGGGGGGGTTCAACCCTTTATGCATTCAATGAAATCACAATTGACAATTTGAAAAGAAACAAGAGTGGACTTGTAGGTTCCTTGTGCTATTGTTTTTATTAACGTTATTGTTGCTATTGTTGTCATTATTAATAATTGTAGCAGAACAAGATAAATCAAAACACCCTTCAGCAACCATGGCTTAAGTTTCTTCATACTCAGCTGGGACAGACAGAGAGAGGGAGAGAGAGAGAGGGAGAGAGAGAGAGAAAGAGAGAGAGAGAGAGAGAGAGGGAGAGGGAGAGAGAGAGAGAGAGAAAGAAAGAAAGTGGAAAATCTTAATCAGTTTTTTTTCTTTGAGGACCATATGGAAGGTTTCAAGCAGCCGACCATATGTTGAAGGCTTTTGTCATGGAAATCATACTTTTTGGCACTTTTTCATTGCGCAGCCAAGCCGGGCACATAAATAAAAGAAAACATAACAGAGAAATCATACAGAACATGATCAAATCTTTCAGAATACACAGAGTTTGAAGTTTTTTGTCTCTGACTTACAACAGATAGCTTTTTAATCAAGACACTCCCTGATTCACATGGCCACCCTGACTGCAATTGGTACCTGTATTTGTCTTTTCTTTTTAATAAAAATGAATAAATAAATAAAAGACAACATGAATAGAAAAAGAGCAATTAAATGTCTACATGCATTGTCATATTATTGCTGTGATATATTTACAAATATATTTACAAAAAAAGCATCAAAGAGGAACAATGTTTCCCTACATCTAAATTGAGAAGTTTAGAAGAAATCTTTTTCTGTAATTCACGTTTCCTCTGAGGACGACCTGTGATGCTGCCAGCTTTAGAAGCCTGCGGTACGTTTCCAATTGATGTTTTTAATGATCTCGAGGCTTTTATCTGCCTCATTAAAAACACAGTCCCCAGGTTTTTGGGAGAGATGCATTATATCTCTGTCACAAAGTAAAAAATAAAACATCTAGGATCTGTAGGAAGTGATGCTGCATTAGTTCAATAATACAGCAACTGTTAGTTGTGCAAGTGCACCAGGAGACAGGTGGTTTGCCCTCATGCAGGGATTCAGCCGCAGCGCTCAGACGACCATCGACGGACCAGAAACTCCTCTTTTCTCCTCCGTTTTTGGTGTTTTTGTTTTGTTTTTTTCGGGCGAGCTCAGCACTACTGCGATCGTGTCATCCATTTGGAATATGCAAATCGCTGACGGCGCATTTGCCTGCTGGTGCTTGACCTTCCCCTTGGAGGTCGCTCACCGACTCAATTACGCTCCCTATCTGCAGTCTGTCTGCAAACACCTGTTATCCTCCCACACTCCACCACCCTCCGCCAATCCCACTCCAGCACATCTCATCCCCGGTGCGTCTGTTTAGACGCAGTTGGGACGGGATTGGGACAGCCGGTCGGGGGGGGGGAGAGGCAGGGACAAATGATGGGGGAGTTGGAAGTGCATTACAGCGCGTCGTTTTTATTACAGCAATCTTGAAAAAACTTTCTCTACCAAGACTGTTCACGACAAGATCTTTTCCATTAGTGCTGGTTAAGACGCACACGCCTCCATCCATTCTCTCTTTTGACACCTCGGAGATTTCCCTTTGCTGTTTTTAACTGCACGGAATAATCTGGGAGCAGTTGTAACTTTTAATTTAATGCTTTATTATGTCAGTGACCTAAATTAGAATAATATAAATCCTGTTGTGTAACCTTCTAGCATTTCAGTCGTATCACGCCTGCCTTTCAGCTGCCAGAAGAGATTTGTTTTTGTTGCTTTTTGATACAAGAGACGGTTGAAATAATGATTATATTCTAGAATATTAGACTTCTAGTCGGATTAACACCTGTAGGAAGTTTGGACTCGCTGTATGAAGGATTGCTCATAGTTACTGCATCACTAATATTATTGCTTTTGCGCTGTTGAAACTAGATTACACCTACCTTATTATATAACGGGTGGTATTTGTTCATGGCGATGTCTACATGCACATCACCGTTGGCCATTTCTGGTATTTATTTATTGCCTGAGATTTAAAGACGAAAAGGGCCAAAAATCTTGAGTCGAAAGGATGCAGTGGACTTTTGGAAAACAGCAAGATGGAGAGTATTTTAGTGTTTTGTTTTCATCGTTTCTTTTTATTGCCCTAAATCGACTGAAAACAGGACAGCTGTGATTGTTATACATGTCAGTTGCTGTGTCAGTAAAGTTATTGCCACGAAAAACAAAAGTTAATTCTGCATTCATTCGTTTGAAGTCTCCTAACACTGGTACTGTACATTGTTCCTCTTTAAAAAACTAAGTCCCAAGGACTCTCTACAGTTTTCATGCATATAAACATTTTCTTTGAAGATCAGCAGCATCTTACAAGGTCAATGGATGTTCATTTTTTAAATTATAAACAATAAATAAATACATGATAATGAACAAATAAGCAAGTCTTCAATAAATACACAAAAATAGGGTGAATAAATAAATAAATAAATAGATAAATAGGTAGTTAAATAAAGTATTTACATGATAAATAGATGGTATGCATCTAAACCGTGGGCGGAGCTTTGAGCGACATATAAAACAGACAAACAGAATCATTTGACTGTCACTTTGTAACTGAGGGTGTGTGAGTCCATACCTTCACTCTGAGGTAACACTGGCGGAGGGGGAGCACCTCAAACAATGGGGGGGAAGATTGCTCTTTAAGACTGGACGATGCACCGTAAAGGCAGCAGAGTTTATGCAAGCCACCATGGTGGAGGAAGAACAACGAGAGTTTTCATTGCTATAGACAAGTCGACCGCACATGGCACTTATAACAACAGATCATTCGGTCTGGCTCCCAGTGTTTCTGTCCAAGTCTGTACATCAGGGCGAGACTATGAATTTGATGTGTGATAACCTGTTCAACAGGCCCGTTAAATGTTCTAAAATCACTGCTCTTGCAGAATTGAGTTGAATGACCTATGGCGTCCTATGATCGTGTATAGCTTATTTAAATTAGCCTCTTATTTCTTTTTAAATACCCACAGTTACAAAGATGCTTTAGATCGACAAGGGATAACAAGCACAAAAAAATAAATTTAGAAAAATCAAATAGAAAAATAACATCCGTTGAATTGAAACATTGGTGTGGAAAAAGGGGGTTTGTCTTTTCACCTTTTAAAATGATCTCCCTTTTTTTGCAAATACTGTCATAGTTCACATTTTCATAAAAAGTTCATGTTGGCAGTTGCAAAAGAATTCAATTCTTAGCAAATAAAAAGCAGCATAAAAATACAAGAGGTCATTTTGTCTCTAAAAAACAAAAGAACACTGTTAGTCCTTTTTTGTGTTTTTGTTTTTTTTCATTTTCTCATTACTATTTGCTATAAAATATCAGGAATCTAAATATTATTACTATTGATATCAATATCATTATAGTCATTGATAAAAATTCACATGCCAGGCCTCATATATAATTGTGTGTATGTGTGCACACGTGTGTACATTAGTGTTTGTGTGTGTGTGTGTGTGCGCGTGTGTGCGTGCGTGTGTCTATTTGCATACATGTCTGTGTGTAAGTGTGTTTACATGAACCCACGTCCGTGCGAGCACATGTTGCGTCATCGTGTCCAACTATCATCTACTGTCTCTATTTGGGGGAAGGTTGTTTGATTGTATGTTTCTGTGGACGATTAGCTACTGTGCAGGGAAAAAAATCCAGCATCTTTTTGAAATTGTCTTTGCCATAATCAGTTTCTTCACGTAATCTCAGTGAAAATATTGCTTTCTAAAAAAAGGGAAGAAAAAAGGCATGGAGGGCAGAGTGAACAGGGTTATTGGTTGTGAACCTACAACAAGGGGTTCAAAATTGTAGCTTCTTCCTCGCGGCTAGTTTTCTGATCCAGAGTCGTCTTCGTCCGCAGAGCCCTTGAAGCAAGCCGACTCATAGTGCTTGTTCAGGTAGGACTTGAGAGCGAAGGTCTTATTGCAGCGCTTGCATCTGTAGTGCTTGAAGGCAGAGTGTGTTTGCATGTGGGCGCGGAGGTTTGAACGGTCAGCAAAGGCTTTGCCACAGTGTGCGCAGGCAAAGGGCTTCTCCCCCGTGTGCGAGCGCATGTGACCTTGGAGGAGCCACGGCCGGCTGAAGGCCTTGCTGCACACGTTGCACTTGTGCTTGAGGTCGTGGGTGAGGATGTGCATGGCCAGCGCCGGCATGGACACGTACACTTTGTTACAGGTGGGACACTTGCGGGCCATCTTGCTGTCCAGGCTGCGGTGCGTCTGCTTGTGTCTGCTGAGGTTGGAGGAGGTGGCGTACGTCTTGCCGCACTCGTTGCAGGAGTGGCGGGCCCCGCCGGCCGCCCTCTCCTGAGCCCCGCCGTTGGCGCTGCTGCTCCTCGAGCCGCCCTCGCGACTCTCGCTGTCCCCCTTCCGCCTCGAGCGCCCGTCGGAGATGAAGAAGGCATCCATGGTGTAACCCTCGGCCAGGGCCTCCGATTCACCACTGTAGAAGCCGCTGGCCGTCATGCCAGACTGGGGGCTGTCGGGTTGCTTCAGGTCGGGGTCACAGTACTCCTCTCCGCTGCTCACCTGGGTGTAGAGGGGATCCGACACCGGCGAAGCCAGCTTGTGCTCCATCTTCTTCTCCCCCTGGTATACAGATGGCGTGATGTAATCCTGGATGTAGCCTGAGTAAGAGACACGCAAACACACAGTTGGCCAGGGGTTGTGATGGATAAGGACACAGTGACATGCTGGTGATTACATGATTATCATGTTGGATGATTGCCCCTTCGTAAAATGGTGAAAGAGTGAGTGGCAGCACAGAGTTAATTGCATTTTTTTTCCCCCCAGAACTCACAGGTTGCACACGATAGTGCAGCGATGCAGGAAAACGTGACACACTCAGCTGCGTTGAGGAAGGTTGCAATTTTACAGCGAGGGTGAGCGCTAGATAATAGCTCATCAAAGAAGTCTCCAGTGTAGGAAGATGCATCTTACAGCCCCTCTCACATAAAGTACTCTCATTCATTAGACCTCCTTTTCTGCATTTATAGTATGTCAGTCCTCTTTGGCTGTGGCCTGTCTCCATGTTTGCTTCATGAATGCTCATGTTTTAACTCTAAACCTTAACATATACCTTATTTGTCCAGGTTTTGTATTATTTAGTGTGAAAACACACCCAAAAAAGAACAGGTTGTGTGTCTGACTTGATTGTTCTTTATGTCTTAATTAGTTCATACATTTTTTGGTTTTGGACCAGATGAACTAATTACGTCCTGTAGGATTTCGTGCTACTTCTCGAAGCACGTTGAAGCATGATGCAGCAAAGCACAAAGCACAAAGCACCGCGTGTGATTTAACTTGTATAGAGCATGATTTCAGAGAGATATATTTTTGTTGGCATCATTCATGTCTTTCCTCTCCCTCCGAAGCAGCCCAGTGCCAGAGGAGCTAAAAGGCTTGCTGGCAGCTAATTGCATCCAAACAGAATTCAATACATTCTTATGCTCTGACTCTTAGGAGCTGAATTTATACTGAAGGCGTTTAGCTTCCAGGGTCTATATTCTACCAGCCGAACATGTAAGTTGAGTGAAAATATAAAAGGTGGTGAAATTCCTTTCCTGAGAGAAATAGTGCATAACTGCAGAAAAGAAAAAGCCATTCCTAAGCACTGTGTGCAGCAAGCGGTGGAAATTAGGTATTGACTGCTTTTTTTAATGAGATTCAAAGTTTTGAACTGATCAATAGGCTATCATATGTAAAACAGTGCAGCTGTTAGAGAAGATAGAAATAGTGCGAGGAACAGAGCAAGTATCTGCAACACACAATAGTTTTATTGAGCACAGAGTGCTCGAGGCCTGATGATGTGAGACACGTTGTTTGTGAAGAGGGGTCACCTGTCTGCACACTGAAGGGCCTTCAAGAAAACAGGCCATTAGGAAATCCGTTGAAGTGCTCTCTCACTACGGCGTCTCCATTCCTGAGGGTTTCTGTTCACACACCCACTCCGTCAAAGACACGACCGTGACACCCCGGTGAAAGGGAAACACCAGGTCTGTGCGTTCATTATTATGCTGCACTGCATGGGTCCACTTGTTTTAAACTACGCAGATGGTGTGAGAGCGCAGCACTTCCTTTCAAAAGATTTGTCCATTCATCGTTTTTTTTGTACTAAATTCTTACAATTTACAATTAAATGTACAAATGCTGCAGCTTCGACCGTTATTCCGAGCTAAATCCACCTGTTTCACAGTCCCACTATAGACTGTGATCTAGCTGAAGGGCCTCTGCACGGTGTACGACAACATGGCACTGTTTTTTTTATTTCCCCAGAAAACATCCTGTATCAATACAAGCAGAGCTGTTTACTATATTTCAGTAACCCAAGGTCAGACACGGAGCTCATCATTCAGGACCGGCGCTGTATCAGCCTTTCCAGCTCATAGGCTCGTTTCGCTCATGCAAAGTAAGCATGTAATTAATGGACCCTCTCAGCCACCCCTCTTTGTTGTTCGACAGACACTCAAGTCAAATGTCTCCACAATGGGGGGAAAGTAAATCTCCTGGCACGGCAGAAGTGCTGATGTTAGGTATTTCAGCCACGCTGTGAATTCTTTTATTTTCCTTCTCCTTCATTTTTTTTTTTTTTTTTGGGGGACTCAGCACGAACAGATTCTTTTGTTCAAATTAAATGCCTTTTGTCAACACCAGCGTAGTGCCTTATCGTTCTTTTGCTTCTTTTTAATGTCACCCTTATTTTTCATGGTGTTGAACAATAGATCCAGGAACAATAGAGAGTGACAATAATTACATATGTATTATTTAATAATAATTAAAAATTGTGCAGCAGGAAATCTGCTACATTTACTACAAGTTACTAAATATGGCATGTAAATAGAAATAGAAAAAAATATATATGTATATTTCTTAATTCTGTAGTTTTTTTACCCAGTTAGTTATTTCCAATTCAGCAAAACATTATACTTCACAAACCAGCCCAGACATATTTAATTCCCCTAATCCCGAACCACCCAAAATTCACTGAACCTTGTTATTGACACGGTTGAATAACAGGTGGGCATCATCACAGCATTTAGCTGTGGACTGTGAAGCCTCGCTCTCTGTGAACACATCCGAACAAATCACAACAAAGACACACATATGGCCCTTTAAACGTGGCCACAAAATGGAAGCGGCGGGCTTAAAGTGAAGGTCGCCTCGCAGCTCCGACTGGAGCCGACTCTGCGGCCGGTCCGTATGTCGACCACAGTGCAGCTATGTGACTTTCTTCATGTTTACTGTACAACCTCTAGTCACGTGATCAGCCTCATTGCTGCCCCAAGCACTTTTGTCTCCCTTTTTTTTTCTCCTTCCCTTCGCGACCCCTCCAGCCCAGCTCCCCGCCTCCCTCCTGGCTGTACTGTACAGTGTGTTGATGTCTCTTGTGGCGGCGATAGGCCTGCATGGCTGAAACTCTAACCCCTGCTAGTTTCCAAATGCCCGGAAGGAAGAGAAAGATGTAGTGGAGCGATGGGGGTGGGGAAACTGTGCATGCTCCATTTGGATGGAGAAGAGGGGGGCAAGGGAGGATCGGACTGTGATGGGAACTCAAGGACAATAACAGCTAAGGACAAATGTATCATCCGATACTCATCTCTCATATTCATGAATTTTTTAGTCCACATGATGACCAGATATAGTCAGCCTGAGTGTGTTCAGCCACCACAGGGCTGGTGCAGTCACACAAATACGTAGCTGGAGCTTCTCCCGATTATACACACGTTTTGTTCCCTATTTACATAAGCTAATCCGTGGCTGTGACCTGAATTGTGTCTGTCCTTCACTGGAGTCAAAAAACAAAAGTCTGGGAGCGGGGGGATGGGGGTGGGGTGCCACTGGAGAGGATTATTTAGGATATTGATGCAAAAAAAAATCAGCTGGCTGCATGTAACCTCTCACATTAATTTACACACTACGAACATGTTATCGGCTAAAGCAAGAGGAAAATCTCACACCGACACAGGAACTAAAGAGGATGCCATCTGTGCTCAGTGTGGAAATGTCAGGCATGCTGAAATCAGCACCGGGGCTGTCTACAGGCAGCAGCGCTAGCACATCTTTAACTGGAGGCATGTTAACTCACCATTCTCACTGAGACGAACCCCGAGGCTGGTCACCGAGTCTGTGATGGAGCGTGCAAAAGTGTACGAGTCGTCCAGGTGGTGATGGTGGTGATTGGAAGTGGCCACATTGGACGAAGTGAAATCATCAAGCTTGATCTTCTTCACCAAAAATGAGCGTGGCATGTTTCAATGGATAAAAACACAGAGCTGAGAAAAACGCATGAGCAAAAAAAAAAAAAAAATGAAAGACCCTCTGAAAGGAAGCACGCGAGCAGATCTGGCTTGACGGTAATCCTTGCGGTTAATGCGGAGACAAACGGCCAAAAAACATAAGATAAGAAAGAAAATGGAAACCAAGTGGAGAACAAGGCTGACGGCAAAATGCTGTGTGATACTCTCTGGCTCCCCCAGCTTCCCCCAGAAAAATAAAAAAATAAAAAAATAAAAGCGATCCTGTTCAGCACTGGATAGCTCCTGTGATGCGGCAGGCTTAAGGGACCAGTGAGGAAGAGAAGAGATGGAGACAGACAGAGAGAGGAGGGAGAGAGAGAGACTGTCAGACTAGCTGAGATCAGCAATCACGCCAGCCTTTATATGGGGCACAGGCAGTGGAAGATCAGGTGGTGCTGCGAAATGGAGCTGCTTAGCTTTAATCCATCAAATGTCCCCGGGGACACACATCAAATTACTACTGAACCGTCTGTGCATTCGCACACAGACAGAGGAGAAAGAACACAGGCAGACCCCCACTGCTGCCCCCCCTTCTACCCCCCCCCTCTTTCCCCCCGCTTATGCTCCATGCTCGGAGGAGGAGTAAAAGAGGAGGGCAGACAATGGAGATGTGGATGAGAGCACACTCAGTGTCCTGTCCCCCATTGTTTTCAGATGAAGTGGCACAGTTTATGTTTGCCTTGTAACTGGCGCTGCCTCCTTCATGTCATCTCTGTTACCTCATATGGCCTCAAAGGTGTCCATCCGTCGGTCACACTGCGCTGCACTCGCATGCTGAGAGCACACGTACAGTACAGGAGAGGTCATCGGAGCGTCTGCGAGGTGCTGGACCTTCTTTTTTTATTTATTTCTTTATGTCTGCACTGGATTCCAGCACTGATGACGAGCGGGCTTCAGGGGAAGTACTAGTGCTGCACTGCTCTACTCGTCTCTCTCTCTCTCTCCCTCCCCATTACCGCTGCACAGATGTGCGTCCTGCCATGCGTGGCAGTGAATTATCTGATTAATTAATTACATCTTTTTTGATTAGGGTGAAATCCAGAATTAGATCCGTACTCGCCGAAATTGGCTGGATGTATCTGGGTTGGTTTGCATTGGTGTGGACTTGTTAGCTCGCTCATTTGATGTCACATTATGCATTGTATCTTCAGCATAAGAGCTCAACATGCGTCGTTCTCTTGTTAGAATTAATTTAATTGAAATATTTACTCAATATTACTCAAATAATATTTAAACTGAATCTGTGGGTATCGTTTCTAAAAGCAGCAGGATTGTTTTCAAGTGAAACGGAAAAGTACCTGTTTGATTCAATATCAACAGGAAACACTTGTGTCACATCACTTGTTGGATTAATTAAAGTATCACAGCAGTACATTTATTATGACTATTAAATGAGAAGTATTGCTTCTATTTCTGTTATATCACACAAAATCAGTGGAGGCATCAGAAAGAAGTGCAGATCTAGTATGATCTATATTCTGTTGCTGTTGTGTGTTGGAGCAGTAATGGTGGTCATGAAGTCATCTTTATAGGAAAAGCTCTGGAGGAGGAAATTCTCCATTCTAGCAATTATTTTTCAAATAATCGTGTTTGTAATATCTGGAAAAGCTTACAGTTGGTTATTATTTATTGTTAAGTCTATAGTGAAAACGCCTTTCAATTGCTTGATTTTGTGCATCCAACAGTTCTCAAAACCCAAAGATATTAAATATACAATCAAATAAAACGGACAAAAACAGAATAAATCCTCTTATTTGTCAATCTGTAACCAGAGAGCACTAATTAGTAAATCAATTATCAAAATTATTGTCGATAATTCATTTTCTGGCAATCTACAAATCAGTTAATAGACTGTTTCAACATTGCTAACATTTTACATCAATTTATTTTCATTCACAAAACCTTACTGTTTACGTTAGTGCTGATAGATGAGTCTCCGATATTCATTGTAATTCATTATTTTAGTTCCTTTATCAAAAGTCACATTTGGCCTCAAAAGAACATGTTTCCAGTGTTAACAACAAAAAATGAAGACCACTTGTAGATCCCCTGGTAAATAAGAATTACATCCCAAAACCGTTATTCTTGTTGGTCAAAGATGAAAGGTTCATCTTCTACCTGATTTAACATGTTGTGTATTTCCATGTTGATCGTGGTTTGTGTTTGAATGTTCAAAGGTGCCGTAGATCCCGCCAAACGTTCAGGTGTGCCCCCTGGACCGGGTCGCTCAAAATCCTCCCCGCCACCAACGGTGACCCTGCAGCTCGGTCGTGGCAGGCTTCAAGAGGGGAAGTTGTTAAATCAGCGTGCTCAGGATTTATCACACGTATGTGACTGTAGGTTCACAGTGCTGTCGCCGAGCCAAGCGTGTAGAGCAGAGGCAAGGACGAAGGAGGTCAGGGGGACAGTCGTTGTCTGAAGCGATGAACTTTGATGAGGTTTGTTTTGGTGGTAAAATATCTATTTTAATAAACACTCTTTTGTATGAGTCATCTTGGGAAGCAATATTTTAGTCAACAATTCCAACTCTTTAATTATCTAATTGCACCACGAGATACTTCACTCATCCTTCAGCATTAGCTTCCTGTGTTGATATGTTTGGGTTGTTGCAAAGATCATGATTTGTTCATGAGAACTTCTTTTGTTGTTGTGTTCTTCCATGAAGCACGGAGGTTAAACGAGCTCCTGTTGACCTTTTCCAGACGCTTCTTAAACCGAATGTCTCCTGAACTATACAGCTCCCCTCTCATTATCCTGCTCTTTGTGCAGCGCAGCGTCTTCAAATGTCTGGTTGTATTCAACTAAAAGTCCAAAACCTTAAGATATTCATCTTACATTTACAAAGTGAAAAAAAAAAGCAGCAGATCCTGTTTTTTGCTTGCAAAATTACTTAAATTATATAATCCTTTATTTTCCCCTATTATTTTTGTATCAATCAACAAATCAATTGACTAATTGTTTCAGATTGTGACACTTTGTTTGAGTTCATGTTTTCCAAAACTCTGCTGTTCAAATTATTACCGAAATGAGTTTTTTGTTTTATATGCCTGGAGAGTTTTCTGATGTAAAGTAGAACATCAGATTAATGATTCTATATGAATATATATTTACCATATCCCAGTATGTATTGATACTGGAAACTCTAATATTGATGTCAGCCTTATCACCCAGCCCGAGCTACCCCAGTCGTGTTAGATTAAATATTCTGCTGAACAATAACATCATCTGCAGATGAATTATTGCGTCATTCCCGTGCGTATGAGTTCTACTGGTTGATTGGAGAAACTGTGCAACAAGTGAGCTACAGGTTAGAGGTGAATTGTGACAAACTCGCTGTGATTGAAACATCTCTCGGGTTACTAGTTTGCAGCAGCAGGCCGATTGTTTCCTCCTCCTCCTCCTCCTCTTCCTCATGCCGGAGCTCCGGTCCACTGATGGCCCCCAGACTGCCGCTGACATGTGGTCACTGCCTCAGGACGTTACCATAGTGACTGACCCCCCTCGGGCTGGAGGAATGGTTTTTACCTCAGCTCGGGTCAGGTGTGGGTGGGGGGGGGGGGGTAGAGGCCTCATTAACATCCTGTACGGCCCTCCAGGTTTATGGAGATGACCTGAACCGGCCCGATGGAGGAAGTCAGTCCGGTTGATTTGTTCCTTCACACAATTAAACGATCCACAGGAACGCTTATTATCTCCGCTCACACATGAAGTCTGTTCAATCATTGAACTGCCAGCTTAATGCAGGCGCCTGACATTAAAGAAGTAAGAATTACCAAACAGAAGATTAGATTGTGGCGCATTAAACGTGAAACTTCAGCGTCTCGTACTTTTGCTGCTTATATAACGTCACTCTGGGCTTGTCGGCCTAGGTGAAGAGATGCTAAGAGTCCATTAAGCAAAGCCATCTATAATTTACCTCACTCTTGCTTACTGGGTCACTTCAACGAGGCTTTTATGTTTTTTTTTTTTTAGTTGCTGCCGCTGCTGCAGCAGGACACCGTCGTGCTCTTTAGAAAGACAAGAGCTGCTGCTGATGAAACGGTTTAAAATAGAATATGAACACACATTAGATGCAACAAGTATTTGTTTTTAAAAAGAAAATTCTCATTTAAAGGCATTTCATGGCAGCTAGCATGCGTGTCAAAAAAAAAAAAATCCTTTTTTTACACAGACGCCGATCAGACATGGCTCAGTAAAGAAGGTCATGAAACCAATATTTAACATTTTACTGTGGGTTTCCAGTCCAACATGAGGGCTGAATGGACCCGGACGGCCTCTCCAGCCGTACTGTATCTAATGCTGTTTGGCAGGTAGTTCAGTGTATCACTCATGCCCTATTTGGCTTGTGTCTGCCTGTTGTCCTGCATGCATCTCGGAGCGCGTGTGCATTTGTTGTCCATGGGCAACTGTTCAGTAAATAGGGCAATTAAGTGTGAAAAGCAGAAAGGAGCTAGCATGTTCCTATCTCTTTGGTGGGGGGAGATAATTTATGCTAATAACATCTCTACCGCTCAAGCTGCCCAAAAATGATAGCAGACCCTTTTGGCTTCAGAAGAATCTTTTCATCCTCTTGGAGGAAAAAAAAAAAAAAAAAGAGTGGTTTCTCAACACCTTGCAAATAAGACAGCTGTGTGGCAGTGAATGAATCTCTCTCCCCCTCTCTCTGCCTTTCATCTCCAGATGATAATCTTTTCTCCTTCACTGTCTTGTATGGTACATGTTTGTTCTTCATTTAGCCTGTGGAATACTTGAAACCTAGCCCCCCCCCCACTCTCTCTTATAGCCTCACACCCTGCACACAATCTATCATTATTTTTCCTTCAAGAGCCGTCATAGGAAGTAGCAGTGTGCGCAAATGTGTTACAGTAAATAGTGTCCTATGCATGAGTGATGCTTCTTAATAACACTTAAGGAGAAACTTGAGCTCCGTGTGCTGTTCGCGTGGCGTAAATCCCTCCATGATACTGAGGGCACGGAGGGTGGCTGTGAGGAGCAGGGCCCATGATGGCAGTTCAATAAATAACCTCAGTGAACGTGGCAGCAATAAACCACAGAAGATCTCTACCAGCTACCCCACTATCATGCTCAGCGAGGCGCTCTCATGTCAGCCGCTATAGAACAAATGTGTCCGCTTCCAAGGCCGAGACCATTTATTTTGTGCACCGGTAAAAAAAAAAAAGAAGAAGAAGAAGAAAGCCAGATCAAAATGTGGGTTTCAGTTTTAAACACGGGTCCTAAAAGAATGGTTCCACGTTCTGGTTGTTGGCTTTCTTTCTGAGTTTTAGATGAGACGGTTGATATCACTCTTATGTGTTTACGGTAAATATGAAGCTACCACCAGCAGACGGTTAGCTTAGCTTTGCACAAATACTGGAAATAGGGCGTAACAGCTGGCTTGGCTCATTCG